TGGCGGGCGATCTGGCTCTTCACGGACCGTGCCGGACCATCATGGCTCCCCACATCCTCACGGGCGTCACGCGGGATATGGACCTCTTCCACCGGGAGACGTTTGGCCCCGTGCTCTTCGTGTCCGAGTTCGACACGGACGATGAGGCCATCGCGCAGGCCAACGACAGCGAGTTCTCTCTGTGTGCCAGCGTCTTCTCGCGTGACGTCCTGCGCGCCATGGACACGGCCAAGCGGATCCGGACAGGGAGCTGCCACGTCAACGGGCCGACCGTGTACATCGAGGCGCCGCTGCCTAACGGGGGTGTCGGCGGCGGGAGCGGCTACGGCCGGTTCGGTGGTGTGGCGGGCATCGAGGAGTTTACGGAGAGGCAGATCGTGAGCTTAGCGAAGCCGGGGATGAAGTATGCGTTCTAGATAGCCATTCATCTGGGAGATGTTAGTATAAGCTGGTTTTAAATCAATATTCTTGTCCAGATTTCATCTACATGGAAAGTATCATCATCTATGGAACAGAACAGACTCGTTTTATGGCTCCAACAAGGACAAATCGGGCTTCTCAGGACGCTCAACAGACCTTGTCGCCGAACGTTTCAGGAGCAAGATGCAAGATCCCCCTATAATTATATTTCTCAAATGCGGGTGGGATGTTGTGTGGGAAGTACGATGCAATGATTGCCTTACAGAGTTCAGATCAGTCTTTCAGGGGCTATTTCCAAGGATTGGTATTACTAGGTTCCCACACGTTATCATTTCAGAACAAAGTATTCCCAGAAGACCGGAAGTTCAACAACAGATGTCGGTATATGACCCATCTTTAATCCCTGCTCCAGCCCGGGTCGCCTCCTTTATCCCGGATCTGTTTGCCCCGCCACATCAAGACACCCACAGTGAAAGGGAAGAAGAAGGCAGTCAAGGCAGCAGAGAGACCGAACGGAGAGGTGGTTCCGAGGGTGGCGATCATTGGCTGCACAAAGAACGGACTTATATAGGAGAACAGGTTGCGGATGAGGTTGAAGACCAAGTTCGCCTCGGCGCCCTGGCGAGGGTAACATTCTAGAATGTAGGTTTGACTAGCGAAACGATCCTTGTCAGCCTATTTCGTAGCCAGGGTACAGGGGAAAAAAAAGAAAAAAAAACAGGGCTGCATACATAACCGTGGTGGCAATCTCGATGCCGAAGATATAAACGGCCTGCCCGATCAGAGGAGTGATCCAAACATTTCCGAACTGGATCGACGTGCCAAACATGATCAGACCGGCCGGCACGGTAATAAGCGCCGGCCAGATCGCCTGCAGGCGGTACTCAGGGCGCCACTCGCGACCCTGCTTCATGGTCCGCTTAGCGATGAAATCCAGCGAGGGTCCCGCGTATACCTCGCCGAGCAGGGCGCCGATGAGTCCCGAGAAGCCTGACAGCCCGATCTCGAGCACGGAGAAATCGTAGTGCTCCTCGAAGATGAGCGGGATCTCGGACGTGATGCCTACGTGCATCATGTAGGCGATACCGAACCAGAAGGCCGACAGTATCACCGCGGGGAATTTGAAAAGGACGAAAGGGCGCGTCGCGATGAAGAGAAAGCTGTGCTGCTTCTCCTCCGAGCGCTTGGGGATGTGAATCCCATAGCGGTCCCAGAACGTGGGCTTGCCCCGCGTAGATGTGGACATGATTGAAGGATGCGCGCGTGTCTCTCGGATGTAGATGGTCTCCGGGAGGAAGAAGATCTGCATGATGAAGCCGGCGGCCATGAAAATCAGGGGGATCCACTGGGAGGCCGGCCAGCCCAGCTTGTCGTTCTCTATGATGGGTCCGCCGATGCTGTCGGCGAGGGTCAAAGTCAGCCGTTGCTTCTCCAGAGGTATGAGAAGCATGTATCTACGATACATACATTGTCCCCAAGAATGGGGCGATCACAATGGCCAAGGTCGACACACCAATCTTCTTGCCCTTCTCGTGGCGGAAGAACTGTGGCACCGCATTGTCAGCTCTTTCTGTAGCCTCATCAGAGTAGCAATGATATATCATGGTGCAAGGAGATAATTACAATGTCTCCAATACTGGCCGGCCCCAGTGTCCAGAAGGCCGAACCACCGGCACCGAGAATGACGCGGCCAACCATGCAAGACGCATATGTCTTGGACGTCGTCACAACGACCGCCCCGACGACGGCGATAATATTACACATCAGCAGCACGGGGCGACGGCCTATAAAGTGGCTCAGCGGGCTCCAGAACCAGGGCGCCACGGCGTAGAGAGCGACGGGCGTGTTGCCCAGATAGACGGCCGTAGACTTGGAGACATGCATGGACTTGGCTAGGGGCACTGTTCCCGTAACCAGCGTGGTCACGGCCACGTAACAGACGAGGGCCAAATACGAGAGGGTGAACATGGCGGCGTGCTTGCGGAACCAGGACCAGTTGAGCGGGTCGTTGGGGTCGTCGGACGGTTGCGGCATCAGGACGATGCCGTCGCGCATCTTGAGGTTGGGCTCCACGGAGGCGATATGCTCGCACTCTGGGAGATTCTTCTCCGAGTCCTCCATTATGTCGCTATCCGTATCTGATGGGGTCAACATGACTTTGTTTGCACGGAGGCCATTTTTTTTCGTTCAGGACTGCGAGTGGACTCACGTGGGAAAGCTACCTTGGTCGTGCTCATGGTGAGACGTTGTTCGTAGGTTCTCGACGGAAGTCCGGCATCAGCTTTGGAAGTTTCCCCAGATGCAAGAAACGGGTCCAATGGGTCCAATTATAGGCAAAAGCAAATCGATCCCCGGCACGTTTCGACCGAGTGACATATTCTCACTTGGCAACGAGTATCGGGGAGTTAGGGCTTCGATTCCAGCGGTATATTTAAGTTGTGGCAGTTTCAAAGGTTCTTAAAGTTCGTTGGCTGAACGTTGGCTCTTGGCTAACTGGTCCGCCTCGCGGGTACTGGTCAACCCTCGTCGCCTTCACTGGGCGTGGGGGTTCGGCCTTTGCTCGAATACCTTGGCATACAAATGTTTTTGTCCGATGTTGTCCGAATGGAGCCAAGCCCCCACCTTTACCCCAGTTTAACCCCAGGATTCAAGGAGAAGATGGATCCAACACCCCGGTTCTCTTGGAATGTGCGGGGGGCTCCGGGGACATCGGGACATCGGGACATCGGATCGTTGGCTCCGCCGGAGATCCCGTCCCAGAGTCTCCCGAGCATTGACAACATGGTAAGCATGTTGATTTCGCCGTTCAGGGCTAGGATGGAGAGGGGGACGCAGAGAGATATGAGTGTTTATTAAAATCGCATCTTGCTTGCAGGCCGTTGCTTTCTTCCCACGACGGGATCTTACCAGTCTTTCTCTGCTTTCTTCCCCCACGCCATCATCATGGGCTCGCTATCTCTACCGGAGACGTCTCTTGCGGCAATCCAAGATAAGGAGACCAAGGCCATCTCTGTCGGCAAACGCCCAACTCCAGTCCCCGTCGGCGCTCAAGTCCTCGTCAAGCTACAATACTCCGGTGTCTGCGCCACAGATCTCCATCTGGCCCGCGGCAGCGTCCCCTACCTGCAGCCCAAGGTCTCGGTAGGCGGCCATGAGGGCACGGGGGTAATCGCCAGCCTCGGCCCCGATGTGGACGCCGCGGAGTGGCACATCGGCGACCGGGTCGCGGTGCGGTGGGTGCACATCGTCTGCGGGAAGTGCGAGGTGTGCACGACCGGCTTCGAGAACCTGTGCCAAGGCCGGAAGCTCGCCGGCAAGGACGTTGAGGGCACCTTTGCCGAGTACGCTATCGCGGACAGCTCGTACATGGTCCGCCTGCCGGCTGGGGTGAGCGACGCCGATGCCGCTCCGATACTGTGCGCCGGCGTCACCGTCTACAAGGCGCTCAAGATCGCCAACCTTCGGGCGGGCTCGTGGGTCGCCGTGGCCGGGGCTGGTGGCGGCTTGGGTCATCTGGCTATTCAATATGCACGTGCCATGGGGCTCAAGGTCGTGGCCCTGGATGCTAGGAAACGGGATCTCTGCCTGAGCCTGGGCGCGGAATCGTACATCGACGTGCTCGAAACGGACGACTGCGTAGCCCAGGTGATCAAGGTCACGGATGGGGGCGCTCATGGCGCACTCATCTGCGCCTCGTCCGGCCAGGCCTATGACGATGCCGTCAAATTCCTAAGATGGACCGGCACCCTGGTGTGTATCGGCCTCCCCCCAAAGCCGACACTGCTCTCCCTAGGCCCCGCGGACTTCGTCGCCCGTGGCATCAAGGTCATGGGCACATCCACAGGTAACCGCCAGGACACGGTGGAGGCCCTCGCCTTTGTCGCCAAGGGCCAGGTAAAACCGCAGTTAACTGAGAGAAGGCTGGAGGATGTTGAGGAGATCTTAAAGGAGATCGAGAATGGGACTATGCAGGGTAAAGCTGTGATCAGGATAGCCAGACTTAAGCGCCCCGAGGCCTGTTAGAAGGTAGCATTTGGTCCATGAAGGGAACGCCACCCATCATTCTTAATCGATCCACGTTTAGCTTCCTCGGATTTGAGGGACCGTATCTTGACTCTAGAGGTTGCCGCCCCTAAGCATGAATTTAGCCAGTTACCACCTCCGAGAGGCGGGTCTCCGTTACGCTCATTAAGAGCCCGAGTCTCCGCGAGTAGAGATAACACGCTGCATGATTATTCCTAGACGAGTCCTGTGCACGCATATGATACCATGCCAATATGGCTCACTCAAAAAAAATAGCTGCAAAAAGGATAAATGCAAAAAATAAAGCTGTGCTGGAAAATGGGAGGGCGACTGCAGTGGAGCTGGCGGTTCACGGAGCGGAATCAACAACATCCTTGGCTCCGCCCATGGTCACGTGGTGCAGCCCTGGGCCGGGCTAGCGTGTCGCTTTTTATTGAGCGTACTTGCTCAGGCCCATTCTCCTTAGATGGGATTAGTAAGCGATCCAGAATCAGGCTGATTACAGAATGGTCACTGAGCAGCCCAGGCTGATCAGGGGCGTGCTCAATTCTACTCAGTGAGCAAAAGCGGCGAGAGGGTGAGCACTAGAACAGAAGGAGAGCGGCTAGAGTTGGCGGACAAAATCCGGTCTATATGCAATTCACCGTGCAATTCTTGCTGTCAATCTATTTCCAGAGCGGAGAGATAACGCAAAGAACGCCGAATCAGAAGCAGAAAGCAGATGCAAAACTATGCAGACCATAACCCCGATGTCAATTACCATACCGATCCCCCATCCCGATTGCCATTCCCATCCAGAATATCTACGGACTATCTTCTCACTCGGCTTCCTTCATGCGGTTCGGCCGGCCAGACGATCGATTGGCACTGTCCGGCTTGCCCACGAGCGCTTGGCGCACCACGAACCCGGCCTCGTATGTAGGCCGAGGCTGCGCGCTCTCGCCGTGGTAGAATTCGCATCGCAGCCGCAGAAACTCTCCGTTATCCTTGTGCTTGTAGATGGTAATAATATCTCCCGTGTAGAGCTTGCCGAATTGTAGCCCTTCCGGTCCACCCTTGCGCAGCTCCGTGTCGTTGACCCAAATGCATTTGCGTGTTTTGGTGGAGAGCACGGCCATCACGCCGGGCACTTGCGTCCAGTCTTCTCCTTCGGCAATTCTACGTTCGAGCCCCGGGGCCCAGAAAGTAATCTCGAGCGCATAGGCAGGGATGCGCACATCCATGTTGTCTGGATGGCGGATTGTTGCGTCAGGTCCACGGCCCCACGAGGTCATTCGGCTTTCAAGGCGGATGTTCAGGTCAAACATCGAGCCGGTGAGGCTTCTCAATCTTCCCAGAAGTTTGGGAGGCTTGGTAAACTCAGTGACCGGCATGTGAGTAGGGAGGCCGGGGGCGTCGGGCTGTTTATGGACAATTGGATCCGAGGGCTCCTCGGCCGAGCGTAGTTGCTCCAAGATGGCCTGCCCGGTTTGTGCATCCAAGGTAGTCGCAAAGTCGACATCGTAGTCGGCCTCTGCGGGCGTCTCAGGGGGTTGCGTAGATTGGCGGCGACTGGCTGGCGCACTGCTGTCAGAACGTTCGCTGGCGGTTTCCGGCAACTCCAAGTCGATGCGGCGGGAGAGTTTGGGCGCCTTGGGTGTTGTCTCGTTACCACTCGATGTTGGTGGAATCACCTCACGCGGGGTGCTCCCTGCTTTTGCGAACTCCGTGGGTACCGTGAGTTGTCCAGAGCTGGTCTGCCGCGTCGATATTTGGTTAATCAGGGCGGTCTGTGCAGGGAAGAGAGGGAGCGAGGAGTTCATATTCAGTCGTCTAACGAGATTCTCTGTACCCATCAGGCTGGGTGCCGTGCCGCCGAAGGGGTGTTCTGGGAGAGATATGATCGAATAGACACTGCGTTCGTCGCTCACCGACTCACCAGAAGAAGCAAAGCCCTCGGCGTCATAGTCACCGTCGTCCCACGACCCGGTGTGGCCAAGGGCATGGGAGCTGCGTAGAGCTGAGGAAGTGACTTCACCAAAGAGCCGCCTTGCGTGGGTCTCGGCAACAATTTGGCCATCTTGGAAACTCTCGATTTTGGGCAGTGATGGGTACCGAATGTCTGCAGGGATGTATTCAATGCGTGGTTTCTTGGCGAGAGCTTCGTTGCTGCTGGACTCATCTGCGCCGGCCGCATAGGTGTATGCAGCCTCCTCATGGATAGAAAGCTGGGACGCATCAAGCTCTTCTTCGGCCTCTCCTATAACCGAGAGAGCGTCGCGTGTATCTTCCATAATGTCATCGTCTTCGTACTCATCCACATCCGGGACCGTGGCAATCCATGGATGCTGGAAGCATTGCTTTTCCGACGGTCTAGAGAAAGGATCCCGATTGAGGAGTTGAGAGACAAAGTGGATGCCAGATTCTGATACACCTTCGTGTCGCAGGATATCAAAATCAGCCTCCGATTCCATGATGCTACGAAGCATGGCCACACCGCGGTCTTCTGCTCGTCCAGAGTATGGAGGGACTCCGCACAGGATGTGGTACAGCACAGCGCCTAGTGACCACATATCGACTGACTGGCTGTAGGGAGACGTCTTTGGAGGACTAGCAATCCGTTAGCGAGCGTACCATTGGTCATACAAAAAGACAATACTTACGGATCCCCCGCGCGACGCCTCTTCCTGTACTCACCGCGCCGATATGTCTCATAGTCGGGGTACACCTCGGGTGCGCAGTATAGTAGTGTACCACAAAAAGTCTTTAGAAATGTCTCCTCCTGGGTAACTTTTGATAGCCCAAAGTCGGAAAGTTTAATGCGCAGCGGATCCAATGAGGCAATCAAGATATTGTCCGGCTTGATGTCACGGTGAGTGATTCGGCGTTTGTGAAGATAGTGAAGTGCCCGCAAAAGCTGGCGGGCGATTGTCCGCACCATGTCCTCCGCAATCTTGCCGTGGCTGGACAGATATGTGGACAGCTCGCCTCCAGGAACGTACTCCATGATGATGTAGATCCAACGGTCATGTTCATGATGCTCGATATATTGAACAATGTTGGGCTAGATTAGATAAAGTCAGTATAAAGGAATGGAGTCGCTGAATTGAAGCTTAGCTGGACGCACATGTTTCAGATCACGCATAATCTTCATCTCGTTGTCGACTTTTTGATCCAGGATACCATTTTTCATGAAGCGACGTTTGTCCAGCTCTTTAGCAGCATAGATCGCACCATGCTGCTTGGTAGCCAGCTTGTAGACAGTTGCGAATGCGCCTTTTCCGATCTGTCCGGTCACATTGTACATCGAACCGCCCGTCCAGTGCATTCCGTACGTATTTGCGACCGACCATGATAGCACAGGTGGAGTGGGGCCATTTCGATTCTTAAGTTGCATGGCCCCAGCCACCTGCTGCACGCGCTCGAAGTAACGAAGGACATTCTGAGTGTATTGAACGGCGAAGCCTTCACGAGATGGAATCCGTACGACGAATCGCACCTCGTCGGATCCTTGGTTTCCAGTCACCACTTGAATGACGGAGCCGTTGGTGAGCATGCGACTATTCTCTTTCTGATTCTTCCTGAGGCGGCAGTTGTCTACTATGGTACCGTTGGTAGACGTGTCTTGCAACATGATAATGCCGTCGCCAGTGAGATAGATCCGGAAATGAGTATTAGACACTCGTTTGGCTTCATCGTCGACTGCCAGAAGGACATCACAACGGGCGCGATTACGACCAAAGCAGAAGCCCACGCCGAGGTCGCAAACCTGAGATGACAATCTCAAGGCCACATCAAGTGCAGCAGTCTCGGACGTTTCGAAATCCAAGACATCTTGTTGTAGGATGTGTTGATTGCCTAGAGTTGCCGTGGCAGCCACCGCGTCATGCGCTGCATGAGAGTTCGGATGCAGGATACAGATGATGTCGGCCAGATCCTGCTCGTGAAGGCCAGAGTTGTTCAGCCCCATTCGGCGAGGGTCCGCGCATGGTTGAGTAGATTCTTGAGTGGCCTCCATGATGCAGAGAGGATAAAATTCAGATGCAAATGCGATGCGCTAAGATGTGGGAAAAGGCAAGAATGCGGGAAAGACTACTGATGACGAATGTGGTGTGGGGTATATGAGCAGATTGAAAACGGATTTTTGCATAGAATGGGCATGAATACACAGATTGCAGGCCTAGTGAGGGGCCGGTGAGTAAAATAAAATGATCGAAGGTCCGCGGGGACAAGGGTATATATACCTTTTGGGCGGGTGCAAATAGGACAAAAGGCTAGTCAACACGGCGATCACCCGGGTTAACTGCCAACGACAAAGGGAAAGGTCCAGAGGGGTTGAGCAACGAGACACTGGACAGCAGATGGTATGATAGCTGCCAGGTTTTTGATAAAATGAAAAAGGAGATTTGAGTAGATTCGTGATACCACAATAGTCCTGGAACGTGGTCTGGTCTCTTGACAGCCGGGGTGCCGTGTCAACTCTCCACGCAACAGCCGTTGACACCCTGCCTCTGGCAAAGTGCAGATGTCAGATGTCAGAACTTTGTGTGGTGGAAGGTAAATTTGATAACCCCGAGAGGATCTGATTGGAGGGACAGAGGGTTGACGAAGAACTCGGGTAGAGGTATAGGTCGGCGCCTACGCAGGGCAACAGGCCACCGCTTGGATGAAGGGGAACCTATGCAATGGTTCGAACCATGGATGACGGCCGTCTTGGAGAGTCTCGTTGTCTAGGGTAATGTGAGGTGAAGAAAGGGAGAATCTCTATGGGCGATCGAGGGACTAGGTTAGCGCAGTGTTCGGGGTACAAGCTGATCTTTACAGTTTGTTTTGGTCTTGCCTCGACAGGACTGGACTCACACGAATTTGGCAGGCACCCTCTTTGTCCGTCCATAAGCTCTGGGGATTGATGAGATTATCACCGTGGACAGACCGAAAGGGGTGTGGAAGCCGGGACGGAGACTGGTAGGTCGTCGTCCGAGGAACGAAGAAAGAAGTCGAGGATCGAGCCGCACGATCTCTCAGCCTCAGGCAGCCGAGCTCTGGTTCCTGGAGCTGACTCAGCCGATACTCCACAATATGATTGGCTCCTAGTCGTCTAAGCTGGTCTGAGTCTCACTAAACCGTGGATTCGATCGGAAATCTTATTTGTGGCACACTGGGGTCAGATATACGACCCGAAGTATGTCTGAGTATTTACAGTATCTGTCTATGTATAACTTTTCTACTTGCTGCTCCCATATGCTTTCGTCACGTCTTGGCTCCGCTGGTAGTCACCCTTCAAAGCAATGTCGAATACTTGGCTCAGCCGCGCAATTGCATCATCAGAGACCTCTGTTGATAAGTCAGAAATAGGCTTGAGTCATCGCTGCACGAGAGACAGTCGCAATCACAGTCACTTACGGTAATGAACAACAACCCGGTTCCCTAGCAGTTGCAAACCCTGTTCCTGGCCAATGGCGGTGAGATCGTTGGGTCCCACCCCGGACGCCTCCAGATCTAGCCAGATCATATTGGTGTGCACGGGATACTGCAGCTTGCCTCCACGACTGGTCCAATATTCTGCGACTTGCTTGGCCTTGGCATGCGTGGCAGGAAGCTTGCCGGTCTTGCCATGGTCATCTGTACCGAAGGTTTCGTCGAGGGCGATCCGGGCAGCTGCAGCAAAGACTCCCGTCTGGCGAGCGCCACCGCCGATAGACTTTCGGAACCAACGGGCCTTCTTGATAAAGGCTTGCGATCCAACGATGATACTACCAATGGGAGCACCAAGGCCCTTGGAGAAGCACAGACTTACACTGTCAAATAGACTCGCGTATTCGACAAGACTGCCAGCCCCGGAGACAACAGCCTCCCACAGCCGAGCGCCATCCAAATGCACTTTGATATCATTGGCATGTGCCCATTCTACAATACGTCGCGCCTCATCGAGGGGCATGATCAGGCCGTTGAGTGTGTTCTCTAGGCTAATCAGCTTGGTCGGGCAGTGGTGAATATCGTCGTCTAAAACGGCATTTTTTTGGATGTCCTCCAAGGTCAAATGGATGCCATTTCTGGGGACAACTGTCTGTACAGTTGCGCCGGTCCAAGCGCTGACACCCCCTGCCTCATAGCAGATGATGTGAGATCGATGGTCGCACAGCACAGCGTAGGGAGGCTGAGTCAAATGGGAGCGGATAGCGACTTGGTTTCCCATGGTTCCTGACAACACCAAGAGGGCATCCTCATGCTTGGTCCTCTCAGCCACATAGCTCTGTAGGGTATTGGTCGTTGGGTCCTCGTTGAAGACGTCGTCAAGGAGGGTGGTCTGGCAGATTGCGTTGAGCATGGCTGGGGTCGGTTTCGTCATAGTGTCACCTAATATAAAATTATTTTAGTATGCTGCATTGCCCAACCTTGGAGAAAGGCATACTGCGCAGATCAAATTCGGCAGCACCAGCTCCATGCCAGCTAGTTTGGCCATTGACAGCCGAGGTGTCTGCCATTGTAACAGTTGTCAGGGAGAATTTTCGGCCCGGTGGTGCTTTTCGTAGGATATAAGAAGACCTAAGAGCCCCAAATGGCCGACGGAAGGCTTGCAGTGAGTGAGTCATGGAGCTTTATCGGCAGCAACTCCGGAGGGTCGGCGAAAAAGTGCGGGGAGTATGGTAATCACGTGACTCTATATCGGAGACATTTAGCTTGCTGGTGGAACGTTGGATGCCTGAATGGTTGGTTTGTGATATATTTACAGCATTATTGGCACACCAAATCCTTTTGACCCAGACTCTTGTGTAACCGAACTGCCGAATCCTTCGCAGCTGGAATACTGCCATGAGGTCACTGCGCAGATACTCCCCTTATCGATAACCGAATCAGGAATAGCGTGACGAGGGGCCTGGACCGCTGACTCAGCTCTTGGCGACTGGGATGCGCTGAGAATCCACACATTCCTCTCGACACCAGCACACTCTCCGGGCGAGTCGCATCGCGAACATGGATTTGAGTGACCTCACGAGGCCTGCAATTCTTTGCCAGTGCCTGCGGTGCTCCAGCTCGCTGGCCGTACTGGAGAATGAATGGGGCAAGCTATCCAGCGTCTATGGCGTTGCGACAGCATGGTTAAGTGTCAATCTGCAACGTATTACGATTTCTTCAGAACAGAAACACATTCCACAGACATCTGAAATGAGTCTCCTTCGAGGTCGCATTGCCCAAGATGTCTCCTGCAAATTGTGTCAACAGAAACTGGCGGTTGTCTGCGGACTGGATAACGGGTAAGTGGCATGGATTCGATTTTTGATTTACAACTCGGGGTTAGTGGTGGCTGACGCTTACTGCGCTTTCTAGCCCTAACATTCTTTGGAAGATGTCAAAAGTGTCGTTCAGAGAAATTGTGACAATGCGAACGGCCGACCCCCAATTCAAAGAGGGAGCCCTGGACAAACTGCTCCCCCCTCCCCCGCCGGAACCCCCTCGACGTTCAGCTCAGGATAACGCATTGGTACCATCGGGTGCACAAGATCTGTTATCATTAGACCCGGCGATGCATCAGCAAATGCAACATCAGGGCCGAAGTATCGATCAGATATCCAACTCGGTCAACCACCTGCAAGATACCATGGCAGACTTGAAGCATTCATTCACCTCACTTCGTATCGAATTAAACGGGCCGAGTCGGAGCATGAACGACCATACATCCATGGGCGGACCTGGGTTTGACATGATTGCGACGGTTCTGAAGGAGCTAAAGTCCAAGTCGGATGAAATTGAGAAGCTGAAGCTGGAAATCGAGGCGTTGAAGTTGAAGAATCGTTTCATGGAGGAGCGCAAGCCGAACAGCCCTGAATATACATCCCAGATGAATGGCAGGATAGCCGATGTACAAAGCCCCGGTCTCCTCCAGGCCGGGAGAAAACGAGCTTGGCCCGACGCATTCTCGACTGGTCCGCCACCTGCGATTGCAGATTCGTTCGATGAAGAAGATATGGTAGATGACCTGTCACTCGAGAACTTGCCAACATACAATGTCCGTGTGCCGCCTACACAACCTGCACGTCAGCTACCTTCCGGCCCCACCCAGCTCCGCATCGAGGCTAGGCAAAAGGACAGCATCCCAACCAGCACTCCACCTACAAGTCATTCAGAACAGACCGTGGCTAAGCGGCCACGGCTTACACAAACCAAGGATCTTCAATTGAACTCAGAAAGACCTCGCGGCCGGCCGCGAAAGTCCAACGTTACCGGGCCACCGGCAGACCCTACGACTGCCTCAACCTCCCAGAACGGTACAATTCAAGTCCCGATCGCGCCCTCGAGCCCGGAACCACAAACTACTAAGCGCCGTCGCCTTCGCCGGAGCACGCGTTCACAGTCCTTTGGGCCGACTTCAATGCGGGCACAGGTTGAATCACAGGAAACTCCTGCTCAAGATCTATCATTAATCAACGGCGCAGAGAGCAATGGAAATGGTGATGCCCAGCAGAATGCCGAAACGTCGTCCTCTACAGCAAAGGGATCTACCAAGAATGGAGCAAATACGGCTGAGGAAGCACGGGTTACGGAGGAAGAGAAACGCAAGGCCAAGATCGCGGCGCGGGACGCCATGACTCGAAGGGCTATGGAGCAGGAGGAACAGATGGAAACGGATGGTTCCCGTTGAGGTGAAACTAGGGGATGTACGATAGAGATATTTTGTGAAGTGGTCTTTGTGCTTGTATTTGAGCTGACCTCTTTTGTTCATGACTAGCCGGAGATTTGCATCAATAGAATTGTCGATACAACCAGGTCTAGTGCTGACCTTGAGGACATCACGAGCGGGCTTTGAGTGACGATCGCAACTAGGTGGCTTCCTGAAATTAGTACCTGAGCATCGGTGGCAGCCATTATCAAGCATTTGCAGGGTACTCCAGACTAAATTGCTGCGTCGCACATCGATACTTGGGCTCTATAAGTACGTCGAGCAAGACGTAAGTGATGTTTAACAATTGATTGCTCACGAACTTTTGGTCACGTAGGATACAATTTTGGCCACATGACAGCCCAATCCCACAACACATACTTCGGGGCTAAGAAAAGTGGTTGATCTTCCTCAGAACACACTCTCAATCCGCCCGGAGCCGCTTTGAAGATCTCGCAGCAATACCCAGACCTCCCAAAAGCGCAGACACTCCCGTAAAGACAATCAGAGGTCCAAAGCCCGAGCCATACGCCTTGGCCGCAACACCCGTCCAAGCAGACCGCTTGAGCAGAGCCTCACTCAACGGGCCACTCACAATATTGCCAATACCCCGACCGGTAGACAAGAAGCCAAAGACAATGCTGGAATCAGCATATGTGCTCTTCTTCTTAACTTCATTAACAACCGCGGGCCACGTAGACGTGAAAGATCCGGCAAAGAGACCATAGAAGATGCAGAAGATATACAGAGGCGCCAGAGTGTCAGCAAAGCCCCAGATCAAAAACACCGCAATGGTACTTCCAACAGTGGAGCCAAGGATGCAGGTAGTAGCATGGTACCGATCAACCAACGAGCCCATGATGACGCAGCCGAACACGGAGGCAAGGTTGAAGAGCATGACGGTCAATGAGGACTCGATGTTGCTGGCGCCTAGGCTACGAGCGTAGGAGGGCAGGTAAATGGTAGGGAGGAAGTAGCCCATGGCCTCCAGGATGTTCCCCGTTTCGTAGATGAGGAATGTAGACTCCCAGAGGAACTTGAAGTCGAAGGGTCTGGATCGCGAGTTCCGTGAAATGGGCAGACGGGGGCGAAGGAAGTACAGCAGTGGGCCGCCGAGGACCATCAGCGCGACTGACCAAGCACGTAGTGTTGTCTGGGGCCCGAAGGAGTTCAGCATCCATTGAAGGACGATGGGAAGAATGACTCCAGATAGTCCAGTACCGGCCTAGAAACCAATTAGAGATGTGATTTTTTTGACAGCATTTAGGTTCATGGAGTGATCACTTACCCACATAATTCCGAAAGCGAGTCCCTTTCTCTGAACGAACCAGTCATCCATGAAGACGATTGTGGGGGCATATGCCAGACTAGCTCCGATGCCATAAGCAACACCTTGCGAGACGATCAAGTGAGCGGTGGTTGTCGCAAACGAGCTCAGCGAGAGCGACAGACACATAATGACAAAACCGATCGGCGCGGCCCATAGTTTGAGACGAGGGACGGCTTGCAGTAGAATGAAAGCCACCGGAAGCAACATGTACGAGATACCCTGTCCATATTCAGTGAAAGTCTCTCATTAAATCCAAAGACAGAAAGCTTACCATTGCGCAAGTGCCAACCACGGCGGTATCACCGGAACTCTTGAAAGGCTCATGAGTGCTGTAATAGTCCTGGAAAATACCAAATGAAAAAGTGAAGCCTAAGAGTATACAAAAATGAGCATATAGTACGAAAACAATTACCCCAAAATTGACATCTCAACATACCCCAGATCAACGCTTCGATAATGAAGCAAGCCGCCAAGAACAGCCACGCCCTTCGACCGCGATCCACCGGTGGCAAATTCATTTCGTGGTAGTCAGCCACACTGTCTCGAGAAGAGACTTCAAAGGTGTCCATTGTCGTGGAACTACCGGAAGGAGCGCCATTCATGATAGGCAGGGGTTGCAGGTAAAAGGCTAAGAAAGGGCGTATGAAAAGGACGAGAACTAGGATTGAATTTTATCATACGGCTTTAAATTGGCCGTGTACGCCCTGTCCTTGACATTCGTGTGGGGGCCGTTCTCCGGATGGGGGATGGCGTTCCACTCCCCCGAATGGCAGTGTAGCCCCACAGTATAGAAAGTAGCAGAGTTCACGCTATAATGAAGCAGAATCACCATAGATGCAAGGAAATGGTGGCATCTGGCCGTGCCATAGTCGTCGCGTAGTGGGTGGTAGAAAGAGAAAAAAAAAGAAAATCACTCCAACAAACGTAGAGTATATCCTTGGATGGGCGGGTTGATGCACCAAATAAGATAGTAGAGTAGAAACCTACCTCAGCTTGGGTGGCATAATGTCAAGGTCTGCCTTTGTAGTGTTAGTCTTCCTGCCTGCTACTGCCACTGTCGTAATCTGTACCCAGGTAGGGATCTAAGTAAGAAACGATCATCTGCCTTACATTCTCCTGGAAAGGCTCGTTGACAAGGTAATTCTTGAATAAGGAATCAATATAGCCAGTTTGAAACGAGAGGACAAAATGGATCCTCATATTGCTAGCGGGATGAGGGACGACTCATCTGGTGGTCAAGATATGCAAATCCCCAAGCCGTAGTCGCGTCAATAGGACGAATTGGCCATCATGCTCTTCATGGAATCGCTAGAATTCTATGGCTACCGAATTTTGTGAACGTGGGCCGGATCAAAAATAGATTTGATCTAGGGGATTACTAGAACAACCTCTTATCCTTCCATTGATTCAAGTAGGTCAATCAAACATCCCCATATGGGAAGGTCAATCTAGTGCACTTGCGAGCGGAAACCTTCTAGAACAATTCCCGTTTAGGTGTTAGACCTCACGCGCGACAGTCGGCCATTGAACATCAATCACCGATCTGCAAAGCCCGACCATAATCACCGGCGACACCTTTTTGCCCATGATTATTCAGGATCGGCGCTTGTTTCTCGCGCTTCCGAAACTCTGAACGCGAGACGAGAGATTGAAATTGCGGAATTCGGTCTACATGGTTCCGCCTATACAGCTTGATAAACAGAAAGATCATGCAATCGTAACAGTTTGCACACTGTAGTAAACCATCGAACTGGTAGAAGTAAAAGATGCCAGTAGGTACAGTAGCCGCTGAGAAGAGTGTACTTCATTTCCAAACATCCATCCCAATCGGGATTTTTGCCCAGATCCCGTTCCACACTTGCCCGAAGCGGACAAGCCCAGACACCCAGAAGCCAAACCTTCAGCTCGACTACAGATCAAGAGCCACTCCTACTCGAGACTTCCCACGCTTCTTCCAGACACAGCTTCGGGATATCTCTTGTCACTGTTCATGAGCTGCCTTCTCCACCGGGTCTCCCCTGGTATGACTCTCGGAGCGGCGACAGGCGGACATTCCGGACGATCGCGCCAGTCAAGGGTGGCTTGCTTACTACCATCTTCGTAATTAGCGGTCACCGGGATTCGCGCTTATCTGCTTCGATATATTTGAACGACACCCTTTTCCCGCCCAAAGTGGCTTAGGTAAACGGCTTAATTTGTTGACACATCCTTTTGTCATTACTTCTGAGTAGTTTCACACAGTATATAATCCGTTTATTCCCATCCTTCGACATTTCCGACACCATTTGACCTACCACACCAATGGGCTTCTACTCCAAGGCAAGATTGCCCCGGCCAAGCATCCATGACCCTTCTGTCAAGCTACGCCGGCTGGCGCTATTGAAGGCGGCGACTATCAACCTGCTCGTGCTGCAATTTCTGTTCCTCGGGCTGTTCTGCTACATCTTTGGCTCCTTGTTCCAACAGAACACGCACATCCATAATATCAACGTCCTTTTCGTCGACTACGATGGAGGCGCCATCGGTACAGCGGTACGCGATGCCTATCAGGAGTTAGAAGGACCGAGTTTCCCAACTCTGGACCAGCGCCCGACTTTGGTATATCCCGAACCTGACTCCATTGAGGAAGCTGTATGCAACATCAAGTTCTGGGGAGCTTTGTACATCACCGCCAACTCATCCAATGATCTCACTGCTGCTCTTGCCGGTGGATCGGCTGCTTCATTGTATAATACGAGCAACGTTCTCACCTTGATCTGGAACGAAGCCCGCTACCCGACAACCGTCGACTCAGCCATCTACGACAAGTTAATCACCCTCTCCGAAGCCGCGCGAGTGGCCTACATGAAAAACAACGCGAAGCAGACCATCCAATCAGTCAACAGCTCAGACGATACAGCTCTTTCCGTCTTTTCTAATCCCTGGACCTTGTCCTCTGTGAATCTCAAGCCAACCTCACAAGGATCCCGCCTAATCTACAACACCCTCGTTATAATCCTAATCATGATCCAAGAATTCTTTTACTTGGGTTACGTCAACGGCCTCTATCAACAATTCAACCTCTACCTATCCATTAAACCGCGACGAATCGCCATCGTCCGACAAATCATCTCCGGCGTATACACATTCATTGGGTCCCTGTGCACTGCGGGCGCGATATGGGCTTTCCGAAACAACTGGAATGTCAACGGAGGCCAGTTCATGCTCACTTGGATGGCGCTATGGCTGTTTGCGCATCTGAATTTCCTCGTCCTAGACGTGGTTACCGTCTGGGTATCCCCGCCTTTCGTACCGATGGTATTCATATCGTGGATCGTGTTGAATGTCACATCCATTCTCCTTCCGTTCGAGTTATCACCCGCGTTCTACAAAATCGGTTATGCATTCCCTGCGCATAGCATCTTCAACGTTCTGATTGATATCTGGTCTGCCGGATGCAACCCACAGCTCTACTATGGACTACCCGTTCTCTTTGCGTATGAGATATGTGGTCTCGTGCTTAGCTCGGTCGGCGTGTACAGACGCTCGCACTATGCTGTGATCAAGCAGGAGAAGGATGAGAAAGATCTCCATGACCGCGTCATGGCGGCAATTGCGGAACAGCAAGATCAACAATTGGCGAGGGAGGAGACCCTGGAATATCCAGAGAGCAGAGCGACTGATAGCGAGCGTGAGGAGGGTGCTAGGGAGAGGCGGGGAACTGTGACCACGATGCTAGATCGGGGTGACGTTATGGATGTGATTCGACGGGAGATGTCCCGACCCAGGGACGAGACATCGAGTAGCCGAGCGAATAATGGGCCCTGTTTTGATCTGCCGTATAGTGAATAGTTAAAAGTGATCGACACTGTCTTTTATTGTTGCAGATCCGAGAGACATGTTGGTTTCCAAGATAAGATATGTATTTCATTTATCGGTACTATGATGTCCATAGCAGCGTACATGACTCAAAAAAAGTTTATTTGACACACATGAAGCCACATCCTTCACGTGCACGGTCACAAGCCCGCTTCAACGCCTGCTCTTCGGTATCCGTCCACTTTACACTCAACTCGTTCCACGGCTTACGCGCGTTGAACTCTTCACGGTACTTGCGATGCATGTTCTGCAACCGGCTGACCTCACGCGGGTCACCGGTTCCAGAGTACACGATGAAGAGCGTACAGGGCGGCAAGGACTCGTAAATACGGGAGATATCTGAGACGGTTTGGCTGACCGACTCAGCGAGACTCTTATCTGTCGTAGTGATGGCGGGACCGGACGTCGGAGTAGTCTCTTCGGGGGGCGGGACGAGAGCTGTGGACTCGTTGGCATTGTTCGCATCGGGCATACGCGTACACCAACCCCGAGTCATTTCGAGGTTGCGAAGGCGTGCCCAGGTGAAATCCACACCGCCGCCTGGAATGGCCGTGTTGGACTCATCGCCCTTCACGGCGGAGGCGATGCCCTTGACGACATCGTCGTCATCGCGGCAACCAATTGAGACGGTGGCTTGTGAGCCGAACCCGCGCTCCGGGTTGCCCCAGTCCACGACGGCACCCGTTCGTCCCTCGCCGGGGGCGGTGGACTTTCCATTCTTGGTGGAACGGCCAAGGCGACGGAAGATGCTTTCGTTCGAGGCTTCGCTCGTACCCCAGAGCTCGCCCTTTTCACACTTGAGTTTGACAAGCTCAAGGACGGCTCGGGCATCTTCGATAGAGTCGTGGCCAGTTGTTCCCTTTTGGATTTCCTTGTTCAAATATTTCTGCGTGAGCCACTTGAGACTGCACTTCAATGGCGGACCACGAGGGTGGGGGTAGATGTGGGCAGTATCGACGATAAAGGGATGAGTGATTTTGAGCGCTGTAAGATCGGAGTTGAGGGAGTGTCCAACAAGGATGGAACGAGGGGTCAAGATAGTGAGAAGTCGTTTCTGAATATCGGCCAGTGTGGTCGTAACTGGATCAAGCATTTCCTTGGTAATGCCGGAGTAACGGGTCAGATAGTCGATGATCGGTTTGGCAGGCTTGACCAGTTCATCCAGGACGACCTCTCCATCCCATCCAACCATACTGATGCGGGTGAGTTCAGACTGACCACCTTCGGTGAGACACATCTCACAGTCGAGAGACAAAACGTTCCGGCCCGCGGTCACGCTGCCTTTCTCAATCTCGGTGTCAGGAACTTCACCCGCCTCCAAAGTAGGAACTTCGGTATCCACCCAGCCATGCTCCGTAGCCTGCTCTGCTTGGCGGCGAACTGCCAGCTGAGACTGCTTCTCTTCGTCTGATGTAAAGAATGCCGGATGAAGAGTGTACTCATTCTCACGCAGATCTTCTGCCGTGCTGATGAATGTCGTAATTGGTGTCCGCTTTGGAACGAAGCCCTTGTCCACTTTAGCCGGACGTGCACCCTTTCCACTGCCACCGCTCTCCTTCGACTTTGGCAGTGATGACAACAGTATGGCTTGAAGTGGTGAGTGCACCTTGTTGTACTTGGCATCGCCGGGGGCCTTGACGGGCCAGACGTGGGGAAACATTTTTCCCAATGGCCGCAACGGCTCAGGCAGCGAGGCTGGATCGAGAGCTTGGGGATTGAATCGGGATAAGCGATCATCAAGAGGAAGCCCTTGCTTCCATCGCTCAAAATCGGCGTTCTTTCGATCCTCTGCCGATTCCTCTGGCACTTCGGGGTGAGTGGCCTCGTCCTTCTCCTTGTCCACTTCCTGTGGCTCCAATGGTAGTGTGCCGTCAAACATGCCAATCTCAAGACCAGGAACCATCAGGACCACGACTTTGCGCATGTGTCCCGAGTGCTTAATCGAGATCCATTGGGGCGCAATCCCGTCTGCAAAGCAGTACAGTAGCAAGCCCTGCAAGTCGGAAATTCTGATCGACGACTTCAGTGTGCCTTGAACATATGTCAGGTCTGGATATTTGGTCTTTTCTCCGTCAACCCGCTTCCTCTTGGTACTCGGCTGCTGTTCATCCTTGGTGCTCTGCGAGGCGTTCGGGGGTGTCTGATCAGACTTAGGGCTTGAGGCATGATTCACGCGAGTGAGGGTCTCTGCGACACCGAAACCATTTCCATTAGTATCAGCAACAGGATCAGAGTCCTCATCCTCACGCTTTCGCTTATTGTGGCGCGCCATCTCCTGCTGTAGAGTTTGGAAGACTTGATGTCGCGCGGCGGAGAAATCATAAAGATAAAGAGAATCACGTGATGATAAGTGATAAAGAAATTGGAGAGCCAGAATAGATTATTGCTGACCGCCCCCAATACCGCCTTGCCAATAAGAGCATCATGTCTGGCAGTATATCCAACGGCCAGGAGGCGTATCAATTTGAATGATTTTATAATGCAAAGAACGTGAATTCTCTATGACCTAGTGCGGGGTTAACTTCCCTACCGCTACCAACAAGGGTCTGAATTACTTTAAAGATATACAACCTGATTCATCCTGTCAATGTTCCTGAGAAGACCCGCAAGTACTAGGAGCACGTTACTTTGAGTAAAACCGTCACAGCTTTAATGTCCCAAGTCTTGGAATACATGATGTTCTCATTTGGCACTCTCAAGTCCTCTGACCTGTATAAGTGAGTTGAGTAAAACCTTTCTCGGTCGCAATCTCTCAGCGATAATTTATCAAGCTTCAGACCCTTATCAGGTCATAGTTGGGCAGCGACGGGCGCTAATAATAAACTAACGCTGCGTAAGTTACGCACTATCGCCGAAACCCTTGTAAATTACGTGTATCTGCCGAACGATCTGATAACGGACGATCGCCGGAAAATTCGCCCTCGTGAGTCGTCACGCCATCGATCTTCACTTCCTTCTATACACTTGCATCCCATCACAGCCTCCATTGTCACCGGCGGCAAAGTCAGCTTTCATTATATTCAGGCTCTATTTGCCACAGCATAGTCACCGGACACATACCCACGATCCGCCTTTCTTTTCTAGGCATACACTCCCTCCTCCGGCTTCGGGAAACCCCTCCTCAAACACTCCCCCACCCATCATGTCCGCCCTCATTGAAGTCGCCTCGGAGACCGACTTCACGTCGCACTTGGCCTCGCTATCGCCATCCGCTCTACTAGTGCTATACTTCCACACGCCATGGGCCGCACCATGCACACAGATGCGCGCCGTCCTCGAGGCCATCGCCGGCCAATACCCTGCCGCCTCCCCGCCGGTCATCTCGTTTGTCAGCATCAACGCAGAGGAGTTGCCCGATATCTCGGAGGAACTCGACGTCACAGCGGTTCCATTTGTCGTACTGATGCGCGGTGGTCAAAGGCTGGAGGATATCAGCGGCAGTGACCCTGTCAAGGTCCGCACCGCTATTGAGCGTCACGCTGGTGGCGCTGCGTCCGCGGACGGCGCGAAGACCAGCATTCCTGCTGCGCTCTCAGCTACGCCCCGGGAGAACGGCCCCGAAGTTGCGACGCAGTCTCCTGCTGCTGCGTCTACTGCGCCCGAGCCTGCGGTCAACGCCATCGATGTCTCTTCTACCCCGGCTCTGACCCCCGAGCAGTCCAAGGAGGCGCTGTGGGCCCGCCTCGAACAGCTTGTTAAGGCCGCCCCCGTCATGCTGTTTATGAAGGGTACACCTAGCTCGCCGCAGTGTGGCTTCAGCCGGCAGCTCGTCGGAATTCTGCGTGAGAGAAGCGTTAAGTACGGCTTCTTCAACATTTTGGCCGACGAGGATGTTCGTCAGGGTCTGAAGGAGTATGCCGACTGGCCCACTTTCCCACAGCTGTGGGTGAGCGGCGAGCTGGTTGGTGGACTGGATATCGTATGTTTTCACTTTCTACCCTATGCAATTGACAATCGAATGGTTTGCTAACTTTTTGCTCTAGGTCCGCGACGAGATCGAAAACGACCCTAGCTTCTTCGACCAGTTCTCGGTCAACAAGCAGTCTTAAGTGGTCTGTTCCAGCATAATACCCTCATGACCTACCCCCAGGGGCCGAATAAAAGAAAAAGACCAATTCTATGATGATAAACGTATTTGCTTGGATGTGAAATGGCTTCCAAATCCAGGCATATGTATTTCTCTACTTTAAATTTGATTCAGTATTTTTTAAATTGCCCATGTTGTCTCATGAAGCTTATGTCGTAAATAAGCACAAATGCTGTCATTGGTTACAGAAAATCTTGTAGACCGCAAAATGGCTTGTCAAGAACAACGCTATCTTCGCTCAAAAGATGCCATTATGCAAAAATGAAGATTACCTCATACCAAACTTTCGCTGGGCTTCATGTTCCAGCGCTCATCGTATTTACAGAGTAGGATTTCCCAGCTCAGGGACTCGACGCTCCTCAATGGGTTCGAACAGGCTCTCCATCTTGTCCTTGCAAAGTCGAACCGACATCTCCAAGAGGTCCGGCCTCTTCGATAATCTTCTTTCCTTCCTGCAAACGAGCCTCTGCAATCGCCAGTTTTGCCTCCTTTGCCGAAGTCTCCGCAATTTCTTTGCGGACACCAACAAGGCCCATGAAGGGATCAGCAGCCTTCCACGTAATAGCCTGCTTCGCGCCACAGACAGCATAACGAGACAACAACGCATCCTCATCCACGTACGCACCAGCCAACCATCTCGAGCCAGTGCCGGTGTTGAACTTATTCCGGGCGTGGACGACGCGACGGTTATTGAAGATCACGCACTCGCCGGGGTTCAGCTTCAACTTGAAAACTGAATGATGGCCCTCCATGATTTTGGTAAAGTGGGTCAATGCCCGCTTGAGATCGGCATAGCCACGAATACCGGAGCCCGCCTTACCCTCATATTCAGGCAACGCAGACTGGAAGGGTGGGGAGTAGTTGACGTAACGGAGCTGCTTTGTTTTGGGGTCGAGCTGGAACACGGGCCTGGTGTTGTGGTACTTGTGCTCATCATGTGCATACTCGTAGCCCAGATGACGACAAGAGAGCGCCTTATACTCAGTTGGGAGCTCGGTCTTCATGATGTTGGCAACACGGAATGTATCGGCGAACAGGGACTCGCCTCCGTCACACGAGTTCTCCAAGCAGTGGAGCAACTGATAGCCCGGAGGTTCGTTCATGTACATGAGATCCATGTGGAAACCCAAGAATTGGTTTGTGTATGCGATGTTCTTAGCCTGTGGGACCGTTTTCACGTCCCAGGTTTCACCATAGAAGGTATTGCGTAGCGGGCCCATCCGGGTTGCAATCTTCGCAACCATTTCGCGTGAATCGGGGATATCCTTAACAAAGATAAGACCGAGGCGCGACAGATTGCGCATAGCTGCGGCGAACTTAACATCATCATTCATATAATCCTCATACGACACCCAATGTTGTAACCTTTTCATTAGATTACTTGTCCATCGAAGTGGTTTCATATTCGGCGATGTCTGTTCATGAGGATCCAGAATCGGGTTCTTGAGATAGTTGATGTGCCATCGAGATGTATGACCCTTTTCATAGCCGGCAATATCATTCGCCCATTCTACCTCCAGGTGTGTTCCATCCCAACGCACAACTTGCGGATGGACGTCTTTGGGAATATCGCTGGTCCGGAAAGACCGTTGTTTCGAGTGAGGGTCCACGCATTTGGGACACTTGCAGAGGTCGCGCAGGTAGTACAAGGGCAGAATCGTTCGACCGTGCTCCGCGGCCCATAAAATCAACTTGTCCGGGTGAAGGTAAGCCTCCGCGGGTTTTGCGATTTCCATCCGAACGACTGGTCCGGGCTGACCATTGATGGCGGGGCGTTTAACTCGACTGACAGAAACAGCCTTGCCACCTTGATCAATTAGACGGCCGGTTTTGACTGCATTCAGGAGCAGTGCGTTGCTCGTCAGACGGGCCATGGAATCCTCCTCGGCCTTGCTCCGTCGGACCGAAGTGACGAAACTGCGCCGTGCAGGGCTGGCGAGGCCCCGCGGGATACGTCGAGCCGCAACGAGGGAGGCGGGACGCATTGGTGAGCTTGTAAGACAGCAATTGGGACGATCAAGAGCACGAAAGAAGAAGAAACGAGGGGCAAGAGAGGGGGGTACGGGGACAACATGTGATGTCCTTGACCCCGGACTCCGCTAATAACGGGTAGCTCGCCAGTTCGGGCTATTGTAACCGCGGTGACTGCACGTTACCCGCCCGTACGGTAAGAGTTTGTATGCCGAGGTACGGTCCGCTGACTACTCTGCCCCTTGATGCCTGGAAAAGTGATGTCGGTTTCTGCCCTGCTGCCTCTCTTATAAGGTGTCAAGGCAGCACATTCCAGACTTACGTAAATCACCGCGGATAACCCCATTCCAGTTCGCCCCCGGCTAAATTTATAAAAAAAAAAAAATAACAAACCGGTAATCAAGGACCCATCATGGATTCCTGTTCCTAACAAAGCCCCCGTTTACACAGCCATGTCAGCCGGGGGCCACCATCTCAAAGATGAAGGGACCAAGCGACAAGTGGTCCTGGCAGGCGGAGCCGCAGGGCTGATCTCGCGCTTTTGCATTGCGCCGCTCGATGTCGTCAAGATCCGCCTGCAGCTGCAGGTTCACTCCCTGTCGGACCCAATCTCGCATCGGACGGTGGTCGGGCCCGTATACAAGGGGACTCTGTCCACGATGCGGGATATTGTGATGCAAGAGGGGATAACGGTATGTTGCGCTACGTGGTCGTGATGGGCTCGAGTCCTCCACCGGGCCCATCGATCCTAATTGCGGAGGTGGGACCAGCTAACGATCTCTGGGGATAGGGTCTATGGAAAGGCAACATACCTGCAGAGATGATGTATGTCTGCTACGGAGCCCTTCAATTCACCGCATACCGAGCCACAACCGAAGCGCTGGAGCAATTGGGTCCGCACCGACTGCCGCAATCCGCCGAATCCTTCGTCTCGGGTGCCGTAGCTGGAGGAATCGCAACAGCGACGACATACCCACTGGACCTGCTTCGCACACGGTTTGCTGCCCAGGGTCCGGAACGCGTTTATAGATCACTGGGATCGTCAGTGCTAGAGATCGCACGGCAAGAGGGTGCCGCCGGGTTCTTCCGAGGATGCTCGGCCGCCGTTGCGCAAATCGTACCGTACATGGGATTATTTTTCACCGCATACGAAGGATTCAGACCGGCAATGGCCAAATGGGACTCTTTACCGTTCGGTACTGGGGATGCTGCGGCCGGCGTTCTGGCTAGTGTCATCGCAAAGACCGGCGTGTTTCCCTTGGACTTGGTACGGAAGCGTTTGCAGGTGCAAGGCCCAACGCGGACTCGATATGTGCACCGGAACATCCCCGAATACACCGGAGTCGTGCAGTCTATAACTCTGATTCTGCGCACGCAGGGCGTGCGAGGATTGTACCGTGGGTTGACTGTTAGCCTGCTCAAGGCCGCGCCGGCCAGTGCTGTGACAATGTGGACGTATGAGCGGGTTCTGAGGTTTCTCCAGGAGACAGAACTAGCAGTATTGGATTGATACATCACCGATTGGGTTATTGCGTCTTGTTTTGCATGCTGGAGTTCTCTCAAATTAGCATTGGATGGCGTTAAGGAGGGATTTTACGTACTTGCTTGTCAGATAATCAATCGGATCATGAATCGCAACTTGTATTGGTGTGCACTGGAGGTCATTCTGAAATACCTAGGGTTAGTCTCGATTGTGAGAGAGATTACGTTCATGTTAATCGGCGGATCTGCAGTACCGTGCCGCGGACAATTCTGCAGGAACCCAAAGGAGCCGCCTTTGAGTCGGAGTGCCGAGGTTTATGCTGGCTGGGAGGGCATATGAGCTATGCAGGCATGTGCAATAGCAGACCAAGTCAGTACTCGCCCTCTACTGGTGCGAGAGTGGGCATTCATTACGCTCCCGCTTGGTAATATAATACCGCCTTTGAAAGCCTTGATTCTTATACTACCAAGCTGGAACCCCAAGCTATATACCGTGTGAGGACGATGATACGAGCCACAATCATCTAAGTAGGCTTCTATCAAGGCTTTCGCATCCTCAAGCCCTTGCACCCTCAGATTCAGATCAAAACTTGCTCGTTTATGAGTATTATAGTTTTTGAGTACTAGGCCGCTTCCCCTTGGGATCCTCGACTATCATCCTCTTGGTCTCAGACAAACACGAATCATTACCAAGCTTTCTTATGACAGAATGACCATGATAACGTCCCCTTGGAAAACAAGCGAATAGGCTGCATGACTGCACAACTTTATTTTTGTCTGTCGTCGTAACTTTTGCATCTCATTTGTAACTACGTTCCTCTTATGTCCAGTGATTGGGTACGATATCGTGATACCACTATTGCATAAGAAATCTCCCTGATAGCTTCCCAGCCCAACGACAAACCCTCGATTCGATTCTCCATCCCTCAAAGCCGGCTAGTGGGAATGAGATCTGTACACTTGTCTGTTTCGGAGGCAAATCGAATCCCGATGATGACATAATATTCTGCCGGTTCAAAGACTCGTTTATCTCTAGCTTCTCAAGTGAGTGAATTGGAGGAATTTGACCTTCAAGCTCGGTTTGTATGATAAGTTAACCGATTAACCTTAACGGCATCTACGATGACTTTATCATACACGTTCTTTAAGCCCTAGAACGAGGTCCCCCCATGACCGGAAGACCGGGCGGTCGAGCTTGAAATGCGCCCTAAACAGTACAAGTCGCGCCCTATCGCGGTGGCCGAAGCATCTATAAATATCACGCAATATTTAGTGGCGCCCCAAGCCTCGCTAAGCCCTTTCCCTAATTAATTTGACGAACATTTGAGATTCTAAGAGGAAATTCACCGCACAGTACTCTCGTTGGCGACCGGATCAATTATGACGGCAGACACCAAGGTTACCCTGATTCCCTGGGATCCGCAGTCCTTGACTCATCGCCAGCGGCTTATCAAGCAACGAGACGAGTGCGGTTGGGACCAGGACAAAGTTGAGGGTGTATGGAGAGATGGGCAGACGAAAGGATATAAGTGCATTTATTGGATTGTGAGTTATTCTGGCTTATTTATTCGAATTCGTGAAAATAGACCCGCGTGTATCTACCCCGTGGCACTCCGCATATGGCACTAATGAAACTGCCCGAAAGGTTTTGCCTCTAGATGATGATAAGGAAGCAGATGGACAGGCCAGAGATGCGAGCCATGAGTCAAAGGTATAATCTTTATTGTTATTCTTGGACCTTTAAGAGCAACAAACTGACGGGGGTGTAGGCAAATGGAAAGCTTTATGATACAACCACATCAATCAACGGGGTACCCCGAGAAGCTACCCAAAGGGAATTTGTACCTATCGGACACATCTCTTTGGACTCGCGGTACCCAGGAGTAGAGAAAGTGGGTGTCTCTAGCTCAGCGCCTGGCCTATTCTGGATTAAATCGTTTTATGTGTCTAAAGCTTATCAAAGCAAAGGCATTGGGCGGGCGGCAATGGATGAGGTGGAGTCCATGGCTGTGAGAGAGCCATTGCTTGCGACAATGCTGATGCTTGATGTCATTCCGAGCGAAGACCAAATGAGGGAAGACTTTGCTCTTGCAACTTATGGAGCTGTTCCAAAGGTAGGCGACTTCCAGGTATCAAAATACCGACATGTTCAATCTGACGCTCCTGAGTAGTTCAGCACCGAGGAGTGGTACCTCCGTAGGGGTTATGTTCCTGTCAAGACAGTGCAAAACTTCTATGATGTAGTGGATCGGAATGGAAAGCCGTGGGATATGAGGACGATTTTCATGAAGAAAGAAATCCGGTGAATGGGACGGATGGGTTTTTTTTTTTTTTTTTATTCAACAACTACGTTTAAGAGGAAGGACTGTGGGGACAATTACAGTAAATTTTTATTAGAGGTCAGTAGTCTCTTAAGATTTACGAGGATAAAGATACTCATAGTCTCATTTCAAATGATGAAAAATTGAATTCAATCGATCATTAAGTATCTCAGCCAGGAGACAGCAAGTGCATCGCAGGAATTTTCAGAAATCAAGAGCAAGGTTGAAATCCAAATCACAAGCAGACTGATAAAAAATACAGGGAGGAAACGTTTTCAAGAAACCAAAGAAACAATAGCAACAGCGCTGGTAAAATCAAATCCAAAAGAAACAAATTATGTTTTACTTCTTGCCACCCAAGCCCAGAGCATCGGTCAAACCACCCAGACCAAGATTGTTGATCAGCTTGTCCAGTCCAAGGCCGCCAAGGATGCCGTTCAGAATACCGCCCAAGCCAAGTCCATCGAGAAGACGGCCAACCAAGCTGAGAACACCGTTCAACAACAGACCAACTGCAGCGATGATCTGGAACAGAGGCTCGGAGAGCAGAGCCCAAAGAGGGTTCAGCTTCTTCTTGGCATGGGGCATGTCGGCAATGCGCCTCTTGCCGTTATCAATGGTCTTCACCACAGTCTCTGTCAACTCCTTGATCATATCGGCCAGCTGATATTCCTCGGGAGTGGCATCGCGAGTAGAGGCACGAGCCTTGGCGGTAGCAGCGATACGACCATCGGGATCGAGACCGCGAATAGAGCCATTGCACTCCTGCAGGATACGGCCACCTTCTTCGATCAAAGGCTTGACATCCTTGACAAGCTTCTCTTCATCAAGCTCATCCTTGGGAGTGCGGTCTGCCTGATCGAGGCGCTGTACAGATATTCGTTAGTCATACAAATCTTCTTGGACGGTTCTTTGGGGTTGAACTTACGTCGGTGATTTGCTTGCAGATAGGCTTGACCTGGTCGAGAGTCTGGCGCAAAATGTGGCACATCTTCTCGGCCAGCTGACGATCCTGCTCGGCCTTGGCCTGGGCCTCCTGCTCTTCGGCAGTAGGTCCTTCCTCTTCCTCAACCTCAGGTTCCTCTTCGGGGATGTTCTCCAACAGAGTACATTCACCAATCTTGTTGCCATCGTTGTCAATAACGAAGCCGTTGTCGTCAATTTTCTTGCCAACGAGAGTGGCCAGGTTACCAGAAGTCAACTTGCCAATCAAGTTACCATCAGCATCGCGCACCTCACCCTCCTTGTTGACCTTTCGGCCTGACATGGGGTTGATATCGCGCTGCTTCTCTTCAGGCTCCCAGCGCTCGGCTTTGCCAATGGTGTTACCGTTCTTGTCGGAAACATCACCATCTTCATCGACCTTACGACCCACGAGGCGCTTGGCATCGCCCTCAATGAGACGTCCGATGACTTTGTCACCAGAGAAGACGAGACCATCCTTGCCGACAACAGCGTCATCGAAGCCGTAGAATGCTCCTTCGGCCTTCTCCTGCTCAGCTCCGGGAATCAGCTCGGCGCGACCAATGATCTTGCCATCATCGCCCCAGATCTGGCCCTTGCCGTCGACTTTGCGACCAGCAAGACCCTTTCCACCTTCGACAACGCGACCAAAGACAGCGCCCGTGGCAGGGTCCACGACCTTGCCGCTCTTGTTGACAACCTTGCCCTCAAGGATAGACAGATCAGTCTCCTCGGGGGCCTCCTCCTCTGGCTCTTCATAAGGCTCGGCACGACCCTTGACATTGCCGTATTTGTCGGTAATCTCGCCATCCTCATCGACGGCGCGACCGCGAAGCTTCTTGGCATCGCCCTCGATCAGCTTGCCCACGATGGTACCTTCCTCATCTTCGACAAAACCATCCTTAGTCACGACCAGGCTCTCGAAGCCGGCGAAGGGACCTTCAGCCTTGTCCTCGCGTTCCTCTTCGGGGATAAGCTCGACCCGACCGACAACATTCTTGCCATCGTAAATCTCACCATCGTAAATCTTCTTTCCAGCAAGCTTCTTAGGGTCACCCTCAACGACGCGGGCGATGGGGAAGCCTTCAGAGCCAATAACGTAACCAGCCTTGTTAGGGCGCAGGCCGTCCAGGATTGAAAGATCAGGAGCAGCCTCCTCTTCTTCGGGCTCGGGCTCAGGCTCCTCATAGGGTTCGGCGCGACCAATCACGCTGCCATGGCGATCGAGGATCTCGCCGTCCTCATCGACACCACGACCAATAAGCTTCTTTGCGTCGCCTTCGACAAGCTTACCGACACGTCGTTGGTTCTCGTCTTCGATCCAGCCATCCTGGCCGACGACGAGACCCTCGAGACCAGCGAAAGGTCCCTCCTCGTCGTTGTCGTCTTCGACGGGAAGAGCCTTGACCTTGCCAATGACGTTTCCGCGGTTGTCCCAGAACTGACCCTGATCATCAAGGGTAGCCTTCAGTCGAGAAATCTTCTTGGGATCGCCTTCGATGAGTTCACCAATGGGTTTGCCGGTGTCCTTATCGATGACGTAGCCGCGCTTGTTGAGGGTGAGGCCTTCGAGAGTGTCAAGGTCGGGAATGCGAAGCCCGGCCTCCTCAGCCTCCTCAACAGCACCCTCGGCGGTATCCTTAGCCTCATCTACATCAGGCACTGCGTCACCGGCTTCGTCAACGCCCTCTTCGGCCTTGTCGGCGGCCTCGTCCAGGGTATCTTCAGCCTCGCCCTTAGCCTCATCGACATCGGGCACAGCGTCATCGGCTTCGTCAACGCCCTCTTCGGCCTTGTCAGCGGCCTCGTCCAGAGTATCCTCAGCCTTGCCCTTAGCCTCATCGACATCAGGAGCGGCATCTTGAGCTTCCTCAACTGCATCATCATCGACAGCGTCGTCGGCGGCATCCTTGACTTGATCCGTGGGCAGGTTGTCCTCGGCATCTTCGAAATCATCATCAACTTCATCATTGACTACATTTGCCTTATCGGTGACATCTCCAGCAGCTTCCTGAAGATTCTTCTCCTGTTCTTCGACGGGAAGTAGCTCAACACGACCAATGGCGTCGCCATCATCGTCAACAACCTCGCCATCCTCGTTGAGAGTGTATCCAATCAGGTCCTCGGGGTCACCCTCGACAATCTTGCCAACGACCTGACCGGCAGAGTTCTTAATCACGCCGCCGTCAGACACAGCAAGCCCTTCGAGTTGAGCCAAGTCGGTGACGACGTTCTTGGCCTCGTCGAGCTTAGACTCGGCCTCGTCGGGGATGCCGTTGGTCTGTTCCTCAACGTCGTGGAGAATATCAACGCGGCCAATCAGGTCACCATCCTCGTCGACGATTTCACCATCGTCACCGACGGTCTGGCCGACCAGATCCTCGGGGTCACCCTCAACAACCTTTCCAAGAGGGTTACCATCGTCTCCGAGAATTTGGCCGCCATCGGCAACGGAGAGACCTTTCAAGGCAGATAGATCGAGTGGGACATTGTTGGTGACTGTCTCCGCTCCCTTCGAGGCGGTATCCTTAGCACTTCCAGCGGCATCCTTAGCCTTTCCAGCAGCATCCTTAGCCTTCTTCTTCAGACCAGAGGCACCTCCTCCCAGAGGAGCGGCGGATCCTGAAGCCTGAGAGACGGCATCGTCGGGTGGAGAGATGGTGCGGCGCTGTTCGGAGGAAGGTGCCTTCTTCTTGGACTTTGGAGAGGGGGTCTCAGGAACAGAGATATCGTCGACATCGTCTTGGATGGGCTCGGGGGCCTTCGGGGTGAGCTTTTTCGCGGGAGTCTTCTTGACAGACTTGGCTGGGGTCTCTGAGACGCTGGGCTTCGAGGCAGCACTGGAACCTGAGCCCTTGCGTAGCTTGGCGGGGGAGCCGGTCTTAGATCCGACCTTGGGAGGTGCTTTGGCAACAGCGGACATTGTGTGGTGTTGAATATAGGTACAGTGCAAAAAGTGCCTGTGTTAAACCAAATATAATTAGAAATATTCAGATAGTCGTGAGGCGATAAAAGTACTCACAATATAATCAAGTTTTGAAATCAGATCAAAAGAGAAACGAGTACTTGGGTGGTTGATACAATAACGTCGTCAAGCTTCGTGAAGTGTTTGGGTATGGGAGTTCGGCTGGGATATGATACAAAAGCAAAAGCCGATAAATAGGTAAGGTGTGGGGTTAGGTTAAGATAATGGATGTTCTTGGAGAAAATAAATAGTAAGTTTCAAAGTATCTTGAGAAGAAGATTGTCTTATAATGATTTCAAGGTTTCTGATATCATCGAGCTCCTACAACCCATCAAGTAATCTATATAGACGCGCTCATATCAGGTACCACCATTCTTGAGCCTACTACGTCATAGGCCATTGATATCATCGCCAGAGTCTCGCCCTCCTGCGATCCCGGTTAGCAAAGCGGTCGAACCGAGCTAGAGTCTTCCACAGAGTGCACGGTACACGGAGCAGCTACTTACGGTAGGCAAGAGAAGCGGGGAGGCAGAGAGCCACAAGAGCCACAGGGCTGCCGGCCGTATCATCGCTGGCATCATCATAGCGGGGCTGGCAGCGGATCTGATCAATAGAATTGCGTGTAGAGGTGGTGGATCCCTGTGTCTGACAAGGGCGAACCGCAAATAGGAGCTTTTATCGAGAGATTGTGGCTGGATCGGGGTGTGGCAGGACGGGGGGTATGTGGAGCACAACGTGGTAGTATGAAGTATATCATGACGCGGAGTGGGACCCAAGTATATTATTTTCTTTTAGGGGCAGTCAACTGAAGGTCTTTAGGGCTGGATCTGGTCTTAGAATTATATTGTAGCTGCAATGTAGATGGTGGCTGGAAATGGCCGGAGTTCACACCGTGCAGCTATGACTGTAAGGTTGATTCCCGGAATGTTGATTTATTGACGCTGGTCTGGAAAATACCTCCATGTACATGTACAGACCAAAGTTCTCGCTGTATCGAGAATTGACAGGCAGAGAATTCATCATAGCTGTGGCTGACCGGTTACTGGCACATTGTGAGCCATGGAAGTATGCAAGTCTCGCCATTTGGATACAATAACCGCGGGCGAATCAGAGTGCAATATTGAGCAGTTGGCCTTCGACCCCATTGTCCCCGCCTTGATTTGCCTCCCATCCACTTGTGTCACGCTGTCACCCCTGTCACTGTGCCTGTCTTGTGGCTCATGACCATACTGATGTCTGGTTCGCACGCAAGCCTCGACGTCGACAGTGGACTGGCCAGTATCACGCCAGAGCTGATATTGGCCGATGATCATTACATCAGATATTACTATTTGGAGACAGCGGCTGTTGGACAGTGCAACTATAATATGCACAACCGCCAACTACTCAATACCAAGTAATTTCGCTTTGTTTGCTCGGGGACGTTCTCCAAAATAGATGGATTAATGGTTTAGGATTGACAACGGCATTGTTCTCTTCCCATGGTACCTCCACTTCGCTACCCTGAATGAGCGCTGACAACGGCCATAAACAAGTAACAGTAAGCGACTCCTACCCTAAACGCCTGTTTTTTTGTAAGCCGACCAAAACATGTCGGTTATGTCACATTGAGCAGGGGACCCCCCTTGTCGGCAGCGATACGAGTGGTGGACGTGAAGGTCGAGCATCGCTTGGACGAAATCATGATCGATCGGAACGATTCATCATTTTTAATCTATTTGGGTGGAGCCGTCAGCCACACACTTCATGACAAGCAACGACTGATATCATAAGAGGCGAATTCAAGGCAGCGGGCTGATTTTGGTGTTTCAGCTTCACAGATTATTTACTTTCTCCCTGGCTGCCTGTTATTACTTCTAACTTTCTAGGGGGTTATAATGTTTTTATCTTATGGTCTATGGTCGGGGTCACCCCATAATTCGGAGTCGTCGATGACGTCCGATCCGCGACCGTTAGTTTTTACGCCGCGTGGATTGACCCGCTGGAAAAATCCCCGACAGCTGCCAAATCAGAGTTCGGCACTAGCACCAACGGCGTGCAAATCAAGTTTTCTTGGGCCGTGCCCTTCTCGATTTAGAAACTGGGGCGAATACCATTAAATACTGTATACAATGGGGAGACGTCCCTCTACCATTAAATTGCAATTTCGGACTAGTTTCTCTAACGATTTGCCAGCTACTCATAGAAGAGCTTGCTTACAGCTAGAGGTAAAGATTATGGGCGTGTTGCCACCCTTTGGATATTCGCTTGCACCCTGGGGCCTTACATTACGATGAAACTTCACTATATGACAGAAATGTAACTTCAGAATCTTGACTAAACTCCAAATTATCTTTGAAGTCATACTGTGAAAGATTACTACTAAGTTAACTGACTAGTTAGTTACCTACATAGATCGAGTGTTCTTATTTTTGGCTACCCGGAAAGATATTATCAAAGACCATATGAGAGGTACTTGTACTCATGATGGGCTTAGCAGAATTTAGCCCGTTAGATTTTTCTAAGGCACAGGGAGTGCGCGCGAGGAATTTTGCGGTGGCAGCAGCGTCCTAAGATTATATTGAAGGTGACTTATTGAGGAATGAACCTGAACATTCGATTGATAATCATACTACCTGGTGTTGTCTAGATTGATATCGACAAGCTTTGTCGATGATTGGTAGAAGCTCAATCGCGCCCATTTGCCTACTTTGTAGTCCGTCTGCTAAGCTGAAGATAATTTAAGTTCTTTCCAGATGCTACAGCTCCGAGTAAATCTGGAATTCACCGGCATCTACCATGTCTGACAGCGTTAACTACCAGCATCGAAGACAACGCGGGGGAATTATTCAAGAGCAAAAATCCTGTCGGACAAACAAGAAAACAAGTAATCACTAGGCTTTGGTCAGCCGACAAACGCCATCAAAGCAACGAATGACATTGCTCAAACATGAGGGTTCACGAACGACAATGCCCATAGCTCCATCAGTGGTGTGGTTGTCTCCCGCTAGAGTTACGGGTCATCTTCATGTGATTTCCCACTGCTATCAAACTGAGCGTCGCAGGCTAGGCTGGAAGCCTAGACCATGGGTTGGCGGATCCCGCTTCCTATGCACGATCTGGATGGCGTCTGATCCGAGGAGGCGTTTACCCACAAGGTGGCGGACATACTCCATCGTCCACTCTTGATCGCGCTTATTGGTTGTCTACACCTCCCATCGTAAATCAGCATATCATCACTTCAAAAGAAAATTAGCAATACTGACATCGTTGACTGGTGCCAAGAAATTTTCACTAATCCCAGGTGTTGGAATTTGAGAAGCCACAATCTCAATATCACCCCTTGGATCGGCATCCGCACGCTTAATGCCTGAATCATCGTCGACGATGTTGGCAGAGTCGATCTCCCCGATCGGAATGATTTCGTGTTTCTCGATAGAATCATCGGAAGGGGAATAATTTCGCTTGAATTCCAGCATATAGCCGGCCATCGGTGCGCCCACGGCTTCGATCAAGGTTCCTTGCTCTGGGGCCCCATCAGCAGGAACAAAGATCGCAAAATGCGCCCGTTGAGCTTCGGCATTACGGGACGCGATGAGATGAACGGTTCTGAGTGTCATATGTGGCAGATGAGAGCTGTTGTAGAAGGGAGAAATATCCCCAGGTTCAAGGGGCAATCTTGAATTCACAGAATTGACGTAATGGGGGCCCAGGGCGGAGCCTCCCCACTGCGGGGTACCCCAACATTGCCAGCTTTTGGCGCACGAGAGATTGATACTGTACATATCCTTCTGGAGGTTGGTGTGACCGTCTACTGGGCAGCTGTTGTCCTACCTAACATTGCATCTGATGTCGAATTTGGAACTGGAAGCTATATCAAGTTGATTCCACTATCCAAAGCCTCGTTACGTTTCCAGATATATATAACGCAATATTAGCCTGGAATTCGTACTCGAGTTCAGTGAATTCAATGCTTATTGGTGATTCTGACACGAAGCAAAACTTGCTAAATAGACACATGATAGGTCAATTACCTACAGATTGATGTCAATTGTAAAGGTCGGTAATGAGCTAATTCAGAAAGAACGTACATGCACATTAATATGATCAGAGATTCGATTTTTCAACAAAGTGAGTATGCCTTATGAACTCCGACCTAAGGGAGTTGACAATATAATCATCACCTGAGACAAAAAAATTGTGGCTCCAAAGTGGACTTTGTCGGTGGCATTCAGTCATCGTGCTCCTTCCCAAACCTATACTTGGTTAGCGTTAAGACACCTTATTTGGCGCTAACACGGGGGCAGCGAACAGACGAGATACTGTAGAGCTCTGACAGTGCCACCTGATCTTAACGCTAGCCAGGCACAAGCTCCTTATCTAATCGTGCTCCAAGTGCGGTTCAGACTATAACCCCGCTCCCCCTGCCCAGAGATACAGAGATAAGCCCGACATTGCAGGAGGAGCTGTCAGGTGTTATTTCCCCTCATCCTGTGCATCTTCAACCATTTCAGTGACTCATTGACGAGAGCGTCGTGGCTTCGCGAATTCTGATGGCTGAACTGGAAACGTACCTCCTCTGGGCCGCTGGCGAAGAGAAGGTTGGGGGAGCCGACCTGTAAGTGTGCCGAACACAACATTATCGTCCCTAAGTCTAAACGTCTGCAGGATTTCTATCGAAGACCCAGCAACAGGAGAAATGTTCGCATAGTAAGTGAATCGCCATCAAATAAATCTACTACGATCTAACCACCTAAAGCTGTCATGCTGCGTCCAGAGAGGACGTGGAGTTCACTGTCGCTGCCGCCCACGCTGCATTCAAATCTGGCATCTGGTCTCGGGCAAGTTGCCACCACCGCGCCGATGTTCTCGAGAGATGTGCATCCCTCCTCTCAGATGCCCTGCCGAAGCTCATAGCAGTCGAATCAAAACAGACGGGAAGAGTGATCAAGGAGATGCAGGCTCAGGTTCCCTCGCTGGTAAAATGGTTCAAATACTACGCCTCATTACTTCGTGTTGAAGAGCGATCCGTTCTCCCCACTATTGGGAAACTGCACAACTTTGTCGACAGGGTTCCACTAGGAGTGGTGGTGCAGATCACCCCCTTCAACCATCCGCTCCTCATCGCGGTGAAGAAAGTGGCCCCTGCGCTTGCAGCTGGGAATAGCGTTATTCTCAAGCCAAGCGAGTGGACACCCCTGACATCGCTGATGCTAGGGAAGATTCTCGCCGAGGCTGGCATTCCAGCCGGTGTGTTTAGTGTCTTGCCCGGCTACGGCGTGACAACGGGCAAGGCTCTCGTTTCTCACCCTCTGGTCAGGAAGGTAGACGTTACTGGAGGGACATATGCGGGCAGAGCGATCGGGTCAATCGTGGGCGGCAACCTGGCCAAGTACACTGCCGAGCTTGGGGGTAAAGCGCCTCTGGTCGTATTTGACGATGCAGATATTGACATTGCCGTGAATGGCATTGCATTTGGAAGCTTTATCGCGAGCGGACAAACTTGCATCGCCAGCACAAGGATCATTGTGGACAAAACAATCGAGACTCAGCTCCTGGAGAAGCTTGTGGCTAAGGTTGAGGGGATCAAGAGGAGGATGGGGAATCCACAAAATCCCAAATCCGTGATGGGGCCCCTCGTATCCGCAAAGCAGCTTGCAAATGCGGAGAGACTGGTTGACCAGTCCATCGCCGATGGGAAAGCCGTATCTCTGACTGGAGCCAAGCGAATGATGGGAAAGAGTGCATTGGATGGATTCGACCTCTCGAACGGGTATTTTTACGAGCCTACCATTCTCGTGCCTCCTGAAAGCAACGAGAATATCACCGACGCACCAATCTGGCGAGAAGAAGCGTTCGGGCCAGTGGTCGTTGTTGTTGGTTTCAATACCGAGGAGGACGCTGTGAATCTAGCGAACGATACTGAGTTTGGGCTCGGAGCTAGTATTTGGACGAAGGATCTCTCGAGGGCATTCAGGGTGTCTCAACAGATCGAGGCTGGAATCGTCTGGGTAAACACCCATCATCGGAACGATCCCAGCAGTCCCTGGGGAGGTGTCAAAGCCGCGAGTGGCGTTGGAAGTGAGAATGGAGTTGACGCATATCACGCTTACACAATGACCAAGAGTACCATCATCAATTTTGCCTCCGCCGAGGAGTCCATTGCTGCAGATGACTGGTTTGGAGAAGACGTCAAAGATGTTAGATATGGTTGAAGCGGATATATCTTCAATACAAAATAAGTGTTTCTCCATGACCGAAATATTTCATTATTCTTTTAATTGTATATGATTGATAGGGTGATAGGGGGACCTTGTCAGGATCATCTAGAAGAGAGTGCCATCCCCTTCTATCAGTATAGGACTCGACTTAGTATCGGGGCGGAACTTCGCCGCCAACTCTCGACCTGCTTTCCAAGAACCAGCCTCCAGCATTTGTGGCATAGTCAACTTGACCCCCTGACTAGCGAAATGAGCCCCGAGAAGCTCATGCAGCTTATCAAGCAGAGCTACAGTCATTGCTCGCCACTCCACTATCACATCACTGGTAGCCTCATAGCTTGGAAGCTCTTTTTGCGAGGCAGCTAATCCAGCCTTTAATGCTTCTTCCTTGAGCTTGAGAACACCCAGGTCAACAAATAGGCCTCCGTTGCGATATTCCGGAAGCCCCGTTCCCTTCTCCAAGTTCTTCCATTGCATATCGAGGACACGCATAAAAGGGACCGTTAGTGAGTAGGCGAGCCATTGTGTCAGCTTGTGGAAAGGTGCAATGTGTAGTGTTCGATACACGGTTCCGCTTTCTTTTTCGGCATTCAGCTTCGATAGGACCTCCAGAGGCCAGGCATCGCCGATGGGAATTTCACCAATTCTTGTGCGGTTTCTGGGCCAAGCTGGAAGTAGTGTTGCTTGCAAGATAGTCCAGAGTGCGGTGAAGTCTAATTCCTTGGATCCAGCCGCCTGTTCAACCAAGTAGTCTAGAGGGAAGGTGTCAATGAGATAGAGCGAAAGGGATGGTGGTTTTACCTACCGACGAGATTCCCTGGCCGACCATTTCCTCCGAAGAATCCTGGGAGACTCAGAAGGGACTTGCCCACGCTCTTCAACAAGCTGACACGAGAGGTGGCTCCGACAAGGGGATTGTTCTCTGTGATTTGAAAATGCTGCTCGAAGCTCGCAACATCAAGAGCCATCAAAGCGCTCCCTGTTCGTGTTAATACGAGCTTGGCCCCTATCAGAATTCCAAAGCCATTGTGGTGACTGACCATCGACCAATTCAACATCGTTCCCCCGATTGCTTGAGAATGCTCCAGCTTTGAACATGTATAGTGACGCAACGGCGATACCCTCACTTCTGCCATATGCCCGATCAGTACCCGGCTCCGCGAATTTCCAGACATCTCCTGCTCCAGCGTCCAGCAAGACCGCGACGAAGAAAAGATCTATCAATCGACGTGTCGTCTCGAGCCGGTCCAGTCCCTTGAGCTTCCATTGTTTGATCAAGCCGCCAACCCGAGCAAGACCGCCAACGTCAAAGTGTTGCCACCTTCCGTGCGGAGGAATCTGGTCGTATCGGTCCGGGCCAAAGTCTCGCTGTATTCTCTTTGTCAGTGACTGGCTAATCGTCGGCAGGACAGCTCAAGGGGCATACTTCAATCACACGAGCAACGAATTCTGCCACTTCGGACATCTTTGAAGCATCATAATCAAAGTGGGAGAGTTCGTTTTTCTCGGCCGCTCCTAGGACCAGGTGAGCTCTCTCGCGCACCGCCTCGAGACCCTTTAGATACTCAATGTCGGCCATTGTAATCGAATGCTGCTATGTGCCTCTTGGATTTTGCCTGGAATGAAATAAATATTGTAGTTTGAGCGTGAAGTCCTGTTCAAGTAAGGAGGCTTTTATCTTGGGGGTTGTACAAAGTTACCCCTCTCCATGCACACCCCGCACCAGGTTGGCGCTTATCAGGTATCTATCATGCTGCATTCGATACGTCAAGCCCCTTTCATAACCCAAGGACACCGGAGCTTTCCGCTACGTACGTTTCATCTGGATCCAGTCCTGCATTCTCAATGATGGATGCGCTGTGGTGTCTAGAGTCCTTCCACAGCTGGTCTACTTGCGTTCGTCATCGGCTTGTGAGACCATTGACCGCAGCCGAATCCATCAGGAAGGTCGATCATCCTCATTTCGTCGAAGATCTTCTTGAGGTTGTTGATTAGCACGATTGTATTATTTCCAGACTGGAATCCGGACGTTACCAATTACGGTCCTTCTTCGTTATAACACTGAACCAAAGGGTGATGAATTTCATTCAAAAAAGTTAGCTGCTACCTTGTGGCCAAGAAACCACCTTAGCATTTACGATCGCGAAGAAGACAGAGAAATAGAGTCAGCTCTTCCAGCCTTCGACACAGCCTCTCAGACCGCCGATCTGATCGACACTCAACCTTCCCTGTGGCGATGCAAAATTGCCAAGACAGAAATTGGGGGCGAAAATGCCAAATCTGTGAGAGCCGATAATTTAAGGGATCACATCCACTCATCTTCCACTCACCTCCTGTGGGATATGCTATTGCCCCTGGATACCGGAGATGGTAAGCAATAACGACACGGAAGGGGGATCCAAGGCCCAAAAATCTATACTCCAGCGGGTCAAGTCCTTCAATGGGATACAGCTCTGCGCAACGGTGGCATGCGTCGCGTTAGCGATAAACACCGTTTTGGCTGTGATCGCTTTTGCTCGCGGATATTCCCAGAGTACTCACAGTGACTTTGTCACCGTTCTACTCTATGAGGGCAAATGCTCGAAAACCAAGAACTGGTCAACAGGCCTTCACCTGCTGATCAACGCATTGGGGACGGTCATCCTCGGCAGCAGCAATTACTGCGCGCAGTTCTTGGCTGCACCAACGAGAGAAGACGTAAATAGGGCACATGCACGAGGCTCCTGGCTTGATATCGGCGTTCACAGTGTGCGAAACATCCGGGCTTTGGGGATAAAGAGAAAAGCCATATGGGCCATTTTGATGTTATCGACTATTCCTATTCATGCATTGTTAGATACGCCCCACACCGATCATATCGGACTCCCCAAGCTACAAAGTCTAAGTGTTGACATATGTATCTAGCTATAACTCGGTTGTGCTAAACGCCGAAAGCTCAAATGGGTACGACATCTTCATTGCCCCGGCTGATTATAATGGCTCCAATCCCTTGGACCCCACAAAAGTAGCGGCGCAATGCATTGAATCCCATGTGAATGGATATCTCGCCAAATTCAACTCAGCGGTAGCAAATGGAGATTTTGAAGTACTCACTACAGAGCAATGTCTGAACAAGTTCGCCGTCGACTTTCTGACGGGGGAACAGACTGTCGTGGTCTTGTCGAACAATCTTACCTGGGATGTGCAATATCCCATCAGGTTTACGGGACAAGGAAATTCCCCCTCATCATATAACAATGATCTCATCACAGCCGATAGCCCGATTCTGTGGATGTGCTCAGGGGATTACAGAACGTCGTGTAGGAAGAGCTCCATACAAAGTCAATTTCCAAGCTGGCAGGTCGCCGAGACTCGATGGGAAGGACCGAAATGGGCCATCACTTTCCCTACTGATAATGGGAGTACCACCATCACGGAGAAAGAATCAAATCACGAGTGCTCTCCTTCGTCTCCGGGATGTGAAGACCTGAACCATTTGCAAAATCTTGCGTGGGGTGATGTTCCCCCAACAGCACAGCTGTTCCAGAAATATTTGGACATTTCCAATTGGGAAAATAAGACCTGGGCTCAAGAAGTGACCTTCCAGGACCGAGGATCTCAATGTTTCGACAGTCGAATTGAAGGCGACATGGACCCGGCTGGGGGATCGTTGGACATCTTCTCTGGCCGCTTTACCGTTCAAGGATGTGTGAGCGCGAAAACAGAACAGCACTGCCAGCTGCTCTTTGTGCCGTCTTTCTCACTCGTGGTCATCATTTGCACTGCTATCAAGGTGGCTTGCATTGTGTCTCTCGCGCGACAAGAGCGTCTGCGTCGACTTCTCACAGTCGGAGACGCAATTTCCTCTTTCTTGTCTAACCCTGACCCCCTTACTCAGGGAAAAGCATTAACAACGAAGGCTGAGTGGACGAGACCTCGTGTATCTATGAGGGGTACCAAGAATCACCACAGCTATGTGGCCGTGTCACAACAAAAGATTTCCGGGGCCAAACGGAGATGGTGGGAAGCTGGAGCTGTGGAGCAGTGGCTAGCTACGCTCGTTTTGTAAGTGAAATCGAAACAGACATCATCATGGTCAAAAATTTCTAACTGAAAGTAACAGATCCTTCGGATGCCTCAGCGTCGCAGCATTTCTCCTACATTGGGGCCTTCAAGATACACGGCTCGCCGACATGGGTGGGACCAGCATGTCAACTCTTTGGCAATACGGTCTCGGCTCTGCAACCCCGTACACCATCATCTATCGAGTTCAGTCGTCGTTGCTCGGAAACGTGCTATTGGCCAATTTGCCCCAACTTCTCATTTCGCTCTCCTACTACTTCTACAACTCCATCCTAACAACCATGATTATGGCCTCGGAGTATGACAGCTACGCAGTACGCGGTCGTCGTGAAGCTTCAATTGCAGAGATATTACCGACCTTTCCAAAGAAAGGCCTTCGAGTGTCGTCTGATCGCCGGGGTGCTCAGCGATCATTCTACTTCTTGAGTCTTCCTTACCGATATAGCTTGCCGCTTATGTTGGCGTATACGATTTTGCATTGGTTGGTCTCGCAGAGCATTTTCTATGTTCGAGTTGTCATGTACAACTCGAATATGGAGCACGAGTCCCGCTACGATGTGAATGCGTGCGGCTGGTCACCCGTCGCCTTCATATTCGCTATAATCGTGGGTGGATTGATGATCCTCGTGCTCCTGGGGTTGGCTCTAAGACCGTTTCGCTCGTTCATACCCCTCGCTGGTAGTTGCAGCATGGCAATCAGTGCTGCCTGCCATCCGCCCACGGAAGACGTGGATGCAGCACTGAACCCGGTTATTTGGGGTGAGATTGGAGAGTTGACCTCCTCGAAATTGCAGTCTACGTCATCAACTTTAGTCACTCCGCTGGTCAGAAGTGGCAATGTGGAGGAGATAAGTCTTGAAAGTCTTGATGGGAAGCCAGGCAACGATGTCATGGGACATGAAGCCCGTCACTGCAGTTTTACATCTTTCGGTGTTAGCAGACCTGAGATCGGCCAGACGTATACATAGGGAACTACTTGATGCTTTGGCCACACCGAGAGTCATCTCCTTTGTGCAGAGCTTCAGGTTGCCCTGATGCAAACCCCATTAGGAATGACGAGGTCGTGGTCATGCTCCAGGGGCTTCGGAATACAGCATCACTTCAATATTCAAATCTTTTTGCTCTCTCCATTCTAAACTCTGCTTCATAACATTTTTAAAGTCCCCCGTAATATCGCTTCCATCATTACAGTCAGGCTGTGCTTCATATTCCATCATGCCACGTATCTTCCGTATCTCTCAACGGTGCACCACTATACAATCCCATCGGGATAGCCGTGAGACCACACACCAGCCCAATGACCAGTGTCATAGTATTCCATCCAGCCCAGACACGTATTCCACCCGCCAAAATAGGTCCTAGGAGCTGACCTCCGGCAAACGCCATATTGAACAGAGCATACGCCTGCGCAACGGGGCTCCTCTCGCCAAACGCGCCGGGAAACTCAATCTCGTGATCATCGACTACCTTGAAGACCTCTGTCATTGCGGTGATTTCCACAAACACAATTGACAGGCCCTGGACCAGCAAAAGAATGATGAGAAGAGTGATACTGCCGGCTGTATCGTTGGTCACGAATCGCATTGAGATCCACGAGATCGCTGCAATTGTGAATGCGAATAGTCCCGGGATGCGAGCGCCGGTGCGACTGATCAATTTGCCGACGTATACGCCGGCGAAACTTGGGATTGCGGTCGTCGCGAAGATTAATCCTGCGCCGCTTGAGGACCATTTGAATGTTTCCATGACGAAGAGCGGTAGTGTCTGTGAGTAGCGGATATCCTATGTTAGCACTCGCAGTTACCGGAGGGCACACTGATTGAGATAACGTACAGTTTCCAAACCGGAGAATATAATCCCCATAACCACTGTCGCGATCAATGCAAGGGGTAGCCGCGGGGTTCGGAGAAGATCAAAAACCGTAGCATCTTTTTGATGTGCCCGGCAAGGGTGGTCGAAGCAAGGATTCGAAGCTCTAATAAGCAGACCCTGCTCGCTGGCCGTGTCTTCGCCAGATGAGAAATATTCCGAGTATTCTTCATCCTGGCGTCCAAACGTGCCGTACAGAGGACTTCGATACCCATCGACTGCCGAGTCCAGGCCAGCCTTGTCGGGCTGGATAGCTCCTGGGTAGCGTGTTAGAAAAAATGGGCACGAACTGATGATGGCATGCAGCTCCCTTACCTGCCTCCTCGATCATCGCGAACCGCAGAACCACATCCACGATAATTAATCCGGTAGGAATAGCAAACGTCCCATAAAAGCCCAACTTCTCATACATCACACCGCCGATAGTCGGACCTAGCAGCGAGCCCCATGTCAACGCAATTGACGTATGACCCATCGCCTCCGCGACACGATCTGGTGGTACATTGTCAGCGATAATAGCAAGACCAACGACCCACACCGCAGCGCCGGAGAATCCCTGTAGCCCTCTCGCGATGATGAGTACCGGCAAGGATCGAGCAACGACGAATAACGCCGTGGAAGCTGCCAGGGCAATCAGGCCCACGATGAAAGGAAGCCTTCGAAGTCGACCATAGTCGGCGAAATATCCGAATAAAGCTGCAACATGTCAGTCGGTTACACGACAGGATATCGTTTTCGGGAAAACCCACGCGATCCCACGAGGAGAGTGGCTCCGTAGATGGCTAGTAGGATTGAGACCCAGGATTGAGCTGCGGTTTATTAGTAGCCGACGGAGACGTATAGTATATGAAGTAAATACCCTCTTCTTCGCGAGCACCGGCACGTTTGACCAATGCGACTGGAACAATTGGTACGATCTGGCAAAGTGAGTAGTCAAGGCCATGTCTCTTTTGTCTTCACCGACGTACCATTCCATAGATAAAAACATCCTTTTCATGAAGTCAGCGACCATCAAAATCGGGCGGGTCTAGGACTTACAGTAAAAATCGCAATTGAAACCACAATCACAATAAACGTCTCCGAAGAGCGAAAATTGTAAAGCCACGGTACACGCTTCGAACCCTCCATCTTTTCGCCGTCACCAAAAAAAGTTGAATGGAAATGAAAAAACCCCCGAGTCAGACCATCAAGTTGAAAGGCAGGGGAAAAGGAGGGGGGGCTCGAGTAGATGCATGAACGATGATCGCCATCAGCCAGCGTCGCATATGGCAGCCTGATCTGGTAACAGGCGGGAACTCCTTTGGGATATGCATGCAGCTATGCAGAGTCGACATTGAATACGACGATGCGGGTGATTCACTGACGGTGCTATGATCAATTGTCGTATCAAGGGTCGGAATCTATGTAAATTGCTTGTTTTCCGGACTTGCGATCGGAAGATCTGTGGGTGATCGCCGCGGGGCTAACCAGCTTTTGATCAGCTAGTGAAGGGAAGGATCTGGGAATCTACAGGCAAGGAGCGGTCACCCACTCATCATCCATAACAAGAGGAAAATTGTAGAAAAATAGCTGTGCATGATTTTTGGAATATGATCATTAATAACTATTCGAGTTCCTCCCAAATATGCAAATCCCAAAAGAGTAGATGTAAGTATATACAGAAAAAGAAAAGCCGAATATGTGCCGTGCGCCATGCTTGTCAGACTCCTCGGAAAACCTCCCGAGTATCCATAATCATACAGAGAGAGGAAAAAAAAAAGAATGGTATATAGAGTGAAGAGAAAAGAATATGCCGTCGAATCGGCGTGTTGGCGTTTTGTATCGTCGGGATGTCGGAGAGAGAGATCGATACGATCAACCCTCCTTGTGAGTGCTGGGCCAGGACTGATGAGGCTTCTTCGGAATCCGCGGGTTATACTCGTAGCGGTTCCAGTTATCGGTAACCCACCACTGAGCAGCGCGGGCGGCATCATTTACCCACTTAGCAGCGTCTTCGCCGTGGTCCTCTTGGACAGCCTTCATGAGGGGCTTAAAGTCGAATGCCTTGATGGCTTTTTCTTCTTGGGGGTCCTTGCTGACGTCCGTGAAGCGGAATTCCACCTCAGGGACCAGAGGGACGATCAAGCGGTAGGGAGCGTCGGCAGAGCGCATGGCGACCATAGAACCACCGGTGTTCATGACGGTAAATTGGTAGTAGGATGTCTTCTTGTTGTGGGTGATGATTGGGCGAATGATGGACTGGCCCTCGTACATGGGGAGGAGATCGCTAACGGCGCGTGTGCTGTAGTCGTCGAGGGAGCCCGAGTTTTTAAGGAGATCGAGGATGGTGGGTAGGATTTGAACGGAAGAGACTGAAGCGTTGAGTTGAAGGGTGGGAAGACGGGGGTTAGCCTAGGATTGAACGGTTAGTGCTGAATATTATGGGTGATGTGGTTGAGAACTTACAAAGACTAGAGGGACATGGAAGTTGGTCTCCAGAGGATTGTCGTAGGGAGTGACGTTCCCATCTTCAGGAAGTGACAGGCCGCTATTGAAGAGTTAGTAAGGTCCCCCCCTGGTTTTGAATTAGATAAGACTTACTGGTCACCAGTCATAACGATGAGGGTCTCGTTGGCCACGCCAGTCTCCTCCAGAATATTCAAAAATTCCTCATACCAGCGATCATTCACACCGATCGTATTGAGATAACGGTTCAGACCATCATTCTTGCCACCAAAAGCATTCGTCTGAGACCCAATAAGCTCCTCGTATGTTCCATTCGGCGTGTCCCAGGGGTGGTGCGTAATGCCGGTAAGGTGAGTCAGGAACAGACGCTCATGATCACGCTCTGCCTTTTCAATAGCCTCGCGGAAGTACACAGCAAGTGAAGAATCGGGGTATCCCCAAAAGTTAAACTTCTCCGCGGTCCAAGAAGTGTCATTCGCGTGCTGCTCGTCAATAGACTCAACAGTCACGGTGTTCTCAGGCTTAAAGCCCATGGCGGGAGTGAGGCGGTCCTGGTGATCGTAGCTATCGGTGATAGACTGCATGAATGCAGGGCGCCAGGGCCAGTCGGTGAAGTCATCGCTCTTACTGTCATTCGTTGTCGCACTCAACATATCGAGAATGTGAGGCATGCAAGGTTGGTAGATGTGGTGCTCGTACTCGTGGTTGAAATCAACGACTAGGGGCTCGACACCACAGGTGGTTGCCTCGATACTCTTCAAGGTGAACGTTCCTCCGGTGTAGGAATTATGCATATTGATACCGCCGTACGGCTTAATCGTCTCGTTGCGGTGGAATCCGGAGTGAGAGCCGGTAATACGTTCAGCGGTGCGCGTGAGGTTAACCAGGCGATCCTGTACGTCCTGAGGAACCTCCTTATCCTTGTAGGACTTCTGGATCCGATCCCACAGGTAAGTGTTGTTTCGGAGGGGGAAGACATCATAGCGAGTACTCTCCATCTTGAAGAGGAAAATATGCTTGATCTTGACATCGCCACTGTCCAGTGCAGCCTTAATAGGCTTCAGAATGTCCTTGCCCAGGTTGGAGATATGCAGGGGATCTTCGGTCGAATTATAGTGCGAGAACCGGGATCGATCCTCCCAATCGCGGAAACCGGGGAATTTGCCCTTCGGCAGCCAGTCGAACTCCGGCACCGCAGTGAGAGCGGTCGTCTTACCATCCAAAGTGCGATCCTTGAACATATGGGCGAGCTTGCTTTCGGAATCGACACCCGCGAAAGGAGTGATGATGACCGTCTGGGACAGGAACCCGTAAGAGGAATTCGGGGGACGAAGTAGGCGCACGAAGAAAATGTATGCGGTGGGGAAAACCACCAGTGCGCGCTTGAGCCAGAGCTTCCAATCCACGTCGCGTTTCCAATCCATGCTCTTGGCCCAATGAAGGGATTTCCAGCGTCCGTTCTCGAAGGGCCGCGGTGGATGGTCGAGCAATGGGGCCCCGCTGGGAGTGGCCTTGTCTTCCTCTTCGTCGTAGTCGCTCAACGGCACTGACTCGTAGAGCTTCATTCTCTCAAAGACCTCCCGTCCCTTGCTCCAGCGGCTCAGAGCCTTGTTGGCACCTGCTTTGGCGTACGGTGCGACTGGCTTTAAGATGGCCTTGATCATCGAGCCCCAGATGGAGATCATTGATTCCACACCATTGTAAATCCAAGGTGTTGTCAAACCAGCCGCGACAATGTATAGAACTTCGACAATGACGAGGCCAGTCAATCCGGTGAGCAGGGTATTAATCGAGGCCGGGTCGCGGTTAAAGCCGCCTGCTTGACGCCAGTGAATTTCGGCACCGGTGGTAAAGTAGAAGGAGGTATTGGCGGCGGCCATCGTGGAGAGGATCAATCTATAGAAAAGATGACGTGTCAGTGCCTGTCTACCCACGTCAGATATTCGAATTTTGGGCCAACGATTACTTACGTCCCCATAATGATCGCCGTCGAAGCCGTATAGCGCAGCCACGTTCGGTGGAAGTTGCGAGTGAGCGCAAATGCTATCAAGAGGAAAATTGCATCTTGAACAAAGAATGTAGGCCCCCAGAGGAACAAGTTTTTGGGCTTAACGGAGTCGATATGAGCGTAAATATGAAGAACTTTGGCGCATAAGGTCGAGACGGTCAGGAAGCTGAACCAGAATTTCTTCGAAGATTCCCAGGTGAACGCCGCCGAGCAGGCCCGCGCTGGCAAAGCACAGCAAAAGTAATGCAGATAGGCCTTTGGTCGACTTGCAGAATCCCCCAGCATAATGGCGGAATCGCCGGCCTCCCCCCACGGCGAATTGGATTGACGCAACATATTGGGCGAGTATGTATGATCAGGCGGACATAGGAGACGCCATACAAAACTTGGCCGTGCTGCGCGTGATGTGTGTGAAGTAGGTGATATACAGCTTCAGCTGCTCAACGAACGAAGATCATCCAAAGGGAAAGAAAGAAACAAGAAAGCAGAAAAATCGAAAATCTTCCTCGGAGAGTCCGGCTGCAGCGAGCGGCCGAGTGAACAATAAATAGAAATAGAACTAATTAGAATATGGGGAACAAAAATGGGCGCAAGACCAGTCGCCTCCATCCACCAGAGTCCTCTTTTTCTCTGCTCTTCTCCCACAGCACAAGCTCCAATTTGCTACAATTGGGCCGAGCGGGCTTGGGAATTGCTTGTGGAGCAGCAAGTCCCGGTCCAGGGTTTCATCCAGCGCATCTGAGCCCATTGAAAAGGTTCAGGGTCATGCGGTCTTTTGCCCAAACGAGGCTGTGGGGACCAGACTGGAGCCCCCAAAAAGCCTTGTTCCTCTTACCTAACCGCGTTCCGTCACGGGCGATTGGCCCTTTCATTGGCTCAGCGGGTGTGCCTGACGGGCTCATTGGTTGGCGCGGAATAGGCAACTCTTCGTGTGAGACCTTTCGGATACTGTCAGTGGCCCGAAGACTCCGTGCGAGGTTATGGGCTTTCCCCACAGCGAGTCACCGCGAGTCACAGCGAGTCTCGCCTGTTTTTCTTGCTCCTCCAACGTGGCGATGAAGGTAGAACGGTTGACACGGTTGGACAAACCCGACGGTTAGACCGTCTTACCCCCCTCCCCCCCCTCCATCCTACAGGTCCAAACTCGCGTCGTATTCAGACGTTTCCCTCGCGATCGGGGAGAATCATAATGCAGGGTCCAAAAAAGGGTCCTTGGTCTGACGTGAGTCTATTTGGCCCTCGAGTGACAGCGTGGTCACCAACTGTACGGAGTACAGAGTGACATTATATGACCGCATACCCCATAAGGGCCCCTCTCCCCAACCCGCTCGAAGATCCGTCCTTCCGCTATTTTCGATTCGATTTCACTAGCTGAATCAGAACGTTTCCAGGCCGGGAAGGTGGATTTAATGAAGTGGATGAATGTCCCATAGTAGGGGATGGCCGGTTGCACTATCGATAGCTCACGGTTATGCTCAAAGATGTGGACAACGATACGGAGCGCCCCCAATTGGACACACGATCAGCTACTGAAAAGGGGGGGAAATGCAAATGCTGCGGCTCAAAGGAAAAAGGGAAAAACGGACTGGGATTTTTTTAGCAGCCAGTGGGGGCGAAAAGTACGGTACTGCCGTACTTGTACCATACCGCCTACCTAAATAGAGGCTAGCCTCGGTTGTGCTCCGTTTAACTCTCCGTTTTCCGTCCAGTCCCACGCGGAGAGCTGAAAATGGCTGGCAGTTTTTGCACCAGTCACTTAGCAATTAGCACTTACGCTAAGAGACTGCTACTCCGTATTTTGGGGTACTTTCTCGTCGGAAGGCGCTCCGCCTTACTTTCCGGGCGGTCCGCCTTGAAAGTTTGGGTCTGTTCGGTGCATTAAAGACGGCCCCCAGCTTGGCATCTGGGGAGATTTTTGCGAACCTATAATGAAAGCAGAGAGATCCCTGATCTACACGATGTGTTGCTATCACGTTGGTACAGCCAGAATATTCTAGGAACGGATTCTTGGCTCGCAAGGCTTAGCTGCCATGCGGCGGGAAACAGAAAAAGTACCCCTTGGAAAATGGATCGGGTGGAGAAAAAGGTGGCATCTTGGCAGGTTCAAGGTATGCAGCCAAGACATTAGGCTTCGAAAATAACTTCTTTGGCCCCAGAATGGAAAGTAAGATCGTATTCTGTACAGTCTGTACTACTTTACCTCGGGCCAAATGCTATTATGATGATGGCCAAGTATGGCGATGTAACCGACCCCCAAGAACTCTTCCCAATCTTCCACCTCCACACGCTGGCGCTCACGAGCAATTTCTGTTTCTGTTTCACATCGGAACCGAACTTCACTACGTATGTATCTGAGATTAGCTAGCGATCCGGACGAACCCCCACAGCTAAGCAAATCTTGTCGATCGAGTGGGCTTCTAGCATCCACTATGGAAGGTGGTTGGGTTGCCAAAAATCTGAAACTTTGTCTTGAATCATAATAATCGCCCCCAACGCTGCGTTCAAGTCTTTGAGAATGAGTACAATGCGTCTGAATTATTCTACAGATCAGATCAGATCTGATTCTAAGCATAGATTCAGACCCCAACAGGGCTGTGTCTGTGGTAGAAGATCCCTCCAAGCTCCTCCCACGAATAGACCGCCTCTTCGGTTAATTTCTCGTTCGAGCGGGTGGCCTTACAGAATTGCCCAGCCTAACTACGTACTATTAGTATTTGCTTTGCTCTCCTCCAATGTACACGATTCCCTCATCACAGTGTTGAATGACGAAGTCTCCGGATGACTTTGTGATAAAATTAGGCTTCTAAGCTTCGGACCCTGAATTGCGGGTCAATCACGCGATCTCTCTTGATAATTCCAACACCAGCTCTCGCTTTGGCCCCCTTGGCCTTTTCCAAATGGTGAGAAACTGACTTCAGGCTATTGACCTGCACTTCTTTCCTTTCAAGCCGAAGGCATGAGCAAAAGCTGCCATGCGAAGAGTGTCTCGTTGAGAACATAATAATGTAGAGAGTTCATTTCTCGGTCTGACGTGGAAAAAATCCGGGAATCAATCTCCTTGACCAATATACACTTGATAACTCTTGTCTGGCTCCACCACCAAGGCCTTCAGCGCAGATCAATTATTGAGCGGTCCGTATTAGAATGCGATGCGTAGTGACAGCACCTAGACACGTAAGGTTGCACATGGAGTACGAAAGGAAACCTCGTGGAATTCCAGGAAAACTCATCATGGATCGCTGCAAATCATGTGGGGAAGGCCGCCTGGAGCCTCGTAATTTGATGATCTGCTGGACAAAGTCGTAGATCATTCTTTTCTAACATTAGCCTCCATTTTTTGCTTAGAAATTGACAAACTGTTCCAGCTATCTTCTAAGAGACCTCGGCTATTCGAAGTAATCGACTCCGACCTCCCCACTTCCGAATACTTGCCCCTGACAAGTAACCTCAAAGCATAATAGCCCACCACATTCGCCCAGTTGAACACGGATTTGATACTCCACAAAATAGTATAACCGACTGTCCACTTCGTAGTGGAGGCAGTTGGGTAAAACAGACACGGGAGATATCGCAAATCAGACGACCAATCAGCGCAGTTTCTGAAGAAGCTGGTGAGTATCTAGGACAATAGCAGATATGGGGTAACAGACTTGGATCGTTGACACTAGTAGGTGGAGGGTCCATCTTCGAACAATAAATGATGATTGTTTTGATAGCAGTCTCTCCTTGACGATGCAGCAGCACATTACTTTGTTCATGATGGAAATTTGGATGGTACCTTTCTCCCTGTAGATAAAACAAAGCATTAGAAAAAAAAAAGTTTCCATCTGGTCAAGTCGATGCTCCATCCAGCGTCCCTGTCCAGGGAGGTATTACCTTCTTGATTACCCAACATAGCTGGTTAGCCTGAGAGGTAAGACCTGATAGCACGGCAACAAGAGCCGGTTTGTTTTTCGATGATTCATCTGTCAAATCTGGCCCTTGAAATCCGTAATGGCATCGAGCCAGTCTAGTCCGAGGCCGGTAAGCGCATAAGACCGCTCCTAGGGCCATGGCTGTCATTCTACCGAGGAATTTTAGCAACTGACGTAGAATGATAATGAAACAGTGAGGACGTACGCTTTATCTGGCCTGTGGATGATGTAGCTGCTTCCGAACAACTGCTGCAAATTCCTGTAGAGATAAGGTGAAAGGGAAAAGCCCCCAACAAGGATAATTTTCTAGGGGTTGTGAGTAAAAATCATGGCTAAGTTATAGTCTTTTGAGGTGCCATACGTTGATAACGATTGCCCGGGTAGTGTGATTCGCTTGTTCGATCTGGCGTTGAAGCGCCTTAGCGATCCCTATGAGAGCAGGGTGGAACAACATCTCGAGATCGGCACTAGTTTATTAAGATGTCAATGGTCAATCATTCTGAGCTAGCAAGACCCGGGAACTGACTTTGAAAGTAGCACAGATTTCCGTCTTTTATCGTACCACCTGGCATCCAAGGGCTTCTCTGGGGACATGTCCAACGGTAGACGGTAGATTCTCTCAGTTGACTTATCAAATTTGCATTTGACTTTCCCGAAATTTTCCGTGAAAGCACTGGATGGATTCATATTTCTCCATGGCAGGCTCTGAAAAGCATCACCGAACCTTTCACACATGAGCCGATAGAACTCCCTATCAATTAAATTAGAGCCGTACGGCTCTCCTGGTGAATGTCAGTTCCTCTGACGACTTATATATTCTCACGTTGAGGGCATAAGGGCGAAGTACCATTGCTGTGGGCTAGCTCATCAAAAATCAATGGCTTGTCATATGAGATCTGATAACTGGCGAGATCCTGCACGCGGTAAATTAGAAATGGACAGGATGGTATGCTTGGCCCTTGTGGAAGACTCACAACTGTTCCGCCACCACAATCGCAGATAATTACTCCATCCCCGATCTTCGAGCCAAGTTTGAGTCCGAATCAGCATCAGAGCGATAAAAATTAGTTGATGAGATAATCATATTTACCGTGAACAAGGATCCTTGTGCCAGAGCAAATGATATAGCGGCCTGCGGCTCTGTGAGCAAATAAATTTGGTCTCCATTCCTCGTGCCAAAGCCGGCGTTGCTGATCGCCTCACGCATCAGCTCTCTGGTCGGGTTTGACCATGAAACTGGCACTGTGAACCAGAACTGGATAGTTATCGTATCCAAGTTTCCACCTGATGTACTCACTGCCGCCTCTAGCTTTTGCCATAAAGTGTCGCGAAGACAGCTCAGAAAGTCAGCAACGACTTGAAGCGCGGTCATTCCCTCGGGAATGTAGAAGATTCCCCTAGAATCTGCCCACCCTTGGGCTTTACGGATCGAATTCTCAATATCCAGTCTTTCATCCAGCAGGAGTTTGAACCATAAGACAGCGTCCATGTGCTGTGCTCCCACTGGGCTCCCCCAAGGAGGTATGGGCAGACGTGGGCTCTCTTCGTTGTACGCCAGAACGCTTGGAGCTTTGACTGGACCATTGTCGTTATATGGCCCTTCCCAGTTCCGGAAGATCTTGATATCCTTGACAACATTACCCGCTCTGTCATATGGAGGGATAAGGAGCGCAATGCCTAAGTATCCGGAGTCAACGACAGTCCATGTAAGGAAAATGCGGACCTAGCTTGAGATTTTAGACACCTCCGAGAATAACGCACCTGAGGCAGTAGTACCAAAGTCAATCCCAACGATGATGTCCTAGTCACAAGTCATGGTAGTAAAATTGATAGCGTGTGATTAACAAATCTGAAGGGAACGACGACTTGGAAGCGGAAGTAGTCAATATAGGAATAGCCTTTGATTCACACAGAAAAGATAGGGCGATTGGACCCTAGAAAGCGTCGAGCCTCCTATTTAAGATACCGTGTATCGTACAGGGAGGCTAACTCCAGTGAGATATCCCGTATCGGGTTAACCGAAACAGGGGGATTCCTTCACCACCAAGGACGCCGGGTGTGGTTTTAGAGCGGGGAAACCTAGGTTTTAGGAGGCAACACTTGTGGGAAAACTAAATATTGAAATTTTGGCTGAAATACGCTGTGTAAATAGGCAGCTTCTTGCCGAAACACGTCTTGCCCGGAAAGGCTCGTTGCCGATAACTCTTTTCTTCGCAGTAGGCATAGAAAAGATTGCTCTTGTCCAGTCAGTGCCGGTTATCCAAATCTTTTGCATTTGATCTGAGCATGAAGCGGGGCTCTTATATCCAAAGCACTTTTTGGAAAACTCATAATGCGGATAAAGGCGAATGGCTCTCCTTATTTCGGGCCATAGCAAGAATGGATTATCAGAGCCAAATATTGTGCTAGCCAAGATGTTCTTGTACTTCTGCCCAACCTTCATTCACCTCCAAGTTGCTGGTTCTTGTTTTGGACGCGCATCTACCGACGCCGACCTTAGCTGTACCTACCCGATCCCTTTAGAGAAGATCGTACCTCGTCGGTACGTGCCATGGCGGAGCAGCCACTATCTTCCAGGGCCAGAACCACTCGCGCATTGCTCGAAATAGCCAAAAACCCACAGCTAAACTGCCCAGTTTCTTTGTCAAAGGCTTATTGACTAGAAGGGCTAAGATTGATTTGACGAAAATCGTGGCGGCTCGTAAGAGTGCTCAAAATTCTCCGCTGGTTGGTGGGCGTTGTGGTCTGCCAAGCCTGCTGTCTCGGGTTGCAAGTTTCTTTGACATTTTGATTCCTGGTGACCGAACTAGACCGCTCAAGAAAATTTCCATGAAAAGGACGACAAGGAAAGTAAACCAGCGTTTTGCTTTGATGGAATAGTTCAACCAGCATTTCCAGTCGGCGAACGGCCGTCGACTCTCATCCCTCGAGGTACTTAATCAACATGGCGTCCTCCCTAGCCCCGCTACGAACACACGTTCCCTCATTGTTCTACCCCGACTCGTATACGCTCAAATTGCTCCCTCCACACAACAAAATGGTAAAGAAAAGGGCAGCTGGCAGTGACAAGGCACAAAGCTCGGAGCAACGGGATAATAGGGTAAGGTATGCAAATTATCAATCTACTTCCTAAAAGGAGTATATCCTCGGTTCTGCGTATTGACTGTACCGAAAGCGACAGGGTGTCACCATTACAGACCCAGCCACTCTAGCTCAGGGTAGAACTATTGAAGATCAGCCGGCTAAGAGAGAAAGTGAGGTCAGTTCTTCGAAGGTACTTTTCGATGCCAGCTCTCTGGTTATCCCTTCCACTAATTGATAATCGCTGCTCCCAGATTTCGCGAATACCCTTTGTGATAGCTACGCTGTCATCAAAGAGGACCAGCAAGCCCTTAGGGTGTTTCCGTTTGGTGCCTGGGGTCATATCGGAAGTTTCCGAATGCGTATCTGCCATGGCGTCGAGGGATGTAGGTTAGAGTGTATCGGCGAAGGTGATGAGTGGTAAGAGGGATGAGAGAAGATGGGTAAAGGGAAATAGAACACAATGTTGACCACTATCTCCCTGGTAGTGAGTGGGCAGGTATCGATCCAAAGCTGTTTAGTTGGGAGGTTACTTCCCTGGATAAAGCCATGGACCAATGGACCTTCAACTTTGCAGATAAGGACCCAGACGTGATCGAGGCAAGGATGACTGCGAAAGAAAAACAAGCCATCATCGATTACTTGGGTGACTGGTGTCTATATAAAGACTGGGACTCACTGGTAGCCTCATTTTCACCACTGGCTTATTTGGGTCGCTTTCAACTGCTACTCACAGCAACAGTCTTGAAGAATATCTTTGAAAGTGTTGTCAGAAACCCTTTCTTTTACATTGACCTTGGGGAGGACTGGGATGGTAGTGGAAGCGACAGGGCTGCCAACTGCATACGGTGTAGAGCTCAAGGGACTCTTCCAAAAGGCCCTCAAAGGTATGTCTTGTGGCCTATGCCATCCATTGTATGCAGGACCCGGCGTACTGAGGAGTTCACGTCCTAGTGTCTGCGCATGGTGCCCATTACTGGCGTGCATCAACAATCAGACTCTTCAACAGATACCAGGCGTACAATGATTCTGATACTCCTTTGACGGCGAAAGATGTCACACCGGGGATTCGAGCCTATAACCGTCGGGAGAGATGCATTGACCACTTCACTTCCAAAATTCTTGATAGCTCGAGTATCATTTCGCCAATGTTGTCTTCAAAAGCGTATAGTCCGGATGATATCAAATTCCGTTATCAGGGAATACGGAATTGCTACAAGACAGCCTGCGAGATGGCGGTCCGTTTTTCTCTTCAAAAGGCTGGCTTTCGGTTTGATGAGAGTGTCAAAGAGGTAGCTCCCTACCAAATGCCTAGCCGCCACCCAAATGACATAAATACCTGATGGGTCGCGTCTGGTTTCAATGCCCCGGGTATATACGACGAGCTTCTCGAAGGGAGAAGATCTGTGCTGATTCTATGGCCTGCGACTTGGATTATAGAGTGGAAGTTATCTCCCCATGTCAGAAAGCCGCGGGAAGAAATCGATGCGAAATACCCTCCAGACTACGACCGGTGTTATCGAGATGAACAAGGTGTCCATCATGCTGTTATATCCTCGGGTCTTGTTTTAGTTGAGAAAGACGGAAGGGAACCTCCGCTTGACCCGTGATGCTTGATATGGTTTATTTTCAACATTATTTGGCAATTATTCCGACTTAGCGCAGGCTTCACCACTGTACTGTTTTTTTTTGTTTTTTTTTTTTTTTTAAATTTAATACTATTGTTCTTGGCTTCTCTCGTCCCCTCGTACTCAATTATCTACAACAATTTGGCCTTCCTTTGACATCTCCCATCTACTATGCACTCCATGAGGAAAGTGCACCAGAAGTTGCAAATGACAGTCAGGGAGCGTTTATTTTATGATTTGCATGTATAGTCGGTAGAGTAAGGTCGGTTTATTGGTATAATATCACTTGCCCGAGCAGGGTTCACAAAGGCACCATCGACTCGGGGATGTGATATTGTAGCCAAACAGTATCAATCCTAGTGCATACAATATCAGCTTCAAGCCTCACCAGGCACATCGACCTATTGTTACTTTGAGCACTCACCAATGTCCTCTCTTGAATCCCACCTTCTTCATGCGACCACACTCTTCAAACCCTCGTGCCACATACCATTTCCTCAAAGCTTCACCTTGTTCCTTGCCCTCAGGATCAACCGCCATAACGGCGATCACATTCCTGACCCGAGTCGCACCGCTAGACTCAGTTCTATGGTCAACTTCAGTCGATTCACTGGCGACTGGTTCCTCGATTCTATGCCAAACTTGACCAGTTTCAACTTTCCCAAGCAAAAGCGCAAGCAGCACAGATCCCGTTCCTTGCGATTGATGGTCCGGGTGGAGGAACAGCGTCAGCTCAACGGTTGGAGCATATGAGACCATCTGGGGACGAAATGGAGAGAGCGAGCCGTAGCCAACGACAAGATCGTTTCCATCATCTGCTTTTTGTGTTTTATCCACTGCGACTAGATATGGAAGACCGCGAGATTCGAGGTCGTTCAGTTTGGCGATGTATGAGTCAAAGGGTGGTGGGGTCCGCACGAATGTGAGTGAAGTATTGAGGATGTAATGTCTGTTGATGACGCGGATCTGGGCTAGATCTTCTGCCCTTGCGGGACGATAATCAACCATTCTTTGTGGCTTGTATTGTTTCAGGTATCAAGATATCCTAGTCGAGAGATTGAGAACTGATGCGAATAGTCGTTTGTGTGGAGAGGGGAAATGGGATGCTTGGCAAGCCTTAGCACATGCGAATTGGCCAATAACATCTCGAGGGTCTTGCACTATCCGAGAAGACAATAGTATTTACACACCTGGATAATGTGAGGCATGTGTATTGATTTCGAATCGAATTGTGTGTAAAAGTCTGTACGAGGGAGAATGGCGCCTAGTTCAGAAATGGAAACTGAGGATGACGGCGGATTTCAGTAGTGTGAACTGGGAAGTGTAGCTTAGTTAGTTGGACACCGGCTTTGTGGTGAAAGAATATGATAATTCTGGATTCTCACGTCGTGAATGACAAAGATGCCGATTTCTTGATGCTTTCTCCTTTTGGACGCGGTTTGCCCTGGGCTTTGAGTTTAGTTTCTCCTTCGCTGCCTCCTCTCAGCTGTACTAACCCTCGCCCCCTCTTCCTCTCAACAACCATCTCTTGGATACTACTCTACACTCTTGCCTCCACCAAGACTCTTGATCTGCGATGAAGATAGAGGTCCCATATGCTCAAGAGGGTGAGACATCGCCCACCAGCCCAAAGTCCAGTTCCAAGGCTACCCCAGAGGTGAACGCAATGACTACCTCGAAGAGCAGCCCAGATACCAGTCCCAGCACCAGCACCAGCTCAAGCACTATCGCGAGCTCTACCCCACCCCGAGTACCCTCTCACATTACGGTCACTATGTCCATCGCCACCCCAGGGCAACTTACAGACCCCAACCTAACCATGGAACACTCCACCTGCTCGGATCCTGAGTCCGACTCCGAGTCTGACCCCGACTCTGACTCCGACTCTGAAGGTGAATCAATGCCCTTCGAAGTTCAGTTTGCAAGCCTCCTGAACCTTGGCTACCCAGGGGAGGATTACTACTCGTCTCGCTATTCCATCCGACTTCCTTCTGGATATTGGCTGCCGAATGAGATCTCCCTTGAGCACGTCGTGGAAAACATCCCCATCATCGGCTTTGTGAACGAATACAACCAGCCGATTCCATCTCTCGATGGCCCCGACATCCACTTGACCCTGGCAAGCATCGACACGATCACCCGTATCGGAGAGGAAAATGACCAAACCGCCATGCTGGATCTGGGTCAAGTGTTCTACCTCCATGGTACCCGCAAAGGCCAACTCAACGATGCCTATGCCTGGATCGCCCTGAGAGGAAATGAGGAAGACAAATTTGCCATGTCACGACGCGCGCGCAACCGCCTCGTCCCCAACTGGAAGTCCTTGATCAAGAACTGGGAAGACTTTGATGAATGCATCATCGACACCTGCCATGAACTTCGAAAGATGGCTATCAGGGGTAGTTCTCAGGCGATTCACTGTGCTCAAGTCATTTGTGCCGAGAATGGCATAGATCTGGTCGGGGTCGATATCGGAGACCTCGTGACCGGCAAGGTCAATGACATTCACCCTGCGGCGAAGCTCCTTACGGCTCTCCAGAGAGTACTGGTCACTGCTTACGCGTTTGAGGACACCATCGAGAAGATGCAAGCGATTGTGGACAACATGGAAGTTTAATACTGCTATACCTTCCATTCATATCACGTCACAAACTCAAGCCGCCGGCTTTCATGACAATTGGGAGTATAGCTATCTACTCCCCTATTCGCTTTCAAGTTCCCAGTCATCGCACGCCTTTTGAATACTACTGGATGTTATCTGATTTGATCCGTCTCGGGCTCTGGTCTCTACCGACGTGAGCACAGCCCACGGGTTGAGGTACAAATAATATGTTGATGACTTTAAGACAATTCCCAAAGTAGTTTCTCGAATTAATGTAAGCATTCCGAGTAATTGCGAGTTGCCGATATGAGCTCGACCAAGCCACAGAAAGATAGCACGGATGTTGAAAATGGAGATATTGAACGATATGGGCGATGTAAAGTGGGCTACCAGGATCCGATATAGTTATAAAAAGTAATTAACTTACAGTTTTCCGTGCAGGCTTATTAAGTAATCACCGACTCTAACTAACTAGTGGATCAGCTATAACTTGATTTTCCCAAACCCTGAACACCATGCCTCTGTGCATCATGTAAGCCTATTTTTCGCCGAACCCATGCCAGACAACCCTCCCACAGGAGATTTTCACCATTTAAAGAAACCAATATCTCAGTTACCAAAGCCTTGCCCGCATTGCGAGCCCACCACCGCTGACCATCAAGCTGAGCGAGAAGAACACCCCAATATGCGAGTATCAGAAGCGAAAATGGCGATCTCGTCCGAATGCCATGTACAAAGCCAGTATCCACAGCACCGAGCCAAGCAAGGACCGGAGCGGGATCCAAGGAGCACGAGAGCTTCATGAAGCAATGTCTGAGATGATTAATGACATCCCTATGAATCCCGTGTTGCCTTTCATTGCTGCTCGACTTGATCTGGTCGTTCAAGAATAATAATTGATTCAGTGCAGAATCCGTATCCTCGTCTAGCTCGGCAGATGTATCTTTCCAGAACTCGCCCTGGGAGAAAAGCTCCAAGCGGATCCACGATCGACCAATCGTCAAAATCTTCTTGACTCCCTGAAGAAGCTCGAATGCCGTCATCATGTTTTCGGTCATTTTCCCCTCATTCCCATGCCCGGCCGTAAGCTGCGGTAATGATAGATTGATCGCCGTGGTGATGATCGATTCTGCAAAGACAGCATCGCAATTTTCTGGCGTCAAATTGTCGACTGCGACGCGGAACGGCTCAAGACTCACACTATGATACTCGAGACCCGTATCAACGTAAACACGCGCTTGAGACGGATCCAGCGTCGTGGCGATATGCAGCGAAGCCAATGACAAAATCCCATGCATAAGATATCGATGTTTCAACGCCAGACGAGGCACGAGTTTTTGCCACGTTACTTTCTCCGACTCGCTCACACAAAGACTCAAATACGTCTCCGTCGCAAACTGATGCATTAACTCTAGCTCATCAACACCCGACGATGGTAACGACGGTCGCGGAGCAAGACCCTTGCCTCCAACAAACGGCCCAGGACTGATGGGACTAGTTTTGGTAGAGTCATGGCTTCCTCGACGTGTGTTGAGCAGATATGCTGGCAGAATACGGGAATATGTGCATCCATCCAGTTGACGGCCAATGCAATTCGTGCACGGGGGACCTTGCTCGTCACACTTGACGCGTCGGCGTCGACAGTGATCGCACCCGTACCGAGATTTCGTATGGGCTTTTCGAGGCATCACGCAATTTTTGGGTATATACGTCGAATAGAGTAGTTTTTGACCACCATGGCGGGTTTTTTTTGGAACTCTCTCTCCGCTCGCTGGCGTCCGAGCGTTTACCCCCGCACGCTTAACTTCCAGCCCAATTTGCTTACGTCATGATTTCTGGGGGGAACGCAAAGTCCGTTCAGCCGTAACTTTATCTCCGCACTGTCATATCTTTGAAGTAGAAATGTATAATAAAATGTTGATCTGGTAGTCTCTTCCATAGAAATTATTCAAGTAAATGGACAATGTTCAACATGGAGTTGTTCTTATGCTTGTAGCGAAATGTGCGTCGATACCCGTCTCGTCTCCTGGGCAATCACGGTAAACATTACCGTTGGAAATTGGAAAAGTCGCACGACCCCTGCATGCCCGGAAGCAACTTCGCCTTGGCCTTTCATGGCTACGTATAGTGCTTTTTGTGACTCAACTCGAAATTCTAAGAATGCATGAAGTAAATAATTAGTATCTGTCACTCGGTTGCCAGCTCCTGGATTGAAGGAAAGAGCCCGCGCGCCCTCTGGTGTCACATGCTGCATCTACTTCGCGGGAACGCAAATTCTTAGAACCTGCTTTTTCAGTTCTCACTTGACAGAAAATGTGACTACAAGCCTCTATCTCAAGACCGAATTCCTGTTAAGGAAAACGGTAGCTTCTCGGCAGAACACTGTGGGGCACGCGGTGGATCGCTCGAGCATTGGCGTAAACGTCGAGTGGGCAACGAGTACCCCTTGAGACCACGCTGCTGGTGTGGGAATATGTTAGAAGTGGCACTATTAATTGCCAGAGCCATCAAGCTCCCATCATCGAGCAAGTGCCCTGAGTGCTGCTCCTTGTTTCGGTGAGCTCTAGTGCATGATTCATGCGAACAGAGTGAAAAGAATGTGTTCTTACATATTTCTCAGCAAATTGGTACAGTGTATTCGCTCGATTGTCTGCCGAGTCAGACAGATTTTGCAGCACTATATCCAATACTTTTTGGTTCGAAAATGTCGCAAGGAATGGCGGAATCCATCCCTCCAACAGGACTGTCAAAGCCTCGCCAGATGACCAAATCTCGATTGTATTCACAAGAACCAGATCGAGTCACACCTCTTTTATATACCGATTGACAGTGTAATCTCTTGGCGCTGGGCAAATAGGTGTGGAAACTTAAAGTATATCCAGTCTGTACCCGGAGAGCTCCGCGACCGCAACGACTTCAGTCCATGGCGACTACCGTAGCTTCGGGTGGGCTTGCCCATTCTACTCACCCGCCAGCAACGGTCTTGTGTGTGCATTGAAAGAGCGAATACTGGCGCTAGATGAAGCTAAGAATTTTATTCAAAATCTTCGGCATTGGACTCGCAGATAATTATGCGCACAGTACCCGGCAGTCCAAGTGATCGATTCAAATATGGTGGATGCCATCCGGCTAGACGAGGCATCGTCGACGGACGTAGTGGAGACGTTGCGAGATATCATTCTACGCTCGAGCGGTAAACTCCGACTCAGCCCAATCTCTACAACAGGATATCTATACAAGATGAGAATACGGTTTGAACGTCTGGAATTAAGCTTCAATTCTGAAACACTCCAGTCTGGGGTGGTGCCCTATCCTTCCGAATTCAATGCGCCTATGGGGTACAGCTCACAGTCAGTGGAAAATGACCCCTGACGAGAGGGAGAATCATAATTAGTTCCAGCGACGGGACGGTTTGGGTCCAAGTGGGGGTAGTTCCTGGACGATAGCCACATTCGCCCGGGATCGTCGGGAGGCGCTGCGGTGCCAAATTTCCAAGCCGTCTGCAGGTTGATTCCGCGGTCGGCTGCTGTAGTGTTGTGATCGGCAAAGGGCACTCAGGAGGTGCAAGGGAAATAGAAAAAAAAAACACTTGTACGGCCAGAGACACAAACTAAAAGTGCGGGCAAGAAGAGATAGTCCACAGCCTTGCCTTGCCTCGAGGGATGCCTCGGTTAGAAGGTCCATAATTCGGCATGGCCTGAGAAGGTAGGAACTTGAAATCAAAAAAGCAATGGCATCACAGGAGAGGCCATTAGGGAGCAATCATACATAATAGGATCTTGTTGAGCTGGTCAAACAAGATAATGCGGTTGAGCTTCTTGTCAATTGTTTCCCACCCCTTTCTGCTCAGTACATAGTCAATAAGACTGGACCCCTGTACCGGATCCACCGGTGTAGGTTGAAAATACTCGTCAAATCTGAAAGCGAAAGGGTAGCCCGGGAGTTCATGCCGATCTTAATTTATTGACAGCGTCGAACTCGATCGGTGGAGTTGCAAGTGTCTCCGTCGTCCAGGGAAGCACCAATGGCACGTGGGAGGGCCCTGCGCACGAGCCTCAACGCGCTTGTGCGCCAAACTCCATTGGTCTTTGATCCGCCCGACAACACTCCCAGGAACAGGATAAAGCGGCCAAGATACTCCGTCAATGATGGAGACAACGGAGGCAGGTTCTGTCATAGCCAAGCTCTGACTGGTGCAGAGCTTTCGATCCGTCCTGGTCCTGCTCGTCATTTCCTATCTCATAGTTTTCGGTGGATGTATGAAGCTCCATACAACCCACGCAGGTCCAGATTTTGTGGGATAGTATTCCTGCATTACGAGGAAGATGCGGTTGTAGGATAGAGGAGATGTTAGAAAAATCACGAGCAGAAAGGTGAATATGTCTAGATGGCCATACAGTGTCAAAATTTCTAGAACCAAACAAATGACGCTAGTGCATTCGAGACCCTCGACTCCTACTGAAGTCACTGCTCACCAATTTGCCAGGTCCCCCCACTCCGCCAGCAAGTGGAGATGGTTCGAGCCAAAGTGCAGCCTGCGAACCCCCGGGGGTGTGTGGCCTCTCCGAGCTCCTTTTAGAGGGCCGCTTGCCCACCATGCCCGCTCCGAGAAGTTAGGAGTTTACACCCATCCGTTGCTGCCTCGTCCTTCGTTTCTAGCCTACTGGCTCTTATACAATATTGAATTGCCTGCAATTCTTTCCATTCTTTTTTGATAACAGAGATACATCTCTGTGACCACTCACTCTCTCAGAATCTGCCTTGTCATTTTCCGATCACATTCACTCTCTAAATTTTACAAATCACATCGACAGCTACGTCTCAAAATGAAGTTCATTACCTCCATCACTCTGGCCTCTGTGCTGGCTGCTGCCCAGATTGGCGGTGCTGTGCCCCATGTTCCTCGTCATACGCGCTCGTCTGCGGGCACTGTCCCTAGCAGCTCGGGGTTGCCCAGTGGTCTGCCCAGCAGCAGCATTGCTATTCCCAGCTCGTCTCCTGCTGTCGGACCTTCCAAGTCGATTCCCATCTCGGTGCCTTCTATGCGCCCCTCGGGCTCGAAGACCCCGTCCAGCTCGATCCCATACTCGACAATTTCGGTGTCGGTTCCTACCATCACCCGCACCATTGGTCCAGACGGCTCGGTGATCCCCAGCTCCAGCGGTATTGCTAGCTCGTCTGCTATTCCTAGCTTCTCTGGCGTTCCCAGCTCGTCTGGCGCCCCTAGCTCCACTGGCCTGCCCATCTCGACTGGACATGCTAGCTCAACCGGCGGGCCAATCCCCACTGCTGACCCCAGCTCAACCGTTCTGCCCTCCTCGGTGATCAGCACTCAGAAGATGACCACTTCCACCGTCTATACTACCTCCGAGGTGACCATTACCCAGTGCGCTACCACCGTTACTGACTGCCCGGCTCATTCGACCACTGTCGTCACCTCGACCATTGCTATCTCGACCACCGTGTGCCCGGTCACTGAGACCGAGTCTGAGAGTGCCACTTCTGGTGCAGCGAGTGCCACTTCCACCGCAGTGACCGCCACTTCCACCGCCGAGGGTGTCACTTCCACTGCAGAGGGTGCCACTTCCAGCGGAGAGACTGTCACTTCTACCGCAGAGAGTGCCGCTTCCAGCGCTAGCTCTGCCCAGGGTTCGGTCACTACCGAGGAGGTCTACATTACCACGACTATCTGCCCCGTCACTGCTACTATGACCTCCGGAAACAGCGTCATCACCTCGACCTACAGCACCGTTTCCACCATGACCGTGACTCCTACCCGATCAATCAGCTCCGTGATCATCACCCTGACCCCCGCCGGGTCTGCCCCCACCGTCGAGACTACCACTAGCCCCGTTGTCCCATCTTCCGTGGCTACCAGCAAGACCGTCCCCACCGGTTCTGCCACTCCTTCCGGAAAGCCCAGTGGTTCTCCCTCTATCGCCCTCAGCAGCACTCGTCCCGCTGGCAAGAGCAGCACCCCCATCGCTACTATCGCAGCCTCCTCGACCATGAAGAGCAGCGTGCAGCCTACCTCGGTCCCTACCACTGCCACTGATTCCGCTTCCTCGCCCAGCCAGACCCCTGCCTTCAACGCTGCCGGTTCAATTAGCGCGTCGTCCGGTCTGTTGATGGCCGTGACCGCGGTGTTGTCTCTGCTTTTCCTTTAGGCTTGTGGGCTGGACTTGGCCTGGACTTTGACCATGATTTATATCTTGATATGAAACTGGTCTACTGGTTCTGTTGGCTTCCGGGCTTATATTAGATTTTATTTGACGAAATTTTCTTCTTCTTTCTAACCCCTCTGTGGCCCTGTCTTCCGTCCTTACCTTTTGCCTGGACGAGACTGAGATTCAGGGGGCTTCTGTTAATAATCCTTGCCCTTCTATTACTATTATGATTGCGGTTGACTCCGTTTATTTGGTGTACGTTTTTGCTTTAGAATGCGTTATTATTATAAAGTTCGTTGAGGATCTTCTATATTTTGTACAGTACTTGAAACCTTGAAAGGACGTCCACTAACCATGCGAGAATGAACGTCACTAATAGTCCCACAAAAACCTTCATTGGCTTTCTCGGCGTGCACGTTCTAGGAAACTTTGTCAATTGTCTTGGGTTGGCATCCGAAACCGCGATGTCTGGCGGATCTGGAACGTTTCATAGGAATCACAGGTTATCTGCGCGACAAAATTCCTAAATATGCAGAAGTGGCCGCGCCGTTACAACTGCGAAAGACAGCGCTCTTGAAAGGCGCGCCGATAGCCGGCCAACGCCGCAAGACCTTCTCCCAGAAGACCCAGTACACACTCAACGTAACGGAACGAGACGCCTATAACACACTGAAGGACCTTCTTTGCCGCAGAGAAGCAATGACGCACCCTGATCCCTCTCGCGAATTCTACGCGGACCTGGACGCGTCGGCGTATGCATTCGGCGTCATGATCTACCATCTTTGGGACGACGTCTGGCGATCGAACAAGCCGCCACCTCGGACACGAGTGGAGCCCGGGCGAGGTAGTAAAAGAGAGTAGTAGATTAAATGGAGTCACAATATTAATTCCGTCATGAAAGAGGTGAAATATATACACCTACACTCCGTCCGCTAGGCTATCCGATAGGATATAGATCTAGGAGCCACAAGGTTAAGGATATCTGTAGTAAGTTGAAAAGTGATAGTATACCACTGGCAGGGCCGGTTTCTCTATCTCATGGCCCTCCTTTCTTGCTGAAAATAATCTGATATTCTCTCTCATTCTTCCACCCTGCATCTCATAACCAAGCCTACTTCTTCGGTTATAACTCACCGCCAACAAGATTCAATCTTGCAACCCACCTAGAGGATGGCAGCATCTGTGTTTACTGTTTCGAATATCCCGCGCAACATTGTATCCACGGAGGTGACGAGGATTAAGAATTCTTGTTGATCAGCCACGGCGGGCAATTACAGGAGATGTTGACAAACCCTTTAGTACGAGGGTGCTAACACGAAATACTTCTACCGATGCATAGCCCATTTGGCTTCACAGTATTCGAGGGTGGCAGTTTAGCTGGGGGGGGGGTTAGACGAAGACTCCGCCTTTAAGACCTGAGGCTAGACTCGGCCTTGCGCTTCACACAATTGGGTTTCTTCAGCAATAGTACCAGGAGTGGGAGCCGCAGCACTTGTTATCCGCATTGTTTCCTGAACTTAGTAATTTGCAGTCAAGTCCGTAAGCTTTTGCGAGATCTCAGTGACTTTCTTCGCCACCTCTTGTGTATTTAGCGTCACCTTCAGGGAATCAATCTTCCTGGATACGGGTTTGAGCTGTTTTGAGAGCTCCCCTCGTTATTAAAGTCGCTGTGTCAGCTCCATTCTCGAGCTGGCGGAAGAAAAATTCCGGACTCGCGGCGAGAAACTATTGCCAAACACCTCCGACCACCGGCCAAGTCCGGTGGAGAGCGCAAGCTATTTATCATCCTGTTAAGCCATCTCCCGACAGAATGCTAGCTATTCCCGTCTATACGGTCAACCCACAAGAAATCGCACTCTAGAACATTAGATGGGGGAGATTGATATCCCAATGGCAGATCAAAAGGCAAACGCCGCTGTCATGGGTGAGACACTTGCTGCTATGCACTGGATTGGCGGAGTCGACGGCCGCGACATCGCTACCTGCCACGACCAACAGCAAGGCCCAGTGGAGATTCCGTGAATAACGACCTTTTCCTTCTGAGTTTTTGATTTGAATCATGTCGAATGCCTCCGAACGCATCAAACTTACATGAGAGCTGACTGTCGAGAAAGCTCTCGAAATTCCAAGCATGGTCGTTTCCCGCTCGACTTAGACCAGATGAAGGTCGAGAATAGAAGCCAATACCCACCACTATCAAAAGCCATGTCGGGTGGGGAACCCATCTACAACGACCTATTTATCGCCCCTGCCGGGTCTCTTTCTGCATATCGTAGTCAAAGGTAGAAAACAACTCTTTTCAGAATCATATTAAATTCTCCACATTTTTGGGTTCAACATTATCTTCTCAATCAAGTAAAGGGAAATATTCCCCCTGGTAGTCCCAGGGCCTACTCGAGGCAGCAACGCACAAGCCCTTTTTCCAGGTGCATGGTCTTACGTGGATAGAACAGTTTCCAAATCAAGGATTGGTGAATTGTGCTTTGACTCTACGGTCTCCAAATACTTTTGAACGGCCACTGTATTCGTTCGTACGTAGTTCACATAATAATTTCAGGCATGTATTCACTTGTAAATTGAATACATTTGATACCTCCTTGCCCCTCCTCCGATGCACTTTTCCTCGGGCGGCACTATTTCACGATCAATCACGAGTGGTCCAATCAACGATGGCTCCAAACCTAGCCCATTCTAAGCATGAGCTTATATATGACATTATCCACAGTGGTGAACTATCTTCAAGTGAGATGGCACAGGCCGCTGGTTGCAACAAGAGCACCATCTCGAGAGTCTCATCCAATATAAGAATGTTTGGCAGCGTCAAAGCACCGCCAATTAAGGGCGGACGACCCCGTAATATCACTCTAGTCATGCTCGAGGCTTTGTGTGATCATTTGATTGAAAAGCCTGCCGTATTTTTGGACGAAATTGCTGTTGCTTCAAAGTGGACAACTTATGGGCTGTTCCCTGCGCGCTTTTCCAACTACGGTGGCAACGAGGGGTCCTTCGCGTGTATGGTTCCAGATTACACCTCATCAGTTGGATTCTCCTTTCCAGGGACTTCGTCGCTGATTGGACCTTGGCAAAATTGGCACTCTCCGAAGCTTCGTTAGTTTAAATCGCTTACTGTATTAGCACAAGTGGGGCCCACATATACCTGTCAGGCGCAAATAATGCAACAATCAGGTACAGTAGAAATCGAAAACAGGTTACCCTTCAGACACACACGCTTTCCTAGCGTCCTTCGCCAGGAGCTAATTTTGCCGAGGCTCCAACCAGCCCTGAAGCGAGAGGGCCAAAGCCACCACAACTCTCAGGTTTCATTATTTAGTTCCAAACGCATTGGTGTGCTCTTCCGTCATCAAAAGCCCCTGGTTCTTAGACATCAATAGAGCTGTGATTTTATTTCACTCCACGGTCTATCGCGCATTCACCAAAAATATCACCAAAGTAATATTAATAATTCGAGATGTTTCCTCGGCTTCTTCTTGCCTTGGGTGGAGTCTCTGCCGCTTATGCTCAAACAACTGCCGACTCGCCCTTCTTGGACCAGTTTCTTATCCTGAGCGACTATATTGTCTCTACTGTTGGAAGCGTATGATCCGTGATACTTCGACTTTAGAGGGTTAATACTAACAATCACATTGCTGCAGGATGCCACACACACGACGTACAATGTGAAGTGTGATAGCGAGGCCACCCTTTGCTCGCTTCCTGCTACTGGTGTGGCTGTTGTCACAGGCCCATCATATGTTGGACTATCATATACTGAACCCTCGGAGACATTGTGAGTCATGATAATCAAATCAGGAGCAAGCTTATGACAAGACTAATCTCTGAACAGCACTTCCTCAGTTGGGTGCAACTATGTGGATGCTCGAGCTTCAGCAGTTTGTGTTACTCTGTTAGCTGCTCCGGGTGTTGGTGTCCAGAATGGTTCTCCTGTGACAACTATGACTACTGTGACGTCTACAGTTACCCTGCCCGCCGCTTTCGTTGAACTGGGTTTCAACACGGGTGTTACAGGGGCCGTGACTGCTACGACAACAACAAGTACTAGTACCCGGAATACTGGGGCCCTTGCCTCCTCAACTGGAACTCCTTCTCTTGTCGAGACTGCGACAAAGATTGGGGCTGCGAATGAGGCATTCAAGTATGGTAACCCGGGCCTGGTACTAGGCGCTGCGATGGCTGGCCTAGCATTGCTATGACAGTAAGACGTGCGGGCCCTTTGGACGGGTGATACAGCGCTTGTGTGTGCAGTCTTATGTGGACAACACCCTCCTAGGTAGCCACTTGACGTGTCCCAGGAAGATGGATATTAACCACTCGTATTATCAAGAAAGAAGCTCTATAATACAACTTTTGCGTCCAATTCCTCCTCAAGCATGGTTCTGATGTCTTCGAGACTGAGACGGTAGATCCCCAAAATTATCGTGATTGCAAGTTCCGGCATCGGGTGAACCATTCTGCCGAAACTCACTATTGCCAAATGCTAATATTTGAACAGATTACCCCTCAGACACCACTAACGATTTGACTCGAGATATATATAGGCTGATCCACCTTTTTTTTCCCGCATCCTCTGGCATAGAGGCGCAGCGACGACGCGAGGCCCTAGCGCCTCGCTAGTGCAATTGTTGCTTTTCAACTGCTGATGTTAATAAAGTTATATTGTCTTCGTATCATGGCTTCTCCTTCCTCTGTATATAATTACTTCTATTGAATGCACCACGCGTGTCTTCGACTGGTGACAGCCTGACCACTCTACTCGTGTATCTAATCTGAGGATTCACTCATGATGAGTACTGGACTGAAAAATGAGCTCGCCTCCGAGTCAGGCTTCCTCTAAACCCCACAAAACTCTAGGCATTGTATCTAATCTTTTACGTCTCTAGTGCTGATGTTGAAGCTTCCCCAGAGCCATAGAAACCAAAATGCACGGATGTGTTCCGAATTACTCGTGCTGAGCCCTGGGCAATCAACACAGGCCGCTGGTACCTGTTCTCGTCTGAGCCCAAGCTGTGTTTCCATAATAAGCCAAGGTCCCTGCTGGAGAGAAGGCTCTATGTCCCCGATATATAACATATGGAGTCCCCCCATACTTTGGAATCTCGCTACCAAAGCCAAACCCTACTCAAGACACAAGAACCATTCCGGGTCTTGGGGATGTAGCTCTGTCAGACCGACATTCATCGAACCTAAAGAGATCTTACAAGCTGAGCTGCAACGACCTTGTCATGACTAGATACAAAGACAATGTACCGGGCCTAAAGGCCAGAGATACTGGGCCAATTCTATTCAAAAGAGAAAACGTCGTCGGCGGAATTGACGTTGACTACCCAAATTTCCTGCAATGCAGGTGTTGCCTTCGATATCGAGGGTGGGTAACCCTAGCTAACGGCGAACGCTGGCGATTTGACGAAAAAATCGACGAGTCCTGTTATCAATTCCAGCGCGTGCACGAGCGCATAAGTGATAGCGAATTCCCGGAGATATACCCTAAGATGCTCCAATGGGAGTGTTTTAGCGACTGGAAGTCGAAATATGGAGAGGCACCGGCTGATGTGCCGTTTGTTTTGGACCAGAAGACGCGTCTCTGCCGGGTTAGCTCGATCTGGTACAAACGGCACTGCAACTTTTCTGAGCTTATGGCTCCCGTCATTACATTTATGAATCGCGAAGGTCTTGTCGTTGTTAATGGCTTGAAGGAGGCTAATGAGATTGAGACTGCTGACCTTCGAGCATTGGTTCTGATGACAGGCCTTACGATTGCGAAGTTTGAACGCCCTGCATTGGAATGAGACTTTGTTCCAGTGACTACAATATTAGTCATACGATGCTCATAGAGCCGTCCGCAATTAGGCTCGGGCTTACTGTATTAAGAGTTCTGCGTAGATGACGAGCCGACAAGTCGGCAAGCACAGGCGGGAGGCGCACTACAGCAATGCAATCCAGGCCGCTTCATATAAATATCATAAAAAGGTGGTACAGATACTGCTCGATCAAGGCGCCAACGCCAAGGCCTAGAGTAGATTCTATGGTAATGCACTTCAGGCCGCAGCAGGTGGTGGTCAAGAAAGGGTGGTGCAGGTGCTGCGCCATCGTGGGGTCGGCGTCCATGCTGATCGTCAGTTGTGACCAGGAAAAGAGGTCAGGGCAGTCTAACTGTAGAAGGTTAGCGTTCTTCCAAAGAGGGTTCCAGAAAGAATCTGAAACTGATTTCGAGCGGCCCTATACTAGCGGGTTGGGAAATGTCTTTAGATCGGGCTTACCTTTTTTAAACAGACCTACGCCAAAAAATATCTAGACTTAAAGGAATAAACTCGTTGCAAGTCACTTTTTTGCGTCGTTTCACCCAAAGGCCGAAGTAACGAACGAACCGCCGGGCGGCACCTACTTTCACCCCGTGCGTCGCAAAGAAACCTGGGTCTTGATCCTCATAAATCTGCATGAGGTCGAGACAATTTTCGAGGGCCACATCGCGTGCTTTGTTGATGTTCTCCCTGAAAGTTTCGTTGGTTACTCGCGATTGCTGTCATTCAGTATACTCCTCCACGGCGACATCTAGCAGGCCGTCAACCATGATTGATTCAGAACAGCGGTGCCCGGTGGACATAGCGTCATTAGCAGGAGAATATATCGATTGCTCAGGTGATCCTCCCGAGAGGACATTGATACAGTACGTCGCGAAACCGGTGCAATAAGTCTACTCTCCGATCAACTTTCCCGCCCCTTGCGCCAGGACATACTAGTCCGCATTTGGAGCTCGTCCGGGAGTTTTGGATGTATTACTGCATAAGTCAGTCACAGATTAATTACAGTCATGAATTCACTTGTAAGTTCAATACATTGGTTATCTGAATCCCACTCACCCGAAGCAGGTTTCCTCGGGAGGACAACCTCTCAATCAGCCACGAGGAGTCCAACCAAGAATGGCTCTTAACCTAGCTCTGTCCAAGCATGAGCTTGTCAAACATAGGCTTGGGTTTTACATTCAAATGTCTTTTAATTCAGCGACGATCCTTCCAAAACTTAATGACATCTACTTATACATTGAGTATTGCGTAGTATCAACTTGAGATTCCCCTCCCTGTTTCAATTATTCTGGCTAGTTAGCGGTGACTCTTCGAGGATGCAGCAATGCTCAAGGTTACAACCATGGTTTGAAGTTAATTCCAACAGAATATAGCCGTTGTATCGAGATATAGCCTGGTTTCTCACAGAGACGATCACAGAGGGCTCCAATCATTAGGAACATTATAGTTTATTTTCGACCCATTCAGGTTTGAGAGGCGTAAATGCCTCTAAATTATCATAGGTTTTCGCGGATATTAATACGGTAATGATCACTTTGTTACATTCGGCCTGTTCCGCTACTTCAGGTGTTGTGAAAGACTGGCTTAGGTATAAGAACAAGCTTTGTAGGAGAGAGTCTTAGGGTCGTACTGCATCGCTTCGGAGTAAGATGATATTTCGGAGAGCCAAAGCCCATATGTGGTAAACCTATTTCCTTCTATTTACAGTGAGAAGCCCCACATGCTGTTCTCGTGCAAAGCCGAAACATGACAACAGGACGCATTACAGGAGCCTTGTTCTTAGACCCAAAAAACCAATTAATTGCATCACGCAACTCTTCTTTAGCCAAAGCCAGCTCCTCTTTCCCCACCCGCGCCTCTATAGTAACATTAGGCGCCTCTCCCAGCGCGATAAAATCAGCCACTCTTGCCTCGTTATCCGCATCAACAAGTTGCACACGCGCGTCAGCCAGAAGACCAAATAAGCCCGCACCAGTCTCAGCGTTAGCATGTATAACAACAGGCGGTAAAACGACGACTGTCCAATTTGGCCGTGTGCACATTAGATCTGCCAGCTCAGCCCGCGTCCACCTATAATGATCATGAGGTTGATCGGGGTTATCTCGGGATTGAAATGTTTCCAAGAGGCTTATCATAATAGAGGGTTCGCGGCACCTAGTCAGCGCCGCATACCACAGGAGACAGCGAACCGGATCGCCCATATCATATGTTTGCCAATCAATATCTACCCATGGCTCCCAGTTAAGGTGGACTATATCGCGTGCTGTATCAAGCCAGGGTTTTCGAGGCATGTACTTGCAGAAATCGTCTGTATCCGGGATATTCGGATCCGGGAGTAGTTGAGGGCGGCCGCTCTCGAATGCAACGGCTCTTGACTCTCGGCAAACGCGTGATATTATGGGAGGGGCCGCATTATTCGACGTTATTTTGGAGTTCATGCTGCATTGAGGCTTTTCGTCCCATATTAATATTTCTTCTTGGTAGTCTAGCTCCATGATATGGGGGCGAGGGAGGCACTCGCGCCAGATCGCGAGACGGATTTCGGGTGGGAATTCAGGGAATAGGTAAAAGGTGTCTTTTGGAGCTGGCATTCTCTTTCGTTCTGGTCTAATATGCGACTGCAGGAAAAAAGTAATCTCGGTCCTCGATATGGTCAGGTAGCTTCGTGACTGATGGCGGATCGATGGGGTATGTAGAAGGATTCGGAGAAATATGAAAGTTGTCATTGCCGTGAAGGCATAAACAGACGAGTCACGTGATACCTTTAGTCTTAAAACCAGCACATTACTACTACACATTTATTATCACACATCGAATACTCTAATGCACAGTATACGGCGCTATTCTTCCAACTTGTTCCCAGCTTCTGCCCGGTATTCAATACCTGGTGCCTGTGTGATTGTTCGAGTGACGGAACGCTACCTGCATAGCCCATGAGGAGCAGCCTGCTTCCGTTCTGCCACCGCTTTGCTCGCTTCTTCTACTGTATGATAAGCCGGTCCATAAGTTGTCTGCTTGCGTACTGTAAGCCACAATTTTGTAAGGTCTGGTACCGAGTAAGACCCTTAGCCCGTCACTTGGACACAGGAGTGGCAGAGGGTAGTGTTAGGTTGCTAGGTTCTCAAGGCAATCCCCAGACACCGTGTTTGACACGTTTGCATGAAAAAATTCCAAGGTATGGGATGCCAGCAGCGGCCAATGCCTCCAGGGGTGGTTTAAAGGAACTCAAGGCACCAAGTTCTTTCTATACTTGCTATTCAAAATTCATAATTACATTCAATTTACATTCGTATGGAATCAACCCGGTCATTCACACAGAGAAAGTGTGAGAAGAGAAGAAAAGAGAAAGCGGTACTCTACCCGGCAATCCCCATTTAAACGGCCTCAGGGAAGGGGTGGGGGTTGGCCAGGGTGGTAGGGGCCGAAGAGCGAGCCTTAGGACCGATCAGGTGGTCAAAGGCAGGGGAGTGAGAGACACGGGGGGTCAAGTCCTCCAAATCCCACAGGTAACCCAGGGTCTTGAGAACGGAGGTGGCAGAGTACGAGGCAGACTTGCCAGTGGCGGGGTCAATACCGTAGTTCTCGACGTGACCCTGGGGAGCGTAGGGGGAAACGAGCCAAGTGGGCATGCGGCCACCAAGACGGTCGAACTTGAAGGTGTAGCTGGAGCCGTCGGAGGCTTTCTCAGTGTAGGTTTTGTTGTCGGGGCGGACGGCCAAGGGGGGAGCGACGTGGTCGTAGAAACCACCTGTCTCGTCAAAGGAGATCAGCAGCAGGGTCTTGTCCCACTGGGGACCAGTGCGGACGGCGTCGTAGACCTGCTTCAGAAGGACCTGGCCGGTGGAGACGTTGCCGGTGGGGTGCATGGAGTTGGTGTCCAGGCCGCAGCAGGAGGGGTTGAGGTAGGACAGCTTGGGGAGGGTGCCCAGGTAGGCGTCCTGGTAGAAGTTTTCGAAAGGAACCACACTGGACTTGGCGTTGGCCACGGTCCAGTTGAAGAACAAGGCGTCGGAAAGGAAGGCGCCGTTGGTGCCGTCGTAGTTCTTCCAGGAGATGCCCTTCTCCGAGGCAACCTGGAAGATGCTGGGGATGTCAATGGCAGAGACATCAAAGTCGTTGTCGTTCTTGCCGTGGCCGTCGGGGGTACCGGCGATCGCACAGAGACGGTTAGGGTTGGTAGGCTAAATATTGTTAGTGATGTAGTTGGATGACCTGTCAAAACGGGGCACTCACGCCGGGGACACAAGAGTGCCAGTAGTTGAAGGTGGTGAACTCATCGACCAGGTCAACGAGAGTGGGGATCTCGTCCTCGGAGTAGTAGCCCATGACCTCCTCAGTGGCGAGCTTGGAGGAGATGTTGTAGCGCTCAACCTGGCGCTCGACAAAGCCATCAAGGCTAGGCTTCAGGCTGCCGTTGGCAATGGCGGCGTTGTCGGGGCTCCACTGACCATAGAGCTCGAAGTTGACACCAGTGAGAGAGTGATCCGGGTCGTGAATGACGGAGTCAAAATCCTTGAACTGACTGCACATCTTCTGGCCTTTGGGCTCCTTGACGGACAATGGGTTGCAGAAAGGTCCATTGTTGACGACGTTGTCAAGACCCTTCTTGTGCACACCACCCAGGATGTTGTCGAACCCACGGTTCTCCAACAGAATCCAGACAACGTTCTCAATCTTGTCCTTCAGGTTGGCAATGGACTCCTTGGAGCCAGAGGCGTAGCCAAAGGGAGTCTTGTCGTTGCGAGCAACGACGGCGCCGACGGCGCTGCCGGTGAGACCCAAAAGGGGAAGGAGAGTGTTGGCCTTCATAATTGAACAGCTGAGTCTGACCTAAAAGATAGAGGGAGCTTGGGCTGGTGAACGAGAAGAGGGAATCATTCCCAAGACGCGACAGGACTGCATTTATACTGTCCGCGTTGTCATGGAGCATCCGGAGTGGCAGCGCACACAACATACCACAATACACGTGGGGACTGGTTCCATTGGGAAGCCAGACGATGCGAGCTAATCTAAGGCTATGAGCAAATGAGCGATGATCGCTCAATGCACATGTTGACGCCACGGAATGCCATAGGGTCGGCCGGAGTGCAACGGCTCTCCATAATAACATCAGAACCGGGTGGCCGGTGTCTAGCGGGGAGACTAGCCGGTGGTTTGTGCACTTGTGAGGCCCGGGTCTCGGCAAGAGTCATATTTCTGCAAGTTTCTGCAAGGAATCTTCGATGGGCTTTCTGTTGGTATTCTTCTTAACTATCAAAACAAGGGATCGAGACCCGTGGGAATGTTTGGGGGCAGGCGGAGCTTAACATTTTTGTGTACCTGGCAGTCGGTGGGTCTTGTCTCCTTTCTGGTCCGCCAACACCAATCGAGCACCATCTTCAGGTCAGCAACGCTCCACCGTGCCGGGGCTTGGCGTATTTGCCCAGGCGCCAATCAGTGCTTGTGTTGAGCACATGCCTCCCACGTGCAGCGGCCTGAAGACGAAAACGCATCGCTGATCGAAGGTCGAAGGACAAAACTTCGTATAGTTATCGGTGCGCCCGTCGGATCTCGCTGATTGTTGTGGCTAACTCTGCAGGGATTTCGTCGGGTAGAAGCGCGATGTAGAGTTCAATCGCTAAGCAATCTCAAGCATATGGAGGAGGAGAAAGGCTTAAGCCACAAATTGGGTAATCTGTCCATGTCATCCATCAGATCAAGCAACGCTGACCTCGTGCTCGATGTCGATCGCCGTTCATACTTCCCAATGAGTATCTCAAGTCCCGTCCAGTTCGGAGATACAATTCCAGGAGCGCCCGAGCGGGTATTTGCATCGACCCCGGCCGATGTTCCTCCACTCATCGTCCAAGATGGAAAATGCCTTTTCAAGGGTTCCCAGCAAATGCCGTTTTGTGCGATGAGATCCCTGTCGGCGGCAAACCTCCGAGCTCTCTCTTTTCTCCACAAGGTCGTATGCAGCTAGCGTAACTTAGGCGGACTGCATGGGAAGAGGTTCTCTTTGTTCGGTCTCATTGGCCAATTCCATGGTCATCACAACAGGGTCATACAGCTCGTCATGATTGGTCAGATCTTCGGTCAATACTCAAGATCATGGCATAAGCAGGACTCTACCTCAGTGTAAGCACTTTGACCAGATGAGGTACTCATTTCGTGGTCCATAGAGCCATAGAACTCGGCCGAGAGTAACTTGCCAGACTGTATAGAGTCTGCTAGTAATAGAACACACGCAAACCGCTATAAAAGATCGGTTCTGCTTGAGTAGCCTCTCGTTTCGCAAACTTCTACCGAATGTGGGGTCATTCTTATCCGTTTAATAGTTGATTTCGATGCCATGGAACTCGATCTCCTGCCGTATAGCTCTGCCCGATCGGATCTGACTGCGGTGATATTATCTTTCGGTAACCAGTTAAGCCACCACATCGTGTCTTTGAATCATCCATCCAAATCTCGCACCCAGGAGGCGTCTTAGCAAGAACACGAGGACTCGCTGCATGGTATATTGTAGTGTCGTTATTAGATACTGGAGACATCGTTGCCCGTCACAGTCCGGTCATTGTGCTCTCCTCCGTGGAGGTAACTGGTGCGCGTAGCGTGAATCCTCCTGAAAAGAAACTACTTTTGGTGAGTTTGATTACTCGTGTCGTGTCAGTACCACATACCGTAGACTCAGGCTGCTCCCCGTGGCTGAGGTCTCTCGAGGCAGCCAGTGTCTCGATGGTTGTGTTCTCGACGGTGCCGTGCTCTGGATGAGCGCAGACTCTCCGGAGAACCATGGTGTCAGCGAGCACAGGCTCTCGATGACCTAGTGACTCTAAGCATATGTCCAGCCAGTCATGGATGGGCCTGTCAGTGGCAATGTTATGACCCTCATAAACGAGATGCCAGTCGTACTGCAAGGCCATTACATCGAAGTATACCGCATCCACGAGGACCAGCCTCGGGATAGACGATTTCCATAACACCCAGATAGCCCATTCCGTACTCCATGCTCAAATCTCCAAAATGCCAGTATCCGCACTGTTGATATCCCGGTTTAGGAAGGCACGCAAGTGTTGCCTGGGGCGCGCAAGAACAGGTCCGTCCCAAGATGGCGATGTTTATACAGAATGCCCCAATTAGGAAGGCATGGCTGCCTTCTATGAGTCAACTCGAATCAAACATCCCGTTTGGGAACCAGGGCCGATTCCCCTCAAACCCTAGTGAATATAAATATCTCCTTCTCCCCCCAGATTTTCTTTCCTTTCCATCTCCCCAAATCCTCTCCACATTCTCCAAGTCTTGGCCTCCCCATCCATTGACCCACATGGCCTGTCACTCAACTTTATTTGAGCCTCCACCTTGACATGTCCCCTCTACCTTGACATGAACATCCACCCTCATCCTACTTTGTCATGTCCCTTCTACCTCGACACGTCTCTTCTACGTTGACATGTTCCTTCCACCTTGACATGACCATCCATCCTCATCCTACTTTGTCATGACCACTACACGTCACAACACGTCACGTCTATCCTCCCTTGTCATATCAACAAAAATTCAAGTCTACTATGACACGTCCACATCAGGACATGCATTGATGATCTTTCGTCACTTGACCTTTCTATCTCAAGGTTTGTTCCTCACGTCCCTACACACATTGATGAAACGCTTTTGATACTATTGTTTTCAGGTCCCTCATCCCACGTCTACTTCAGATGTTGATTTTGTTTCACTTCGGACAGGCGTCATGTAGCTGGAAATTCCAATTTGCATGTCAGGACAAATTTGAAGTCGAACCTGGTCAATCATCTTCTCCCTTGACACATTGGTCTCCCATCACCGTCTCACTCCAACCTTCTCCGACGATCCACCCAATCTTGAGGCTCACTGGGTTCTTCTCTGAACAGGCGTCACGTAGCTGGGAAACCCCAGTTTGCGTGTCAGGACAAATTCGGACATGAACCTAGTCAATTTCAATCCTACTCGGCATTGTCGCTTCCATCGAATCCAATTCTTTTCCCAGACCACGCTTTTTCCACCATCGCGCTTCCGCTCGCACCAATCCCCGGGTTCACTGGTTTCTCTTTGAACAGGCGTCACGTAGCTGGCAAGTCCAGTTTGCGTGTCAGGACAAATTCAAAGAGAATCCAGACAACCATCCCGCCACATGCTCGAATATCATCCGCTCGCATCAATCCCCGGTTTCACTGGTTTCTCTTTGAACAGGCGTCACGTAGCTGGCAAGCCCAGTTTGCGTGTCAGGACAAATTCAAAGAGAACTCAGTCAACCACCCACCACATGCTCAAATATCCTCCGCTGGTTATATATCCGCTCGCCGAGCTCGTCCCTCGATACCAAGCATCCTTTGGCTTGATCATATCTTTTATCTGGCCATCTCGTGATATCTCATCATCTGCCTCCATGGGTTTCCCATTCATTGTTACTATTAGTGGAGATAAAAAAAGACCAATCAAACCTATATCCACACGTATTTCAGAAGAATTTAGACTCATTTTAAACGGAATTACCTATGTATCGTGCTGGTCGTTCAATCTTCCGCTCACTCCCCTCCTCGGTTTTCCTTACCGTCCTTGTACCTTGAACCAGGTCACAACGACTAACCTCGTCCCTTTCATACATTTGTACTCCTTAACCCAGTATCTACATCCGAGTATGCAAGCTCTAGGTCCCGGAAGAGTGGTTGATTTTGTACAAAGGTGGACTACGGAATAAGACACTCTTTAATGGGATAGCTTAAGATCTCCGATACCGACTGTTCGTGGATATATGCAACGGCTCTCTTGATCTCCCAGCTGTGTACGGTTGCACATCCTTGATCAATGACCAACATGAGATCAGCACGGATAGCGTATGACATTGCCACGGGAGTTCATAACTCTAGGCGTCGCGCAGGAGACCCCTGCTCCACTGTTCGTCAAATGAGTCTCCTCCTCTGGGCTCCACAACGAGTCATGCCAACTCAATAGTCCTTAATCCCAGGCACAAAATTAGCTGTAACGAGCATAGCGTATTGTCATGAGGGGCTTAGAAAAGACCGTCCACTTTGTGAGTGGTTCCACTAATCTGTATAACACAGTAGTATTTCCTGCACTATTGTAGGGCTGAGCTAGCACCAAGGCGTACCAAGCCACATTAACCGCCAGGCAACTCTCAATTGCTAGCGTGGGCACCCGGCGCTCCCGATCAGGCAGCTACCAGTCAAGATCTAAGCCATTGCCGTGTGTTGGCTTAGATATCTAGGTGTTTATGGGAATCCTGGGTGGAGTTAGCTATCCACTAAAGGATCGGTATAGTTTTGGAGGATATAGTGTGGTGGTTTGTGAGAGTTTATTCAGACATCGGCATCATTCAGAGATGTCACGCTTTGAGAGGAGTGAACACATGAAACTGCGCTAAACTAGCCTTGTTTGTACATCGAACGGCCATTTCCTGATAAATCATTGTGGTATTGGGAATCTCCAGGCCCTCCTCGTCCCCATCGACTAAGCCGTATGTAGCGATCTTGGCATTTAACCCATCTGGAAAGAACATCGCTCCAAACCCTCGGGATGGCAAGGTTCCATTCCGAGCAATCTAAATTTCTGGTCAAAATCAGGCAGTTGCCAAATACAAACGAGGAAGCCTTTCAGTAGTCAGGGTAGTCGGGCATCCGAGTATCCGAGTATCCGGGCAAAAGCCAAGAGCCACAATCTGCACGCCTTTGCTACAGGACCATGTTGATCGAATGATGGCCGGCTAGTTATCTTGGCGCAGCCAAGCCTCTGCATCGTGATGCCCTCGTTCAGACCCCGATCGCACGCTCGTGTTATTACGGGGTATTACCCTTTTCGCCCGCTCGTATTCTTGCAGGGCCGTGCTATGCTTTACATACGGGGTGCATGACTGCTGAACAGAGTAGATTAGATATTCTTAGGACTTCCTCACCACTTGGACTTGGCAATTAAGTGCGTGAGATTGATAGAGGCTCGTATAAGGGTTCGGCACGAATCACGGGGATGTTGTAGTCGCCCGGGTATACCCCGTAAAGAAGTCTAGATCTAGAAATTAAATCTGGAACTCCCAGGCCGAGCTCCCGTCCCCCGTGTTGCGATCCCCGTGCAAGTAGGGGACTCGGAAGAAAATCAGGACCCGCGGGGTGCGAAGGGGGTGGGCCGAGAGAACCCCGGTTTTTTCTTTTCTTTCTTTTTTATTACGCTAGTCATGGAATTTTACCAGGCAGCCATGATTAACAATTGTCAGTTCCTGTCGGGGATACAGGCCTATCATTGCAGTTGTTAGTAAAATACTGTAGACGGATTAGTACATTCGTCGCGAAGGGGTCCATGAATTTCGTTGGTCGGACCGAGTAATTTCCCCGGCTGACGTGTGCTTTATACTGTCAAGCCAACCAGATTGACTTTAGTAAGAGGCTGCTAACTTACTCATTCGACGAGAGCAGAGTGTATACAGAATAGAACAAAAGTAGACTACTTTTTGTACTTCAGTGGCAAATTAGGTTCTCCCTAGTGCTGGTGACATTCTAGGTCCAGAACGGTCGTAGGGAAGAGGACCCTGACCCGTTGCCAAGAGAAACTAACGAGGCTTGTCTGAACTTTAAATCGCGTGACCTATCGTCATTTTCCAACCGGGCTCAGGCACCAGCGTTCTCGAATTTCACGGGCTTGATGCTCTTCTGGGTCCGTTCAGCCCCCAGTAACTCTGACCTCAGCAAGTATACGAAGCAGATACATAAGCTACTCGATGCATCTGGTATACCTGGTATACCTAGCATCTGGTATACCTGGTATACCTAGTATACATTGGTGGAGGCGCAGCGGCGTCCATACTCTCAAGCTAGAGGAAGGGGTTCTTTCTACTCTCAGTGTGACAAAGAGTGTCAGGCTTTCCACTTTGGACCCTTCTTCACTGCTTAAGAAGATCTAGCACGCTAAAAGCCCCACCAGCGCCTTGGACTCCGTTGTCACAGCTGGGCAATCGGCCGGGATTGGCTAGTTCGTCTATGACCAACTCGGAGGGAAGGCAAGCTTCGGGCCAAAGAAGCGAACCACTGGTTTGAACCAGCACGCGCAATGCTTGGCCTTTGACCGTGGGAACGGGAAATACCTCTGCCTAATTGAATGCTCGTTCCATAGATAGGACATTTTAGACGTTTAAACTCAGTCGGTACGCCTGGCATGGAAGATTTGGCTGGACAAGTCCATTGGCTCATCAGGAAGGGGGAGGAACCTTGGACGAGCTGAACTTGGGTTTGCATAGAACGACGAGGGCCTCTAGGAAGGGTCCAGTGTGTCGCAGCAGTCAATGCTGTGGTTCGAGTACTTAGTTGAAACTGCAAAAGCAGAATAATAATCCGACCCTTTTTCTTTTTTTTTCCCCATTTTTTTAATTTCTAATTTACAGTTGTGAATTACCTTTCTACGTCACCCTGGTCCTACTCTCGCGCTCTTGCTTCCCACGATTTCTCTTCTTAATTTCTTGTATTTCTCTCCTCCCTTTCAATGCTTTTTTTTCTACTTCCCGACGGCCCTTTAAACTTCTCATAGGCGTGATCTGTCCAGCTACTCTTCGCTTTTCATTTGTTTGACTTCCACTGGCGGCGAACACACTCTGCTTGGGCCCCTTCCTTCCCCACCAGAGTCGCGTGCTGGCTCAATTGCTCCTATCGCTAGAATCTCTCGACTTCTCTCCCATTACACATCATGATGGCTCCAATGCTCTCCCCAACCGAGGCCATTCCGCCCATCAAAGTCACTACCGTCACCACTGTGATAGACCCGACGATGCAACCCACGATCAACATATCTCCCGCGCCAGAGAAGAAGAGGCATGGTCGACGAGGACGAAAGAACGCCGTACCCGACATTGTCGGCACTAAACAAAAGAAATCACTGCTTCTCGATGTGCTGGGCGACGCATTAGTTGATCAGATGTACACCACTTCTGCCGCCTCGACCAAGCTTCATGACCGGTTGGACATCTCCAGTACATCCGTTGTGGATCACCTCCGCAGCAACTTCACCACAGACCTCACCGCGTCCTCGTGTGCTAGCTCACGCAGCAGCAGCAGTCGCACGTTGACCGCGGTCGAAAGCCACAGCACACCCCCAACCAGCTTGGACGAGCGCGACTCGCACGAGATCGCCACATCAACCGCATCCACCGTTGCACCCACTGTATCCAGCCACCACTGCCCCAGTATGGAATCTCTTCGATCCAGCCCTTCAACTCACAGTCAGAGCACGAGTACAGGGACTGCAGGCGCCGTCTTCTGCCTAGAAGACTTCTCTACAATGTCCGCCATCCAACGACTAACCGCTCAATACGGCCGCGTCGCCAACATGGGCATCCTCGACCACAGCTATCGATTCTTCGTCAACCAAAGCCGCACCGGCGCCCTCTCCTTCAAGGTGCGCAACCAAGTCGCCGTCGTCGGTGGCGACCCCCTCTGCGAACCGCACATGATCCCCTCTCTCCTCGCCGAATTCGCCACCTACCGCCGCAAACACCACTGGGGTCTAGCCTTCATGGGCGCCAGTGGCTCCTTTGTCCGCGACATTGCCCAACCACGAGGCTGGACAACCATCCGCCTTGGAAGAGAGCGCGTCCTCAACCCGCAAACAAACGAGGTGCTGTTAGAGCGCAGCGGGAAACGCATCGCCGTGCAGAACCGCCAACTTCTCAATACCGCCAAGGGCGGCGTTACCCTCGGCGTGTATGCCCCCGCCGTGCATGGCACGGATGCCCAGCTCCAATCCGAGCTGGTGGGTATCTACGATGCATGGCGCGCAGAACGGAATTCCTCCGACGGCCCGCAGGCCTTTATCACCGTGTACGATCCCTTCGCGCTGCCCGCACTGATGACATTCGTGTATAGTCGCGCACCGGACGGGACGATCAACGGATTCGCTGCACTCCGTCGACTCGGCGATGGCGGATACCACGTTGATCCCTGCATCGCAGCCCCCGGTGCAGCAAAGGGAATTAGTGACCTCCTCATCGTCTCCGCAATGGCATTGCTGCACCGCGCAGGCGTATCATATTTAGGCTTCGGCTTTGAACCCGAGCATGCACTCGCGCGTGAAGATATCACCGGATTAGCCGGACCGTTGGTCAGTCTGACGAGGGAAATGTATGGACATACATTCCGGCGACTGCCGATTCACGGGAAAAAGGCCTATCATGATAAGTTCCGGCCGGATGTCGAACAAGACAGTGGACTTTATCTTGTTTTCCCAGGGGTTATACCGGGTCCGAGGCAGTTTTTGGGGATGATGCATATGGCGAATATTAGTTTGAGGAAGATTTTGTGGGCGGATCTGAGGGCTTTTGTGTCTAAGCGCAAAGGCAGCAATAAGGTTGAGAAGGCCGGGGTGGACGGCGAGGTTGAATCCCAGGAGCCGGCACAGTCTCGCGCACAGTCATAGACACGCGAGACGCAGTCAATTTTCTGTCGATGCTCCGATTGTTGCACGGTGATGTGGACATTGCTTGTTCTTGATTGTCTTTCCTTCCCACCCCCCCCCCCCCCCCTTTGTCTAGAGGTGTCTTTTTTCTTTTCTTTTGTTTCTAACGGGAGGTCTTTTGGCTAACACATATATTTGGGCCCATGATGGTAGCCACAATATACGTATGACCTCCTCGTTGCTGTATTATATGTTCGGATGGGAATCTTGTATCATAGCAAGGGCGTTTTTTTTTTTTTATTTCCATGGCCTTGGCCTTATTCATGCGCTTGGAGGGTCGTTGGGATTTTGGAACTCGGGATGGTTCCATCTGCTTCTGCTTCTGCCTACTTATCACTGCCCGTTCTGTACGGGGCCAGTTGTCATTCTTTGGTTGGGTTTTCCTTTTATTGTCATGTCGTGTCGAGTCGAGTCGAGTCGAGTCGAAGGCGAGTCACTCACTACCTTACCCTTCCAGATTCTCTTTTCTTTTGACTTTTTTTTTCATATGTGTTTATTCTCGAAACTGTTGTTAATAAGTCTTTCTTCTCATCTCATCAATTCTTCACATGTAGATGCGTGTTTGCCATGTAGTATGTGCATAGGTCAATCTAGATTGAGTGACAGCGGTAAAGGGGAGAAGAGTTCAAGTTGCGTTCGATTAGGCTGGGATTGCCAACAATATAAATCGTGGACGAGTCTGCCTCACAAAAACGAAGCACACTAAGCTGGGCACATGTCAAAACTGGGACGATGATTGAGTATTCACACAATGGTAAAGTACACCTTTGAAAGGAGGGATATGTACGAGACGAGGAATATTAACATTCACGACAAACGGCCAAAGAGAAAGTCCTTGACGATAGGCGAACTGGAGAATTCGGGGTTTAGGAGGACACAACTGGATACACAAGTCAGTCAGATCTTAAACATCTCATCTTGGAAGCATGGGTGGGAATAGACGCACTTGAGGAAATATTCCAAGCCAACGCGTCGAGATTCGAGGAATTTGGGACGGAATTTGACTAGAATGGTGTTAGTGTGGATATCGAACCTGGGCTGGGGAGTGTAGGATGACAAGGAAGTGGAGAAAGAGGAGGAGGAGAGTAGGGGCGTTAAGGTGACATACATAGTACACTCTTCGGTGGAAGAGCGGGTAATGCGTTTCTAGCATGGGGGAAGGCGGATTCCAGTCTTTGGCGTAAATCGTCGAATTCGGAGTATCTAGCTTGCAACTTAGTATTAACCCCGGACATCACCCGATAAATAGTCGACACCAAACACGCGCCACTAACGGATTATCATACCTTATTCGAACAACGATCGGTCCTCCCTAATACACAGTCAGAAACCCAGCCCCAAAGATGGAATCAACAAGATCCCCAAGAGAACATGCCTAACTTACATCGAGAGTCTGAATCGTACAATTCCACACAACATAAGATCCCACCCCACTCTTCCCTTGCACAACGACATGATCATCAATCGCAACACTCCTCGCCCATAATCCCCGACTAGTCTCCGAGTCCGGGTCCGCCGTATGATCCTCCAACCGGATAATTCTGCTCTGCGCTAGCGAGCTCAGCGAGGCCCGAGATACGGATCGTTCGTGACGTTGCCAGAAGGGTGGGATTACGCTGGAAACGGGGCGTGATTTGGAGCTTGATGCCCCGCTGTCTGTGTGTGGGAGTGTTGTCTCATCGGGGTTGCCAGTATCAGGGACGGGATGGTTGGTCTCATCGTTCTCGATGTGTTCCCTAGCGTTGCCATTACTCGACACGTTCTGGGTATCAGCCTTTGCGGTGGCTTTATCGTCTTGCGGGGAGGAGAGCTGCGACTGCGACTGTGGCTGTGGCAGGATTGCCGATGCCGGTGCTGGTGCCGGGGTGGCCTCCTCACTCGCAGGCTCCATCCATTAGGTGGTGAGAACCTCGCTACTGTAGCCTGTGTCCGAGCTAGCAGGTAAGAAAGATGTCAGCGTCACCATCACCATCAACTTTAACAGGCCGGGCGGTCAAAGCGCTATCTATCAGTGGAGTCTCCATCGATGACCCGGCATGTGCGTGTGGTCCGATGTATGTCTCATGCGGATCGGAGCGTTGGGTCCATGCGGGGAGAGACAAATATAGAAGGGGGGTAGCGAGGGGGGAATTATACTGTGCCACCAGGGTAAAACGGTGCGAGGTGAGGTTACTTGATGGAGACATACTTGGATGATTCGGAATGAGAATTGTATAGAGAGAGTTACTAAACTTGAAACCCGGCGTCCGAGTTCAAGCCAGCTTGTTGGGGGGTGGGTTCTCTAGCTCGTGTTGAAAGTCAATGGCGAACGTTCCGGGGAGCTTTGGGGGGTGCGGAGGCATTTGTTAGGTAAGCCGGTTGTTTAGAGCGGAGGCGTTCACGACGTATCATGGGTCTTGTATTGTATTGGTCTTAAATATACGGTATTTTACTGCATTACACACTCGGCTCGGGCAACCCTTAATCTATAATGGGGCCGCTTGTTATTTATTTCAAACCCGTCATTTACTTTTACTTTGCTCTACTTTATATTCATCCTCAGACGGCAACGTTTAGAGTGAGACTATTTTGCCAAGGATTGAGTTATTATAAAGGAGAGGGGGCCGTGGCTATCACAGCATTGTTGTGGTTTTACTCTATCGGGTTCTGTCCCTATTTGAAATGAGATCAAGGACTTCATCTGTCAAGAGGTTAAATGATCCAGTAAGCGTCCTGCATTAGCTCACAAAACAGAAGGTAAATGTAGCAACAGAACAAGAGATCCATCCATAGTATATCCAGTTTGAGGTTCAACCATGAGTCAAGAACTAGTGCGTGGGGCTCTAATCAATAAGCCCACACTACTCATCATCCTCGAATGAAAGCGCCATTGCCAGCTCATGACACATCATCTCTACCCGCCGAAGCTTTAACACAACCGCTTGACTAGCTCGAGTCAGCACCGGGTTCGGGTCAGCTGTAACAGAACCATGTCCATTCTCGAGAGAAAGGCTTCCGGTGTGCAATGTACGGATAATCAATTCGGCATGGTACAGACGGTCTAGTCTACAATGTTAGAAAAGATATTAAAAAGAGAAACCCCTTCTGAGTGGTACTGACCCCGTGCTCTTCTTAAAAATGAATACTTATATATCTCCCGAGCCAATTTTTCGACTTGCTTCAACTCGGGGGTTGTATCCGGTGCGATAATTTTGAAGTTTGATGGTCGGAATTCGTGCATTCCTTGGAGATCTATCCAGGTCATTTGGTAAGTAGTCCTAGCTCTTTCAATGAGAGTATAAACGAATACTTACAGCCAAAAGCGCCAGAATGAAACTTTGCAAATAATACATCGTCATCTGCGCTTCCTTGATCATTGCTTGATGTTTCCGCACCGATGAGTGCTGCAAAATATACCGCAACAGGGAATTGCCAGCGAGCAGAAATATGCGACATGATTTCTTCAATAGCCTGCAAGCGATCACCCATTTCTGTCGAGGTGATGGAATCCAAAGCGGGACCTGACCAGATATCTCGACGAAGACGATCAACGGGCTTGGCCCATTCCGAGGTTCTGCTCCTTATAGAAGCGAAATGAGGCTGGATGCGACGAAGCCTATCCTGCTCGAAGATCAAATCCGCAGAGATCAATTGACATTTGCTCTCGATTTTCAATGACCCCTGCGAAAGATATTCTCCAAAATAGTATGTACCTCCCTTGCGCAGAGATCGGAAGCTTCTCAGACGTTTGTTATAGTCATAAAAGATATCTATCAAATCCAAATCTCTCATGAATGTTCCTCTAGGAAACATTGATGTATCGATGACGAACAACTTGATCTCTTCAAGAGGTGTGTCGTCGGTATGGTGTCGATAGTAGATGTACTGGATTGCGAAGAGGAGCGAGCTAGTCCACGACACGAAATTGTCTAACAGACTCTCTTTCTTTTTCCACCTGAGATGCATGTTGAGTATCTTGGCTACCTCTGTTCGCTTCTTGGTATTCAAGTTGTAGAAAATGTCCTCCATCGAAGCTGTTCTATCCTTGAGGGCCGCATCCGACCGAACCCATATTTCATTCGTCATTCCGTCCGATTTGGGTGTAGCCACCCGAAAGAGATAGCGAGGAACGTTATTCATGACTTTTTCTGCTACACCATCATCGAGGTGGGGACTGAATACCAACTGCTCTGGTTCTTCGAGTACATCGTGCAAGTTGATCTTTCGCATTGACTCGGTAACATTGGTAATATCGGCCATGATGAAGCTGGTGATATCTCGACACGAATACCAAGCTATAATGTAGAATAGTTCAAATGACTGAGAGTAAATATTGCCTCGAGGCTTGGCTAAAATGTTCTCCGGAAAGTACTCGTATATCTGTCCAAGTTCGAAGAAGGGAGAGAGAGGCTGGATCAAAGCATGTAGTTTCACTCATAGCAGACAGACACGGATATACCTTTATATAGACAATTCGAAAACACTTCTCATCCTCAATTTAGGACTCAGGTGCATAGATGAGGCTCTTGAGTTGTCAACGGTTGGCACTCAAAATCTCATGACAAAGCAGGCTGATTGGCTGAGAGGAGGCTAGCTGTGGCATGGCTTAGCGCCGAGAGTCATGCTTTCGCCAGCCACAATCGGGCAACCTATGAAGAAAATCAATCATGAAGACAAATAATATGGCTCAATGCCCGCATAGCCCGACATTGCTGCCTGGATGATTTCTATAAGAGCATGTTCTCATCCAGCACAGTCAAAAAAGTCTGATTGGTAGGTCGACGATGCCCTTTATGCGAGAGATGTGATGGCCTGGACTTCTTGGGATCAGCATAGGCATAGGAAACATGTTACCAATACGATAGACAGATCCCCTAGGAATCGTGCAGAGCCGCACCTGTAATTCAGCCGACACTACTGTAAGTTGTCCCTTCTAATTTGTTCATAGTCGTCGGCCTTCTTACCCTTGTGTGCGTCAATGAACCCCTATGAAGCTGATCCGACAAAAGGCATCCTACTACAAATCTTTATTCCGCAGAGCCTGCGGTAACTGTTCTTTCATTCTGGCGGCATGAACTGCTCCTTACGCCCTGGGGAACTCCCCGACTTCGCGAGCCTATCTTACACTTCCAAAATCCTGAGCATCGGATGCTTGAGGGCGCTTCCGTAATTGTTAGGAGAGGCTGGGTCAGCATATTCCCTTCTTCCTCTTCTGCCTCTTGAGTCTTTTCCGTGACACATTCTATATGATACTGTGCTATGGAATTAAGTGGGGGGGGAGTTACTGGCTATGAAAAAAGACATCTGCTGGTATCTTCTGGTCTTTTCCATGATGGTGAAAAGTACTGTATTACCGTATTATACAGTATATGCATCCACCATAGTGTATTCGTCTAAAGTCCCGAGGTGGGTCAGTCCTGATTGGGTGGTCTGACTGTCCGGAAAGGCACCAGCATACCGCCCTCATAACAACGATCATGCAATTTGCATTGCAGCTACAGTTCTACGTACTATGTACTATAATCCATGCTCATAGCATTAATATAAATTCATCTACTGCATACAAGCATCTTTCAGACTGCACTATATTACACCGACTTTTCTACACAGTCCCTCTCGGCCTCTCTTGCCTCAGAGGGACTGCGGAGTAGGGACTAGGGAGTTACCGAGGAACCACCAAACGCCAAACGCCAAACGCCAAACACCAGCTCCAAGCCTAACAAACCCCACTAGTCCCAAGTTAGTTAGCGCCTTGGATCGGCGCAGCTGCTAGCACTGAGACATCCCTTATCAACCGTGTCTAAAAAGACACTGTGGCGAACACCACAGTAGCACGCTGACTCTTTCTGGGTCTTGCAGCGGGGACCGGTCGGTGTGTCAATGATGGGCATGATGACTGCACTTGCATGGGTTCAGACTTCGTCATAGATTATCATACAGAGACTTTCAAGACAACGAAGAAAAAGGGGGGGGAGGGGAATAGCAGAAAGTCAATCCTGATAGCCGATATCCCCGGATCGACAAGTCCACCGCCTGGGGTCTAGAGCTTGGGAGCTCCAAAGCTACCCGGACAGTCTTCCTCGAATGTCAACAAAGCAGCGATCGACGTGGGGTGGTGCCAGGATCAGTGAAGTATGGAGTTGACACTGACAAGAGAACAAAGCAGTCTTTTAGAGACAATCCAAGTCAATGATCATTTGACTCCAAAATGCAAGTGCGGTATCACACTCCACAAGTCACGACGCTAGTGATCTGCCCGGCCCACCGCTAGTCCCGTCTCAGTACATTCTGCTTGCCTCCCTAGACCCTGATAGGACCCTGATGGAGCAGAGAAACAAAAAAATGGGAAACTGAAAGGAGACAGCCGAAGCTAGTCGTTTTCCCAAGACTGTTGGATGTGTATGTATATTTAGCATGGTTTTTCCAATCCTCGTGATCGTCCGGACCATTGGACTCCACTCCTTGCGTTTTTATTCTCGACACTTTCTCCTTCTTCCTCCAGCTCCCTCTTTTCCCTTCTTACCTGTCACTCGTTCCGTCTGTCGCTACAAGACCCGCTTGCATTGCATCGCCGCTTAGATCACTTTTGTGTGACTCTGTCCTTGCCTCCACTTCCTCCATTCTTGCCTCCCGTTCTCGAAGCAGGTCCAGGAATTCCAGCCTTTCTCCAGTGAGTCTCTCAGTCATGGGTCCTAGCCCTTGCCCACTGCCCGGTCCCACGATCTCCCCTTCTCTCTCCTCCTCCTCCGCCTCTTCCTCCCTTCATTCCATTCACTGCCCGATCTGTCTATTTTTACGTCCATGCGTGTGTAACCGATCTGCAAACACTTGCCTCCGTTGCTAGGATCTGTCATCTGTCAGGTTGCTGATTCTTTCTAGTCTCTCTTATCAAGCCTCACTCCCGTTCCAAAGCCCCCTCTCCATCACCTTTCCACAGACCAACCATGCTGTCTAATCTGCTGCTGGTCCTGGCCTCGTCAGTGGCTCTGGTGAGCAGCCAGTCTACCATTGACCCGAGCACGGTGGCCATCTCCACGCGTCGTAAGTTTTTCCCAACCCTGTTCCTATCAGCAACCACCAGTCCAACCCCCAATCTCTAACATCCATTACAGAATACTGGTGCAGCGCCCAGAAGTCCGCCTGTCCCCTACTCTGCCTGCAAATTGCCTCTGGCGTCCCAGAGAGCAACAACTGTACCGCCGTAAGTCCCACAACCCCAACATCCAAACACCCAATGGCCCTGTACTAAACTCCCTCTTCCAGGAAACTCTCACCTACAGCTGCGTCTGCAGCAACGGCGTCTCCCCCAATGCCTCAGAGTACTCCCAGACCCTGCCATACTTTATCTGCACCGAAGCCAACAACCAATGTGTGAGCGCCTGCGGCGATTCCGCCTGCCAATCTAATTGCCGCACCGCCAACCCCTGTGGTGCTCAGGATCCGCCCCGCGTGAACGTTACCTCTACCGCCTCCTCGTCCGTGGCTGCCACGAGCACTGCCGCCAGTGAGGCGGTTCAGACTAGTGAAGCTACCGGTGCTGCTCCTCGTAGTCATGCCGTGGAGATGGGCCATGTGTATGGAATGTGTGTGCTCGTCGGCGGTATCGTTGCTGGCTTCGCGGTGTTGCTGTAAGGTGTGAATGCGTGGCGAGCTGGGTCGATGGACGTTGGGAGGAGGAACTTTCTTATGATTCTGAATTTTCTTTTCGATTTAATCCTGGTCATGGTGTTTTTCGGCTGGATTTCTTGGATATTGTTTCCCTTTCATTTTTTCTTTCATTTGCATCTGCATTGAGCGTTTTCGTACAAGTTTAAGCTTGCATTAATGGGATCGGTATACATTGCAATTGACAAACTGACATGCATGATCACAAACTTTCTTGGCTGATGATAACATTTTCTCTGGACTTTACAGAGTCTCCTCCGCCATACAATGTGTATGTATATATTCAACTGCCAATAAGATACAAGCATACCCCGTCCCTCCCTATCAATCCCAACGATCAATTTTAAATCTTAGCAGCCCGGATCTTGGTACTATCCATCCTCTGCCCCTCATCATCCTGCTCCGCAACCTCCAAAACCGGAAACTTGGCCGGCATAATCCGCCGCGGCGTCGACCCCGGAATCACGGAGTACTGCGAGAAATCAGTGACGCCGCATTTCTCGCGGAGAAAGTCCTCATCGGTATCTAGGAGGCCATTGACCTGGGTAGCCGGGGCGCGAAGCATGGCTAGGATTGCGTCGGAGAAGATTTTCTGTAGTATAGGTCAGTGGCGAGTACGGTTCCTGGTGATGAATGTGTGTTTACGTACCGGTTTCCGGAGATCCTTTTTGTAAGATTTGTCGGAGGATTTGTTGTATTCTGTTGCGGCGGATTCGATAGACTGGACCATGTTAGATAAGATCATGCAAATACAAGGAGGGATTCGTCCGGGCTGGAGGTATTTCGAACATACCGCTGCAGGCCAGATACCCGTAATGGCCATTTCGTTCCTCTCCTGACGAACAAAGTCCATCGCCAGGCCCTTGACCAACACGCTCATGCCAACCTTTCCTGAACATCCGAATATTATCAGCAACCATCCATCACTCCATTCAAACCACCCTCCCAAAGAAGAGCAACTTGCAGTCTTCAGGAATCCAATACATACCCATAGCATACCCAGTCTTCCCCCTGAAAAACCTCGAATAAATAGGCGGACAGACAACAATAATCCTCCCTTTCCACTTATCTCCCCTCCCGAAAACCGGCAACGCCGCCTGAACACTGGCGTACAACCCTTCTGGGTTAACAGCTTGCATAAGCTTAAACCTCTTTAATGGTGTCCCTTCAACGGAAGACCACCATATCGCCCCCGAATTGTACACGAGTACGTCTAGTGTACCATATACGCGCAGAGTTTCGTCAAAGGCGTGTTGGATCTGGTCTGGGTCGCGCACGTCGACGGCGACAGTAGAGGCGTGGCCGCCCGCGAGGTGAATTTCGCGAGCGACCGTTGAGATCGTTGAGGCGGAGGAGTTGGGGTCGGGTGGGAAGGGGTTTGTTTTGTCTGCGTCGGAAATGGTTTTTGCTGCTAGCATTACTGGATAGCGCATGGGTGTTAGATAGCTTTAGGAGGAGTTGGGGGGTTGGATATAGGGTTTCAGCGATATGTACCGGCGTAGCCATTGCTGGCGAGGTCGATGGCAATTTGGCGACCTATGCCGCGTGAAGCACCAATAACGAGGGCTACTGGCTTTCCAGACGCCATATTGGTTGTGATTATGTGCGGGTTGGTCTTGCTGTTGATTGTTCGTTATGATTGTAGTCGAATGCGGAGATACTGCGGGGGAGCTATGCTGGGTATATAAGTGTCGCAAGAACAAGAGGTGACTAAGGTAATGTCTGTGGACGGCTGGATGGAGCCGAGATTAGAGTATCAAGAAATTACTCATCGGCAAATTGTCATTTTTAGTCTACCCGCGGATATTGTGGGTGTTTGGCGCAGATGGGAAGCTGTAATCTGCGGATTTGAACCCCGATCTTTTCGTGATTACTCAAGCTCCGAGGCTCGCGGGAGGCCGAGGGTGGGTATTTCTGCCTGAGGCAGGAGTTATACTTTAGAAGGTGCTGTCAAGAAATAGGTAGTCTTGGAGCAGATATTATCGTTTAAACGAGATTTCAAGATATTCTATGCTAGTTCGAAGGCAGGAAGCTGATGTCAAATTAGTATATTATGCTATGCCTCAACGACTACATGTTGCAGCAAGTAATATACCTTGTTCATTTACTTTCTTTCAATCTGGGCAAGCACGATCTCCAGCTTCATCATCATCAGGTTCACAAAAATTGATGATCATACATTAACTATTGTTGTCGTGGTGGTGAGGTCGTGTAAGTTGTTGGTTTCAAGGTCCCCCTGCTTGAAAACCTCACTGCTGAGGCTGAAATAGCGGTGACCGGGGCGGTCGGATACTGCCTATCAGCTCCCCGATTCCACGAGCCATCACAATGATGAATGCCTGGTCGCTGCAACTCTCACAACACGCCTTATTCTCTTAGAACCCGATTCAACCCGGAGTTTTTGACTAATTTCAAGTCTACAGAAGCTCACTCATCTTTCTGATCGCCGACTCTCCATCCGTGTCTGAGCCAGTGCTGCGATTCCCGGCAGTGCAGGCGAGATGGACACACTACCAGATGCCTTCCCCTCTTCTACACAGGCCAAATTTACTGCCCCTTTCCCGCCGGGAGCTTCGGGTGCTTCCACTCAAGGTCTTCTAGGAGTGAGTGAAAACCCGGAGGCTCCTGCTCGAATCAAAGTCCACGGTACGTCGATCCTCCTGCGGGGCAGCCAACTCACCCGCCGATAGTTGTCTCAGGCCTTTGAGGAACTGCTAACTAACGTCTGTGATCTGGCAGATCCTCCCAAATTCGATCTTGAATCTTATATCGCAAACTATGTTGGTAAGGCAACTCTATGGTTCTTCATTCCGCCGATCTAATTCTAACCGCGACTCTCCTAGGTCGGACCCGATTCAATCGTCTTTACCTCATTGGAACTTCCTCCACAGTCCTCGCGTCCGAAGCGCTGAAGCTTGCAGTGGCCGAGGCCAAGTCTGGGAAGGATGTCTCGCAATATGAAAAGGCAGTGCGTGCGCTGTCGGAAGTAGCACCGACCGAGGAGGATGCTTCCCTCGACACGGCGTGGGTGCATAATGTCCAACGGCAGGTTCAAGCTCAATCGGAGCGGTTGGAGCAGGAACTTCGAGGATACAAAAACAACCTGATAAAGGAGAGCATCCGGGTGCGTATCTACCGTTCAATATGTGACCGCCATGTCTAACTCCTTTCATAGATGGGCAACGAGGATATCGGAAACCATTACTACGAGACCGGCGATCTGCTGGCTGCTTCAAAAGCATACAGCCGCATGCGAGACTATTGCACAACACCGAACCACATTGCATCCATGCTCTTCAAGCTCTTAAATGTCTCCGTCGAACGTGGAGATTGGCTTGCTGTCCAGTCCAATGTGCACCGCCTGCGCAACGCCCAGTCCAAGCCCGAGGACCAGCTTAAGAATCAGCCCAAGATGGCCGCTGCTCTGGGTCTCGCACAGATGCACTCCGGTTCATACCTTGATGCTGCCAATACCTTCCTGTCAACCGATGTCAGCCTGGCTGACACCTTCAACGAGATCATCACACCCAACGATGTCGCCGTCTACGGTGGTCTGTGCGCAATGGCATCCATGGACCGCGGGGATCTACAGCGCCGTGTTCTAGAGAACGCCGCGTTCCGCAACTTCCTCGAGCTCGAGCCACATATCCGACGTGCAATCGCATTCTTCTGCAATTCCAAGTTCCGCCCCTGTCTGGACATCTTGGAAGCTTATCGCACCGATTACCTTCTCGATCTTCACCTCCAGCGCCACGTCTCCACACTCTACACCTTGATCCGCACGAAGGCCATCAAACAATATCTAGTTCCTTTCAGCCGCGTCACGTTGAGCTCCATGGCCATAATCTTTGCCCCCCAAGTGATTGGCGGCGAAGCCCAGCCCACCAGCCTCTCATCACCGTTCGTCCAGGAACTCATTCAGTTGGTGAAGAAGGGCGTGCTGGATGCTCGAATTGACCTGGAGAAAGGAGTTCTGGTCTCAAACCAGACCGATTTGAGGACGGAAGTCCAGAACAAGACCTTGGAGAGCCTGCGCTCCTTTAACGAGGAGGCACATTTGCGCATTTTGCGTGCCAGCGTGCTTCATGCCGGGCTGGAAGTGCGGGCTCCCGACATTGAGCGGCGGTCGCGGGGGAATCAAGGGCCCAATCTGAGGGGAATGGGTATGGCGGAGAGGTTTAATCGGGGTGGACTGCGCAGTTAATTTGCGATAGCTGGATACCCATGAAGAGCCTGGGCGAAGGCTCTAGTCTCTATTCGAGACTTAGATGAGGCACGAGATAATACCCGTATGACAAGAGCTCATGCTCAGAGTGGAGCCCTAGCACGGCCCTCTGCTGAAATGACATGGCTAAACGAGAATCATGAAATGCTCTTGTGTTCATTGTAGATCTCGTCAGGCAGTCCCGAAAACAAGGTTCGCCCAGGATGTTTGCTTCTGAGCCGGACCGGGATGTAATTTTCTTTGTTCTCCCCTACCCGTCAAGTCCGGTACCCCCCAAGAACAAGGTCAATGAGACTTTTACATCCTGTCAAACAGAGTGATACCAATGGATCCAAATCAGACGAAAGGCTGTCGGCATGAAAGATGCATGGATGCCTTGGAGCACACGAGCGTGTCCGTCCACTCGGCCATTCCACAATGCAGTCGTCGATATAATTCGGGGCATTTCCCAACCGACTTGTCCTACATTGATTACACCAAAACACCCTCAGCGCAACGACTTCATAATCTGAGGCAAACAAGTCTCCTCGGGTATCGGGTTATCCCTTCCACACTGACAGTTCCGGTGATAGTTTTACCCTCCCTGGTTCAGGCCTCGCGCTGAGTGGTTGCGGTCTTGCTACACGGGTTCTCTTTACGATCGAAAGGGCCGACGCGGGGAAAGTATTGACTTCAAATACTTGAAGTAAAAGTCCAGCCCTCATGCATCCCGCTTTATTCCGTTTCTGCTGTTGTTATCCCACGATTGGCACTGGAAAGCTTCGTTTTGGTGAACCCAAGACTGGCATAGGAACAGACATGGCTCCGGCTACGTCTTCGCATCCGGACGACCCCATTGTCACCAGCACTACTCGTGAAGATGGCGATCATGAATGCAAAGCGATTGAGTCAGCTAATTTTCAATCGTCGTCAAATTTCGAGTCCCGAATTGTGATGAATGGCCCCGAGTGGAAGGAGACCCCAGCGCCTTCATCGCCATTGCTCTTCCAGCCAATTGTCGAGTCTGAAAATGAAGAGCCCATTCAAGCAACCGAGATCGACACCCGATCTTCATGCATTGATGGGATGGGGACGCCTACCCAGCTTCCAGAACCCTTTAATGTGGACCGCACAGTCCAAGTCCAAGCCTCTACGTCACAAAGTCCCAGTCGCAGCGCTCAGACCGTTGCAGATCCGGGGGACGATCCTGCAGGTGATCGTGCAGAGTATATACTAGCAATACCGCCGCAATTAACTCCTATACCTGAAGCGGTTGAAAAAGATATTTCCGGAGAGAGATCCCCACAGTCAAATTCAGATTTTCCCCCACCGCGTTCCGCAGAGGAAGAATTTTTAACTTTGCGGGCGGTGACGTCCACTGCTGCGACAGGCAGTGTAGGGCTATCGCCAAAATCATCTACTTTGACTTCAACCTTTATTTTTGACGATCAGAGTGAATTGGTCATGATGCAGCCAGAGAATTTTCCCAATCCGTCTTCATGGGTTCCACTGGATCCGGATCACGAGGAGATGGTGGACATATCGTCTACGGAAGATTCGGCCAACGACGCAGGAGATTCTGTGTTCGACGAAGATGGTTACCACTCGGATACATCCAGCTACACTGCTTCGCTATTATCGGATGTAAAAGACTATGCCTACGAAAATGGTCGAAGATACCATTCCTACCGCGAGGGAAACTACGTTCTCCCCAACGACGAACAAGAACAAGATCGACAAGATCTACTCCATCATGTCCGCAATCTAGTGTTGAACGGTGCACTGTTCCGCACTCCACTAGAACCTTCCATCCAGCGTGTACTAGATATCGGCACCGGCACGGGAATCTGGGCCATCGATTTCGCAGATAGCTTCCCCAGCGCCGAGGTCATCGGCACGGACCTAAGTCCCATCCAACCATCCTGGGTCCCGCCCAATCTACGCTTCATTGTCGACGACGCGGAGGAGCCGTGGCTGTTGAGTGCCAATCGGCCATTTGATTTCATTCATGCGCGTGATCTTGGTGGCGCTATTGCTGATTGGCCGCGGCTGCTGCGGCAGGCTTACAAGCATCTCAAGCCCGGTGGGTGGATTGAGCTGCAGGAGTTTGAAGTTATGCTCAAATCTGATGACGATACGTTGAAGCTGGCACCGACGTTGTGCGAGTATCTGCGACTTTTACACGAGGCTAGCGAGGCTTTTCAAAGACCTATGAATATCGCCGAGGGTCATCGTGCGAGACTTGCGGAGACTGGGTTTGAAAAGGTTAGAGATGAAGTGTACAAGGTAAGACCCTCGACCCCGGTACAAGGCTCGGGGTTTGTCCGGTCCGATTTGTACTTTTGTTGAACAGTGGGGGCTAACCTGGGCGTTTGGTTTCTGATTCGTTTTCGGTAGGTTCCCTCTAGTTCTTGGGCCGGGGATCCCGTTCAGAAACAGATTGGTCGGTATAATTTGTGTTCGCTTCTAATGGCGGTCGAGTCTTACTCGCTGGCACTGTTCACTCGTGTGCTGGGCTGGCCCAACAATGATACCCAGGTGTTCCTAGCTGGGGTTCGGAAAGATTTGAAGAATCCCCAGGTTCACTCTTATTGTAATTTGCACGTTGTGTACGGCCGGAAGCCGCAATTTGAAGCCGGGATTGGATTCTCGGATTGATCAGTTGGGTCGGCAATCGGACTGGTCGAAGATAACGAAGACCGGGCAGAGATTATGAGACATTCGGTGCGGGAAAGTATAGGGTTTGTTATCACTGCCCAAGACCAGGCCATTGTGGAAGACAAAGGGAAAAGGAAAGAGAAAGAACGGGAAACGTCAAGATGGCGTTTTCCAACGGCGGCTATTCTTCCACGCTACTGCAACCACACGGACGCCCTAAGAACAATTCCCAGTCAACTCGCTTCTACCGGCCATAGTCCTCATGATTAGGCGGAGCTGAGCTGGAATCTTTAAATGTTCCTGTCACCAACCGACTCCTTCTCAATTCAACTGCATCGCTTTTCTCGTGCGACACTCTGATGCTGTCTTGGACTATCCAGATATACTTCTCTCCGAACACCAGCTTGCCCGGGGTCCATCCTGATACTACTCGCTTCACTACAGATCAAGCAACGGACAATCTCAAGAGAGTAGATACCATGAGAGAGGCTACTTACAAGGCTCCGAGTTCTATACTCTCCGCCTTGCAATTCCATCTCAGCATGCCGTCACCAGGCTTGTCTTCTATCCTGTTCTGGAGTCTCACAGCGGGAGTCCTGGTAAGTTACATCTCCGTACACCCTCATCCAGTGACAGCTGCAGGTCCCTACAGCTGTCAGTTGACCTCTGCCCAACCACATCATTTCTCAGCTTTTATTCTCCGAACCTCACATGACCACTCACCTCATCCTATCATCCCCCTCAAGGCAAAAGCTAACCGTTGTGAAACGTTCACCCTCCCCAGATCTTACTCGGCCTCGTCTACAACTTCATCTACCAACTTTACTGGTCACCACTGTCTCGGTTCCCGGGCCCGAGGCTCTGGGCTATTTCCCGTATACCCGGCCAATGGTCCGTATTCCGGGGATACGCCCATCTAGATATCACAGCTCTACATGAACGGTATGGCCCGGTAGTCCGCATCAGTCCTAATGAACTTGCGTTCAATACACCACGCGCATTTCGGGATATCTACGGTGCTCGACCGGGGGGTTGCTTTCCAAAGGATCCGTCGCACTATCTGCCGCCAGCGAATGGTGTCAACCATCTCGTTGGGGAGATAGATAATGTCTCTCATGCGAGACAAAGAAAGTTGTTAGCGCCAGCTTTCTCTGACAGGGCACTGCGGGAGCAAGAACCTCTTATCACGGGGTATATCGATACGATGATTTCCAAGTTGCGAGAGGAGATTCGAATGGGCTCTTCGACTCTTGATATCAAGAATTGGATGAATTATACTACCTTCGATATCACCGGTGACTTGATGTTCGGCGAGTCCTTTGGGTGTTTGAAAAATAGCCAACTACATCCATGGATTGAATTAATCTTCAAGTCAATCAAGGCACTGGCATACGATGGTATGGCGCGACAGTTTCCGCTCTTTCACTCGTTGTTGTTTGCATTGGTGCCGCAACAAGTCAAGCAAAAGGCCGTAGAGCATTTTGATCTCGCCGCTCGTCGTGTGGATCGCCGTTTGGAGACGGACGCCACCAGGCCGGACTTTATGTCTGCGATCTTGCAAAATGGGCTGAGTGAATCAAAAGAGGATTTTCGCGATGGGCCGAGGATGATGACTCGAGCGGAAATTCACTCGAATGCATTCATGTGTGTATTTTGTCAACCCCTACTCTGCAGCAGTCCCAAAGGCAAACTGACGATATACCCTAGTCTGATCATTGCAGGTAGCGAGACCAGCGCAACACTCTTGTCCGGCTGTATTTACTACCTGTGCACAAATCCGCGCGCTATGAGCCTCCTCATCAATGAGATCCGATCTGCGTTCGCCACGGCTGGGGACATTACATTCCGAAGCTCTGCTGCGTTGCCGTACCTGGCTGCTGTCATTGAAGAGTCACTCCGGATGTATCCACCTTTCGCTACTAGTCTCGCGCGCATTGTCCCAGCAGACGGAGCATGTGTCGATAGCCAATTCCTACCGGCAGGGGTACGTATACATATTCTTCATTCTCCATATTCTATCGCAGTTTAGGCCTACTAATCAATTGATCAGACCGTCGTGAGTTGCCACCACTACGCCTCCTATCGCTCAACCTCCAATTTTGCTCTGCCCAATACATTCATCCCGGAGCGATGGCTGGGAAATGACATCCGCTTCGACAGCGATAAAAAGGATGTCCTGCAGCCCTTTAGTCTCGGACCCAGAAATTGTCTTGGGAAGACGTGAGTTCACCACCTGATATTACCAACACAGCCCATTTTGTGACATCTTTTAACCAAAACTCTTTCCTGTTCTTAGTCTGGCTTACTGCGAGATCCGATTTATCCTCTGCAGACTGTTCTACAATTTTGACCTCACTCTGTGTCCCGAGAGCACCAATTGGACGAATCAGAAAGTGTATTTCCTGTGGGATAAACCGGCGCTCATGGTTACGCTGCGGGATCGTTTCAAGGGCTGGGAGAAGGAGTATGCGTAGGTGATTTCTCCCTACTTGTGATCAGATTCGGGGTCGGGTTTGGCATGATTTATGACCTGCACGTTATTTGACCATTTATTTCCTCGATGTTCTGGTCATGCACAAGTGGCAGATTGTCTTGCATCTTGGAATTTCAATGCAGTGCGCATTGGTGGCTTTGCTTTTCAGATAGACAATCAACTACGGCGCAGAGTCAAGTTCCGACGGGTTTATAATTTTCAACTTTGAAGCTTACTGGAACGACTCTACTTTCCTATGGTACCTGTTCCCTCTTTATATAGACTCCATCTGATGGCGGAGCAATTTGGTAATCGGATTTAAAAGTCTACCAACTCCTTCCCTTTGACGAGATATTCACGTCATCACCACCAGCCCTTATTCAGATGTCTATCGAACATTCATCTCTCATCTCCACCTTGGCGAAATTCCATTTTAGGCAATATCTCAGCTCTATATTTTCCATCTCCACAATGCGAGTCGCATGCCTTGTCCACGAATACGTCTGGTCATATCTCCCCCCAACACCGAGTAAATGCCCCGACGTGGTCAAAGTGGGTGTTCAGAAACATAACAAACTCCCTCTTTAAGCCCTGGCCTCTCATTCCTCGCACGCTCGCCCGTCTCTGGAAAGCACCTAGTATAATAGTACAAACGGACCATATGGTGATATATCTCTAAAATATCACTCAACTGCATATTTACCATTACATTAGCGTTATGGATGAACGGAGTAAGGAGGTCAGGTATATAAAGGCTTATAAGGGGGTCCGTTATAGGGTGGAAGGGTTGTTTTGACGGGAGAGAAGGGGGGACGGGGTGGGTAGAGTAGTTATCGGTGGAGGTTAGAGGGGCTCATAGACGTCTTACAGGGGAGGAAGCCGGTCTTTTAGGGTTCTGAGAAGGAGAGTGGGTGGTTAGCTGAGGGGGTGGACGGTGTTTATTGCAAGGGTCGGTTGGAGAGGAGGGAGAATAAGGATAGGGATGGAGAGGGAGAAGGAGAAGGGGATGGTAAGGGTGGATAGTAGATAGTGGACAGGTTTAAATTGGTTCATGTTCACTGGAATATACATGGAGATGACCAGAATAGATGAGAATGTAACCAATCAACATGCAGATAGGAAAGGAAATGTACAGGAACCGGCGCGCTGGATCATGCTGTCATGGGAAAAAAAAAAAGAAAAAGGTATCAAAATCATTAAGTAATAGGTTAGATGTGTACAGGCAGGTGAAATACATGATCGACATCCATTAGAAAAGTAACATTACCACAAACCCCCCGGGGAAAGTAAATTTCCACGGATACCTGGTGTGACCCACGTATCTATGAAACAAAGTCGAAGGAAAGATAGGGCGAGAGTAGTCCAGTCCCGAGTATCGAATCGCTTTTTGCCTTTTCTCCCACCCCTTACGCGAGAGCGTAGACCAGAGCCAGGACGGCACCGCCCAGAGTCCAGCCGTTGCCGGCCAGAGAGCCGGCAGCGTTGGGAGCAGCGGGGTGGGTCGCGGCCGGGGCAGAAGTGCTGGCGCCGGTCTGGCTGGGGGCCAGAGGGGTGCTGCTGGCAAGAGGGGTGGACGAGGCCGGGCGAGAAGAGGACTTGATGGGGCTCGAGATCGGGCTGGCAGTCGAGGTAGGGGTCTGGGTAGCCACGGTAGTGGTGATAGTCGGGGTGGGAGTAGGAGTGGGAGTGCTGGTCGAGCAATCTCCAGTCACGGTAACGGCCATCCAGTTGATGTTCTTGGAGTCCAGGGTGTGCTGGACGGTCACGGTGCCCTGCGCAGCGGAGCAGGAGGCGTAGGTGGTGCCAGCAACAGCGCAAGAGACGGTGGCGGTGCTGCGATGGTGCATTAGTATTGCGGTTCCGAAATGCGCAGGCAGGAGAGAGATTGTAATATAAGCACTCACTTGCCGTCGGCGTAAGCCTGGTACAGCTCAGCGGAGCTGGGGGCAGCGACAGCAGTCATGCCCTTGCCGGGAATACCGCAGTCCGCAGAGGCGACGGTGGTCGGGCAGGTCACCAGGTAGGTGGTGGCATCGCCAGCCTATGCAACAGTTAGATGGATGAAGATGATGTATGCCTGAATGCCTTGCGCAGGAGATCAAGTACGAGTGTACCCATTGCTCCGTACTCAACCGCGATGCGCGCACAACACACGTACCTTGCTGATGATACCAGCCTCGAGGTCGCGACCCTGGAAACCGGGCAGAAGCAGAGTAGCGGTGTTACCCGCAGCGGCAGCAGTTGCGCCAGTGAGGAGAGCGACAGTGTGGAAACGCATGGTGGATTTGAGTGAGACGGATTTGGCCCAAGGAGAGTAATGAGTGTTATTGGCGCGGAAGGAGTGTGTGTACACAGAACTTCAAATTATCGACGACTGGCAAAATAAAGAGCGACTGGATCTTTAAAAGATCTTAACGAGAGACTGAGAAACGAAGGGAAAGACGGGCCAGAAAGCGTCGCGCGCGTGTAAAGACTGGGGTGGAAAGGGAAGAAGGAGAAAGAGAAAGAGGTGAAGCACCCCAATGTCCCTTGCCCGGCCAAAGTCTTCTAGTCCGTTCGTCTCGGGGGCGCGCAAGGACCCGGGGGGGGGGGGGGGGGGGGGAATCATGGCAGGCAAGTGGAGGGGGGGCGATACGCCCATCGACCAACACAAACGAGCCGGCCGCAGGGTCTGATGCTAGCCTGCGCATACGAAAGCGACCTTGGCGAGCGTTACCCGGAAGCTACTGGAACGTTGATAGGTTGGCCATTGCCAAGAGACCCGGGCGCATCGCAAGGCATCGTGGGATTGGAGAGTAATTTGCGTGATGGCGAGCGACTAGCGAAAAGAAAGAACGGTTCAGGCACAGGCCCGGGAAAGTTAGAACGGGTCCAAGAACGGGCCCCAGGGGTTCTTCCCCCCAGTTCCTGAGTTTAGGGCCAGTTTGGGTTGTGTAGGGTCCATTGACCATCTGCGAGTGGAAAAAGGGGCCGCGCTAGTGAACAGCCGCTAGACTGTTGCTGGTCTAGGGTCCGGTGTACATCCAAGGTCGGGCTGATTATTGCCAGTTCCATGCCCGATGGGGAAGGTTGTGATGACGGTCGTCATAAACCGAGGAGGAAAGTCCGGCTGATGTGCGGTTTGCGCGATCCAGATTTTTCTGCTGGACAGAAAACTGGTGTTCTTTCCCTGAGAAACCGTAAATATGGCGAGTCCAGACTCTCAGGGATCTCTCACCTTGAAGAGTTGAAGAGGGGCCCTGGGGAGATTTAATTTACGGGGTGGGGGCAAAGAACAAGCCACTTGAAGTTTGGGGTTTGTGCATGCCTCAGGCAGGACATCAGGTGAGATGTCCTACAGTATCCCTCGGGTGATTTGAGTCGCTCATCCGAGTACGATGCATACCCTTGTAGAACATTCCATCGTTTTACATGAGTAGAGTCGCATTCTATAAGCGCTGGCCCCAAGTAACCTTGACTCAGATCAAGCACTCGCCTCCTAATGTATGCAGCTGTGCTCGACTAAACTAGCGCGGATGCACCTAAAATGTCTCTCTCCCAGTCCCTGCACGAGGCGGACCCCAGAGACTAGCGACTAGCGCGCCCACAATGAAACGCCGCTACGCTCGAGTGCAGTTACAGATGCAAAATACTGTACGGGGTACTCTCCATGAGGATCCCGAGGAGTAAACAGACTCGTCAATGAATCGTGATCATATGTAGTGTTTCTTTTCAACCTAACTTTTTCCTCTAAATGAACCTGAATCTTGCACCTAACCCGAAACTCCCTTTGATCGTGCGACATGATTCAAAATCCCACAAACAATACCCGTCACAAGTAAAATGCCATTAAACGAAGCCATAATGAAGAACGGTGTTCCCGAGGACAACACGTCGAAGAGCAATCCACCTATTTTGGTGAGAATCAGGATTCCCGCTCCGCCGTACAACGAGTACACCCCGGCAATGGAGCCCTTCAAGTGTGACAGGTGCTGCAGTCGGTGGTTGACAGAGTGGGCCAGAAGGGGCTGGTTCTCGCCTTCTCCACCGTTGGTCCGCTCGTGATCGACCCTCTGCTCGGCGCAGATTTTACGTAGCGCGTCGTCGTCAGCGCCTACTTGCAGAATCCCGTTGCTGAGAACGGCGAGACTACAGACGATGGCGCCGATTTGGCTGATACCCAAGAGGGCCATCACGATGAAGACGCCTGCGTTACCATCGGGGCCTTTGAATTGTGGGTTGGGTAATAGTCCGAATGCAAGATATCCCACCACGCCGACCAAGGCAGCAACAAGCAGAGGCACGTTGTACCGCCGAGACTTGTCGGTCAGATACCCGAATGCCGGCGCAGCAATGAGAGCAATCAATTGAGATACTCCTGTGAGAATGGAGGCCAGGATATACGCGCGCGGACACGCCTTTCTTATTTCTCCAAGCCCAGAATTAGGCATTGGCTCGTGAGCTTCGTCGCAAAGACCCGACACGCGGTAATAGTGGTTCACGGCCAGAGGTATGAATAATGAGATTCCCACCGAGGACGCGCGGGCAACGAATCCTCCCACGTAGCCCAGGCCGATACTGCGATTCCGAAACCCTAACAGGAGCGCTGTGGTCAGTTGTTTCCAGTATGGGAGTCTTTCTGGCCCGTCGAAAGCCTCATCGTCTTCATCGACGTCACCCGCATGTTGAGAATTCCATAATGCCCGCAATCCTTTCCCTTCCTCATCAGGCAGATTGCGAAGACCGATGAAGCTGATCAGGCTGATAATAATCGCCACGGCAGCAACCAGATAATAGCTTCGTCGGATGGCTTCCGCAGGAGAAAGTCCCAGTTTCTCAAATCGAGCTGGGAGAGGCAAGAAAACACCGAGGGATACGAGAGCACCACAGCCGGCAAACAATCCAACAAACCCCGACAGTCTCGCTGACGGCGACGCACGGGAGGTACCACTATCGGCATGGTAACCATTTTGCCGGCCATTCAACCGTGCAGGGGTAATAGTCAACTCCGATGAGACCGACGCCCGGTTAGTCTGCTCTCGCAACGCCCTGCCCGTCACGGTAGGCAGAACGGCGGTAACCATCGTTGACACCGCCGAGCCACCAACACTGAAGAGCAACCTCCCCAGCAATAGTTGCGGGTATACATTCGTGGCCTGCACGAAAAGAACCAACGCAACGGCAATGACCGCATACCCGATAGCGCACACCTACTATCTTATCAGCAAGCCGCGGCACCAAACCAGGAACGTGAATACAGGGATAGTTTAGAGCCCCAGGGAAAGAGCTCAACTTACATAGCGCACACCGATGCGATCAGAAAGAACCCCCCAGAGCGGACAAGCAGCGAGGGCGAGTAGCTCATCTGCAAAGCCTAGCGTTCCAACTGCGTCGCCTTCACCATCGTGCAGCCCGATCAGATCCGTGACCACGAATGAGACGGAGGAATTGATAAATACGAGGAATGCGATGGAGAAGGGGCAGACCGCTAATAGATATGTCAGTGTTTGGCCTCGAGAGGCCGTGAACAATGCGGGTGATGAAGCCATCGCCATCGATGGGGCATTGCTCTAGTACTTCGGATGGGGGCAATTGAGGGAAACAAGTTGGGGGATTACACCAGCGATCGACGATTTGTCCCAGCTGGTTACGTCGCCGATGGCGGGGCGGCACGTGATGCGATCAGATAAACATCGATTGGGCTTGGCGGGTTCCATTCGTCCCGTGGATCTGTCACGCCTGAAGAAGATGAGAACAACTTAAATGAATACGAACAGTTCCTTGGCTTTCATGATCACTTGGGGGTCTAACTTGTCATTTCATATCCATTTCATTGGAACTTTGTTATATCTAGTGCTAGTGGCACGGCTTGTACTCAAGTAATAACCAAAATATATTTCTTACTCGGGCCACGCGGATACAACCTTACACATTCTCCATATGATCCAACCCTCTCGAAAACGCATCCATCCGACCCTGGATCTGCCTAGACGGAGGATTCCTTTGCCAATAGAACCACAAAGCAGCCGAGAAAACCGTAGTGGGAACTGCAAATGCCCAATAAATCCAGAATTTGCCCGAAACTTTCCACCCAAGATCCTGGTCATAATTGAAGAACGACATACTAAACATAGCACAGATAAATGTCGGCGGCAAGAAAGTAAATGTGACAAAAGCGAGCGTCTTTAGTGCAGCACTATCATCCATCATGACTAAAGCATCATGTCGTGCAACGTTTTGGAACGTCAGCTGAATCTCATTTTGTAATCGCTTCTCATTCGAGATAGATCTGTGCCGCAAACTTCCAAGAAAGCTTTGAGGAAAAGATAAGCGAGACTGAATCGCTTGCCAGGCTTGGGAGGTCTGGAGTGAGGGGGAAAGAACCGAGTCGCCCGGATACATGTAGGTGCGGTGGTTTTCCAGGATGCGCTCGATGGTTTGAAGAGCTACGTCTAGTGTTTCGGTGACGTGGATAGAGTGACGAGCAATGTCGTGCAACTTGCGGTAATTAGGTGGCTGCCCTTTATTTCGGTGAGCCGGTATGTCGCGAGGTCCTTTTTCGATTGGTCTAATTTGATCCCGAATTGCCCAGACGGCGTTTTCTTCGAGGTCGGAGATCGAGTTGAGGATATAGGGGTATATCCAGAATGGGTCGCCGAGGAGATGTTCTTCAAGAGTTAGATTTTCGAACGGGTGAGGAGTGTGATCCTCGGTATCGAAGATCAGAATGGCTGTTTGTTTCGTTTCAGATATCCATCGGGTGAATATGTTGAACTTGGACCAGACATAGACCCGCTCATTAGTCATTTTCTTGGACTGGAAAAATGCCCAACTATCTATAGAGCTTTTGTTAGGATTGCCACTGTTCGTGGGTAAACAGACACTTACTCAGACCGGTGATTTCTTCTCCATCCCGAGTCACCTCACAGCCAAAGTATCCATTGGACTTGCGAAGGTGATCAGTCCACCAGAGTGATGGCATCAGAAAAGCCTTGATCAATGCTTGCTTGCATTCATGGCAGTTCCGGATCTCATTAGCCTTGGCTAATCTGTTGGATTTTAGCATCTTCCACGACAACCATTGACTCGAGCGCATCGACCAACGCACATTGTATAGAGCTGGGTCTCTGCAGATATGTAACCTGGGGCCTGATTTTGGCTGCTGGCAATTAATTCTGACGGATGAATTTCGCGCTCTTGCCATGGTGCTCCTAAGTTGAAGTCAGATCGGGTTGATGCTCATTGGGGACTGCATTGTTTACCTTGCTTCCATTGCCTTATAATTAAGCTATGGCCGCATTTGTGCTTATTACTAGGGTGGTTCATGATGGCACAAAAATCTTGGGTAGTATAGCAACTACCGAAGGAGCTCTGGCTTGAGAGCATTTATAGCTGAGGTGCGGGGTGAGGCTGAATCAAAAGGCCAGTGCACGGTTGGCCATAGTCGAGGGAGGTATTAGCTAGCCCAAGCCTCAGAAAAGCAAATACCATGAACACGGGCGCATCTATTGATACCCTCTGATCGAAGATGGATCAAGGATTTTTGCTAATATCAATTTCAAGAACGACGAATCTGCCTCGTCAGGTAACCGCCTGCCCGTGGGATTTGGTGAGAGAGGCCATACTTACCGGGGTTTAGCGCCCAGTGTGACGTGTCACTCAATTTGCTTACCGCTGCGATCGAGACTCAGCCCCACGCAGTGAGCCTTGTTAACCACGGGAGATCTTGGGTAAAGTTGTCTCGGTCTTTAATCATGATGTCAGTATCAGATAATCCGCTATGATTAGATCCAGTTCTGAGGCTGCGAGGTGCGAAAGAGATTATTCAAGGTGTCGCCGATACTCTCTATAGCACAGAGCAGATGACGGTAAAATTGAACTTATTGCAGAATAGTCGGATGAACATATGCAAGGCCTAATAGATAACATGGATTATTCCTAGTTATATAGAGTCGGAAGTCATCTCGGTGCAATGCAAGTGAATTTGCCACTAATATACTACTCATGGCTCATTTTGGCGACTTGCCATAGACATGCACTCTTTTGAGTATCCACATCTTAGGGATTCCCTGATAGACAGTCACTATTTTTTTTAATCTCGCGTCCAAGAAAAAACCCCAGAACAACTCTGATCTCCTTGAGAATGAGTGTTTATTTCTGACTAGCGTTTTCGAGATTTATGATTGTCTTGAGAGAGCAATACATTGGACATGTCGGCGCAACCAAGGTGGAAGACCTTTTGCTATGCATAGGCAGGACAGTCTGTCCTTGAAATTTGTCACAAATTGGCCTTCGATCCTTGACAAAATACTAACCACGTTTATGAAATATGTCGAAAATGGAATTCTCGCGCGTTCACCATTATCTTGGATACCTACGGTTGAGTCAATCCATGCTGCTTAGAAAGAATGAAAGCTCTATAGGCACGTTGCCTTGCCGTGGATCTGATGCTTTCTGCGATATCTCAAGCTTCCAGAGGAAAATTCACGCCAGCCTGGTCCTACAGATGGCTGCACGCCAATCTCCCCCATCGTGTTCCCATCCATCACCAGCTTCTTCGTGATTTATTCCTTACCCACCACTCTATTTTTCTGCTATCTCCTGAAAGGCTTTCACAACTGCCAGTCCCTCCCCTCCAGCCACGCGGCCACATCACTTTATCTCTCAAGCCCTTCAAGACCTTTATTGTCACCTCTTAACGCACCTTCAAATAGAAGATGGCGGATGCCTCGCTTACCGCGGCTGAGCCTTCGGAGCCCGCCCTGGATGCCATGACATGGACAGAGGTTACCAAGCGCACTGAACAGATTCTCGCACGCTTCGAGAACGATGAAACCACCTTCCAGCGCTGGGAGGTCAAAGTGGTATGGGAGTATTGGCGTGGCTTTGAAATGATGGGTCTTGACCCCGGAGTTACGGTTTCCAAATTCATGCGCGATGTCGTGATCCCTTTCGCATCTTCCCGAGTTCACTCCCGGCTTCAGGGCCACACACGGTACGAAAAGGCTATCGGCGCGGATAATTCCAAGAACTACAAGATTCAGAATCCCGTCGAAGAAGGACCGGCTGTTGTGTACCGCAAGGGCAGCTCACCCGAGACAGCAACCATCAAAAAAGCAGAGGAGGTTCAAGATGCCCCAAACCCCTCTCCCAGTTCAGGCCCGGCAGAAAGACAACCTTGCCTTCAGCCTATCCAGTGGGATCTTCGAGCTCATATGAGAGCGAATACTAATACGACTACTCGAGCCCCTTCTCACCAAGGTCACTCCGAGCATATTGAAGACGCGACGCAGGCTTCATCCTCGGACTCACCCTCTACCATCATCGGCAGAAACCCACGTCTCGCGTCCTATTCACCTCCGCCTTTCCACAGAGTCCCCATCACCGAGTCTGCCCAGGAAATTCTCAAATCACCAATCTCCAATTCGAAGCTCATCACCCAGGGCCCTCTCACTGGGAATGGATCACCTGCTGCTGTGACCAGTCGAGTCGAAGGACATCCGGAACTTATCAAGATCGTCTGCAATGGTAAGGAGGAAATCGTGAATACCGAGGATTTGGTTGCAAACAATTATCTCCTTCGATCTACCGTGGAGTATCTCAACACGACGGCCACCTCGATGCAAGAGATCATTGAGGCTCAGAAGGGCAGAATCGATGCTCTGAGCGGGTACATTGCATCGCAGCATGCAAAGATTACAAGGCTGACTAACAAGCTCACACTGTCAGCGAATACTGACAATTGAACATGACTGCACGAATTATGGTGCTCAAGCATTTTGCGATGAGCAGAAGGAGGAAATATGGAGGGGGCAGTGGAGTCGATGCTGTCATAATGGACGGCCAACCGGCTGGGAAGGGTATCGCTACTCACTGCTTCAGAATAATTCTTATTGATTTATCCTCACCGAAAGGACTTATCTTGAACCAAAAAAAATCATTAGAATCAAAAATGAATGCGAAGCAATCTACACTGTTCAAACAAAGTACCGTAGGACTAACTGTAATTACCCGTTCGGGTAAAGATCCGTTCCTGAACCCCTTCGCCCCACTGGATTCTTCGCCGCGCGTTCCGAAGGCTCCCATTTAAACGATTCACGCTCGCCAGACACCTAGCACGAACCGTCCTGACCCTGCGACTCGGATCTAAAATTACGAACGACCATCATCCGCGATGGAAACCGTCCCCGTGGTCCCCTTCTGGGGCCCTGCAACGTCTTATCTAAAGTTTGTTATGATCTTCCAAGCCGCTCCCGACAAACAAGCCACTGACGTGTCAAATCTAGCTTTTGCGAAGAGGTGAATAACTCTCCTCGGAGTAGTTTTCACGGCGGTCATTGAGCAGTTAAATGCTCACTTCTTTCCTCGCAGGACTATGTTATTACTCGGTTTGTGGCCGAATTCATCAATACGTTCAGCAGTTTAATCTTCAGTGAGTCAGTCAGCTTGGATTGGTGTCCACATGAATCGCACAGCCCGCAAGTTTTTAACGTTCACCTCCAGTCATCTTCGGAATCTATGGCTTGCTGCAGCTTCACCGGAAACAGCAAACGGGGTTCCGCTCGATTTCGTATTTGGGTTTGATTGGTGTCGGCGTCTGTTCGGCTGGCTACCACATGACCCTCAAATACCATACTCAAATGTGTACGCTTGATGAATTCAACATGCTAGTGCCCAGAGCCGGGTGGCTGACAACCCGAAATTCTAGCGGACGAGTTGTCGATGCATCTTTTGACAACGCCTCTTCTGTACCGAATCCTGACCTTCAAGGCTAGCCCAGAACGAACTAGGCTCGTCGGGATCGTTCTCTCCGTGCTATTCACCATCGTCATGGTCGTTCATATGGCCATGGACGAGTTCCTGCTTCACGCGTCTAGCTTTGGTCTTGCGGTTTATATGATCGCGACGCGAACGTCCAAGATCATCTCACAGCAAGTTCCGGACCCTTACTTCAGGAAAAAGCTTCGAAATATCTCATTCGTCGGTATCTGTATGGTATGCTCTGCCCCATTATCCGATCCAGACACTAACTTTAGCTAGTCTGCTTTGCCTTGGGCTACACCGTGTGGCTTATCGATGACTGGGCTTGTGGGTACCTTATCAAAACTCGACATGCGGTCGGTTTGCCTTTGGCATTCTTAACCGAACTTCATGGATGGTATGTCCCATATACTCTGTCTGTGAGATCTGGGTGTTAATTAAGATATAGGTGGCATTTACTCACTGCTATCGGTGGCTACGTTGCTGTTGTACTTGTGGATTTAGTGACTACGGGCGAGGTTCACGAAGATCCTACCGCGCAACTTGCATGGCCTATCCCGCCGGCGGCAAGATTTATAGAGTCGATGACAAGCTCTACCAAGCTGAAATAGTAACGAAGCTATGAACATGACTAAGAGGGAATGTTAAGAGCGCATGCACAGAGCTCCGAGCTACTGTGGTTCGCTTATCTGCGGTCCCTGCTGTTGAGCTAAAGATAGACAATGCTTGTATATGCATACTAGTTAGAATTGAAAATCAATCTGCTGGCCTATTTTTCGGGCTCCTGGATGGGCTATGAGTCTACTCTTTTATAGAAGAGTGAACACCAGCGAATCAAGCAATCTGAGAAGCCAGCAGCGGGAACCATGGTCGATCCTCTATACAATATGATAGACGTGATCTCTATGGAGAATACAAGGGCCTGGGCCCTATTTGGAATCATCTATCTAGGAAATTCTAATGACACTCGAGATTCTGCGATATGAAAATATCAGTTGGCAAGAATCAAGGCAGAATATACCATCTTGTTGGCAGCCGTAAGACTAGATCCGAAGTCATTCTTAAGGTCGGGGCGCATTGAATATTAGTCACGTACTATATGTGGCTTAAGTACAGCTGAGCGGACGGAAGTCCTAACTCTAAGTTCATATGCATTTAATTTCTTGCGGCTATGTCTTAGATTGTAAGGATGAGATGAGCATCGAAAAACATCTGTTCGCTATAGGTTGACACATCACTCTCCTGGGTAAACTGTCTCACCCTGTCGTCGAATCTCGTCCATCATTTCCATGATATGAATTGTCTCGGCCCCCGGCATGATACTGCTCTCCTTCCGGCCTGCAAGAATATCCAAGGCTGTGTTCTGAGCCTCATACACAAAGCCACGTCCAATGGGGGCATATTCGTGCCGTTGGCCTTGCCATTTCTCTCTCTTGTGAAGACATCTATCTGCGGCCCAGTCTTTCTGCTTGGGATACACAGTGAAGGACTCCGGGATTGAGGGCGCTCGTCCTTCAACTTCCACAAATCCTTCAGTGCCGTGTATGACCGCAAACACCTCGCCAGGGGGGCCAGAAGCTTTGTTGGTAGTTGTCACAATTCCCTGTCGGTTTGTCGAGGGGTATTGCAAAATAGCATTAGTCGTCACTTCAATGCCATCCTCGTGACTTTGGGCAGCCAAGATGTTGGGCTTCTCCCCTTGACCAGCCGGGCGATCGTTCAGCCCAAGCATCATCCAGGTCAAAGAATAGACGCCAATGTCGAGCAGTGATCCTGCACCGAGGCTGAGATCTCGATACCGAGATGTAGCAGGTAGAGTCGCAAGGCCAATGTCCGATGCAAAATCACAGTTTGCACGGAACACATCTCCAATGACCTTTTCCTCGTGCAGGAGTCGCTTCAGCTCAATGTATAGAGGTCGATGACGCAGCCACATTGCTTCTGCAACATAGACGTTCTTTTCCCGCGCGGCTTCGAAGATCTCTTTTGCTTGTTTTGCGTTGAGGGTGAAAGCTTTTTCGCACAATACATTCTTGCCCGCGGCGATGGCTTCCATGCAGTCGCGATAGTGGTACCCGTGTGGAGTGCCAATGTAGACAATATCCACTTCATCATCGAGGTAAAGCTTTACGTAGCTATCATAGATTCTGGGGTTTTGTTTGGGGCAGTACTTTGCGGCAAAATTCTGGCCTTTCTGGAGGCTCGAGGATCCGATGGCTTGGATTATGTGTTTCACTTTCACCCCTTCCCATTCTAGGACGAGGTCCTCGACGAACCATGAGGAGATCATGCCAGTAGCTTGAGACTTCATTAGCTATCTTCCGATAGGAAGTTGTTTTTAAACAGATTGATCTTCTCGAACTGCTCACCAATGATGCCCCAGCGGATCGTCGGTAATTCAGTTACCGTCATATCGGAAATTAGATCAAATTCAGACAACTTGATTCAATGATTCGTAAGTAAATGTGATATACTGCGTGAACTCTGTCGTTTCTTCCCGCCAAAGCAGCTGACAGAAAGTATAATTTATACACTTTCCCAGCGTTGGAACTCTTCAGTTGCTGGGGATCTTTTCCCTATTACCGATATCCCCGCATTTCGGGTTTCGAAATCCGCAGAACCTATAGCAGCCGTTCAACAATTCGACAGTTCCCCACCTCGATGACAAGCTCTGGTCAATTCTCCTTATTGGCTCATGCGGACGACATTTTCCTCGTAAGCGCGGATTTCAATGCTCAGATAGGTAAGGGACAGGGACGTACTCACGTATTCTGCGCTGTGCGCGAGACTTGACGCAACCCCCGAGGCTATTTTCTCATATTCATCCGTATCGTTTGATTAAAGCTGTGCGAAAGCCTTATTCGACCAATAAATAACCATCATGGTAGGATTCATTGCCAATCATTCTCAGTGCCCACGATTCGGTTCGTCAAGAGACTTCCGGTGCGCTCGGAGAAGTATATCATATGAGGAACCGGCATACCTTGGCAGGTCAAAAACCAAGTCGACACCACAACAGCCTAAGATGCTGCAGACTTACTACACGTTAGCTTAGCTATGGTATTATCCCCAGTGAGCTCCGCGTAGTAGCTATATCTCAAAATTTTAAGAATGTTACTTACACTTTGTGATCATGAGAACCTCTTGATAGTCGTTCGGCAAGATCTATAGCCAGAGGCACGTGCGGGTGGCTAGTTGGGGCTGACGTAATATGCGGAGGCGGGCGTGCGTTAGTTGTTCTGGAAAGTTGTCCAGTTGAGGTATACTCCACGTCTCCCGAAAGCACCGTGAGAGGTTAACCTGCCCCTTCCTCCTCTCATGATCATCGACTCGCAGCTCTCAGTTCAAAAGCCATGAGACTGGCCGCGTATGCTGGGGTAAGTGTTCCTGCCGAACGCGATTCTTTACCCTTTCGACCACCGCTGACTCCTGTTAGGCCTCCGTGGCCTTGGCCACCGGTGTGTTCTTGAAAGCGCTACACCAGAGAGCGAACTTCTACTCCGCTTGCGTGTATCTATCGCAGAGCAGTGCGAATCTTATGGTATGGTCAATTATTCCTTTGTCGCCCATGCTCTTGTCTCTGGCATATATACCCCCGCGCAAATCATACTGATTCGTTCCGCCTTGCCTTGCGATTATCCAGATCCTAACGAACTTATGCCTCCTTGCGACCGGTTTCATCCTCTTCTGGCTACAGCGACTCCTATACGGGCCCCTTCGACCTATCGAAACTGAACAACTCTACGAGCGGGCATGGTTTGCCGTGACGGAAACATGTCTCGCCATGACCATCTTCCGAGGCGAGCTCGGAGGTTGGTTTCTGGTCATGTTCGTTTTACTGCTGGTCGGGAAAGTCTGGGGATGGATTGGTGAAGGACGAGTGGAATATCTGGAACAACAACCCCCGGCAAATCCAAGACTCTTCCATATCCGCCTAGCAGCTTCGCTGGTGTTGTCGGTCCTCTTCAATGCGTCGATGCTACGATACTGTGTCAACGTCGTCATTGAGGAAGCGCGAGCGGATATGATGATCATGTTTGGATTCGAGTTCGCAATCTTGACCATCCTGTCAACTTCGACTACCGTTCGATACAGTATCGCCCTGACGGAGATCTATATCACCCATCAGCAGGTCAAGGCGAAGATGGAGGAACGCCGAGCCGAGATTCGAGCGGCTCGTGTCGAAGCCATCCGGGAACACGCACGCGCTGGTGCAAGCTCTCCTCCTACCGACCTCCCCGATGAGAATGACATCAACGAGTTGGAGATCGACGTTCCTGGGTGGGAGGAGAAGGGTCGCTGGGTCTTCTACCTTGACCTGCTCACAGACTTCCTGAAACTTGTTGTTTACTTGGTCTTCTTTGCCATTCTCCTCCGCTTCTTTGGTCTGCCGATTCACATCCTACGCGATGTAGTCGTGACGATGCGATCTTTCGGCCGTCGTATTATGGACTTCCTGCGGTATCGGAACGCGACGAGAGACATGAATGACCGATATCCTGACGCCACTGCCGAGGAGGTTGCACGTGAAGATGTCTGTATCATCTGTCGAGAGGAAATGACTTCCACTCAGCCCGCTGTGGCGGCTGAAGGAGAGGCTGCTCCACAGCCAGCCGCAGCCGCACCACGCGTGCCTGATCGTTTGCGTCCGAAGAAGCTCCCTTGTGGACACATCCTTCATTTCGCATGCCTTCGTAGCTGGCTCGAAAGACAACAGAACTGTCCCACTTGTCGACGCCCAGTGGTTGCGCCTCAGCGCCTCCAAGGAGCCGCTGCCGATGCAAATAATCTACCTGGAAATGTCGGAGGTGTCGCCCAACCGAACGGCGCTGGCGGAAACCAAATGCCTGGCCAGCCAGGCGCTCCAGGAGAACTACCTCGAGCTCGAGTATTTCAATTTGGTCCATTCCGTATTGGCTTTGGCGCTGTTCGTGGCGACCTTATCCACAACCTTCATCAGCAGATTCATCAAGGCAATGCTCCAATGCAACCTCCCGCAAATGCCATTCCACCCGGCGCGCGACAAATTGGCTTTGGTCTTGGTTTCGGTCGCCGTCCACCCGCTCCAGCTCCCGTCCAACACGCGCCGAACACAATAGGCTCCAGCTCCGCAGATATCAACGCCCAATTACAGCAAATTGAGCAGCAAATCGCACACGAAATCAGCTCTCTGCGCGCTGCAGCAGAGCAGTTACGCCGTGTGACCCAACTTCAGATGGAGCTGGATCGCCTTCGTTTGCAGGCCAACCCGCAAGCTCCGGCACCCACGTCTCCGACGCTGACGACAACTCTGCCAACCGGCACATCAACCATCACATCGCGTCGCCAATTTGCCTCTGCTCCGGGGGCTACACCCTTAGCTGCTGGAGACTCTCGTCTTCCAGAAGGGCTTACTCTTCCACCAGGTTGGACTCTTCTTCCCCTTCATTCCACGGAGTTAGGTAGTGGAAACGTAGGGCAGACCGTCAACCCAACGCCTACCACATCTACCCCGTCACAGTCCACCTCTTTAGACGGCCCACTCCCGAGTCAAGGTACCGTAGCGCCGGCTTCAGAGGCCGCCGTCGAGAACAGTCATAATGAGGGCGCCGAGACCAATGCTCCAACTGCCGCACCGGTGGACACATCTAACGTTATCCCCAACTGGCCCGCGTCTAGCACGCCCTCATCAGTTGAGCACCGGGCAGACTCGCCATCCCAAGAGTGGACAGACGTGCAATCCGAGCATGTTCCAGAGGCTGGTCCCTCCGTGGTTCCTCCTGCCTGGGGCAGCACCGACCAAACCAGCAAAGTAGATGCTGATATCGACCCTGCCCCCGCCGAATCCCCATCCAAGGGCAAGAACCGGGCAGCCACTGTGGAGGAGGCAGCTGATGAAGAGTCGCCTTGATAGACCCGGATACCCCCTCTCATGTACTTATCTCTTCTCTTGCGCTCAGCCCAGAATGGCTGTCCGCGTATTCTCAACCCCTTTACTTTGGACAAGCGTTGCATGGCGTTTCTGAGCAAAAATTTCATACCCGGATTTTTTTTCAATCCTTCCAACTCCGGTATGTTCTCGTGCCTACCGAGGCACTGTTTTTAGGGTTTTTTCTTTAGAGCAATTATTCGCATGCTCGCCATCGAATGATGTATAAATTATATGTTCAATGGTATAATCAATGAATTCGGGATTTTATGCCCATAAGCGGGAATACTCTGTTTCCAACTTCCCCAACAAAAAGACACGGCGCTTAACAGCCAATGTAAGAACTCCAGGGATCCAATCTATCTTGATTGATGATAATGACAAGCGATGTGTTGTAATGTATGGTACATTCCTCGGAAAGGAGATTCTATGCACAGCCTCGAAAATTCCAGACCCCCAACGCCCAGGTAAGAATACATGCAATTAGGTCACGACGGCGCCTCGTCTAGCAAAGACTTGATACGGCAGACCGATTCGTGGTGATATAGTACAGTGTGCGAATTGCACTTATTGTTGTGTTGTGAGAGTTTTGTTTATGACGATGTGCCGACGAATCGCAGGACGAATTCGTAGACGCCCAGGGTGATGATGGCCGAGGGAATCGAGCGGACCATGTGCGGCATCAGGCCTCCGTAGAGGCCAGCCATGCCTTCTTCCTTGGCGATGAGTCGGAAGCACTGCAGCAAGCCGGTGTATTTGGGAACGCCGTTTTCCATGGGTGCTTGGCGAAGTCGTGTTCGGATGACCTATTCAATACTCAGTTAGTACGATTCCCTAGAGAGTCTTCGCGTAGGGTCACTCCATACCTCGTGGGGATAAGCAATAAGAGCAGCAGCAAACTTGGCGGATCCCGCCGCACCGGTTGTGCTGAGCCAGCTCGTGATTTCCTTTTGCGTGGCGGTATCCTTGCCATCCGGCGAGCCGAGCGAGGTATGCAAAGTAGTTTTTATCCGTTCGTAAAGAACCAAGTGAAGCGCAGTCTCTAAAGAGCCCAGATAGCTCGCGCTAAGTCCCTTGTACAAGCCCCTGATGCCTTCCTGACGAAGCACCTGGCGAACACAGTCCAGACTGTTCTTGTACCGGCGGGTTCCGGTCGTGGCTTGAGCCTTATCCAATTGCAAGCGTGTCTTGACCAGCCAAATCGGATTCGTGGCCGTGGCTGTTGCAATACCCGCGGAAATGGCGGCCTGCGCATGTACGAGGATTGAGTCTTCGCCCGTTCCTAGCAGTTGGGCACCGATCCGCTTGCAGTTTCCGTAGACATAGAATTTGATGGCGGTCGCCGGGACCACACCAGCAAGGCTAGGACCGAGACCGCGAAAGAAGGCTCGCCATCCTTCTGCTTGGTAGATATTGCTGATGATTCGGGCGGTCTTGTGGCTCGTGTGTTTGGGGATAGGGCCAGTGGCAGCGGAGGTTGCGGAAGAGGAAGGAGGACGTTGATAGAAATCGGATTGGAGGCGTGTCCTCAGGACATCGAGGGGAGATGTGGCGATAGCAGTTGCGAAACCTCCGCTCCTATACAATTATCCAGATTGTTAGTGTAGATCCTCCGATGGCCGATGGCGATTGTTCGGGGACAATCACGAAAAAAAAAAAAATACTTACGCGCCGGCTAAGAGATGAACCCACGGATCGTGGGACTTCTTGGTGGTGGCATAAGAGGTCTTGAGAGGAGGAGAGTCCTCAGCGGAGCGACCGTGAATCTTGGGGCTCTGCATCATCACAGCGCATTTCTGGAGAAGGAAGAAGATAAAAGATGCGGACTTGGGGAAATTTCCCGTCTGGGGAGACTGGGCGCCGCAAGTTTTCGCGTTGTCACGTGAGATAACAAATGCTGGGTCTCCGATAGGCGCCACTCTTGCCACTCGCCCTCCAGACGTGTCGAGACCATGAGCGACTGGTCATTTTCGATGTTTTTGAGCTGTTGCAAGATTTGTTGGTAAAAGGATACATGGTTATAATAAGTTGACCTCTCGAATTCTTGAAAAATGTACTATGAAATATGTCGGGTATGCCTGCGACTATACTCCATACAATACCCCTTATAATTGACACTCTGGTTGGTCACTTCATTTCTTCGTCTTCGAGTGGATTTGTTCCCCGAAATATATAATAAGCCGGTTTTGAGGCAGGAGGTTCAATGTATTTGGGATTTGGAGATTATTGATGTAATAATGGACTAGGTCCTCGCCTGATCATGATTACGTTTAAGCTTGTTTACTCTTCCGATACCCTAAGATAATACTTGTCAACGATCAGGTTGCTACAAGGCCGTTGGATGGCAACACCTAGCAAGTGCTAGAAGACTTGTAGAATGTATGATGTCTATACCTACCTGGAGGGCGATATTGGTTGAATTGCATCTCGGTACCGGGCCATTATATATCTTGAACATGCAGATCCCAACCCTCAGTGTATACGGGCCAAGCGATGTCCACTCATTCCATAGAATCTCCCTCTTTCTATATTATCCAAGCATCTCGCTCTGGTAGTGGTGTTACAGATCAAGGTAGACATTATAAGCCCGTTCATTGAATATTATGTGCTCCTCAATCGAATAGCCAAGCTCTGCCCCCAACGTGGCAGATTCCAATCGAGTGGATATTCAGGGGCGATCTCCGCTCATCGCCGGGAGTCCTCCGCAGGACGAACTTTCATTTGTGATTTCGGGGGATCTGCAGTGGCCAGTCAGTTTCACCATTTACGAAGTGCAGAACGGGCCTCCGTCTGTATTCCGCATATATGAAGATACAGTACATTTCACGCTGACCCATTCCTCATTCTCCATGAGCCTCTAACATTCTACTTCCTTATCCCTAGTCACTCAATTCTTGCAGACTTCTCCTGTCGATAACGTAAGTGTCCCGTGTTGTCGTCATCGTCGCGCGGTGCGCAATCCCAGGACGACTACCGGCCCCACCTTTGCCCGTGTCTCAGCCCTTCATTCGCCCACGGCGCCCCGCGATGGGCCTGTTGAGTTAATGGCACGTCAAATATTAGATGCGGACAAGCCCCAATCTAGACCCCTCGACGGAGAACCAACTTCTTTTCTCTCCTCGATTGGCTGGGTTCTCTGTCCTTAGGAGCCAGAACTTGCAATTGCGACACCTCATCTTCTCCCTATCCTCGGTCATCTATTCCCCTCCCGAGCCCAATTCGATCCGCAGGTCCAGGTGCAATGTGTTTTTTCGAGTCTTGAGTACGTTGCCAGAAGCTTGATCCTATCGCCATCCTTCTTGTTATACGGGCAGTGATACAGAGAATGTTGCCCGGGAACGATTGAGGCTAACCCCGATCTTGTGCGACAGATCAATTCGCCGCGTATAACCATCCCTCTCCTACCTATCTCGTTCCATGATTCTCTCACGGCGCGCGGTCCTCCTCCTCGGCTTCAGCTTCTCCTGCATCCTCTTCTTCACAGCTCGCCAGCTATCCCGGCCATGGAGTAACTATCCACAGACCGTGGGCCTGGGGGAATACTATGGCTCCGATTCTTCCGCCCGTAACTGGACAGGCGCCTTCAATTTTACCAGCCATGGCAGTAAAAGCCTATACGCCCCTCAGCCAAACTTCGTCCCCGGAATTCCGAAGCCCCCCGGCTCGACATACACGAAAACGTTGGTAGTGCCCCGGACCAAGAAAGAGGACACGAGCTGGATCGAAAAGGAGCTGCCGGACTGGGGCACTGCTATCTATGTCGCGGATGACCCGAAAGCACCCTTACACCCGCCGAAGAATAAGGGGCACGAGGTGATGGTATACTTGTCATTCATTATCGATTTCTACGAAGAGCTACCCGACGTCGCGGTATTCATGCACTCGCATCAGAACGCCTGGCATAATGAGGAGCTCTTTGGTGGCGACTCGGCAGAGATTCTCCGGCGACTGAGCATGGAACGGGTCATTCGAGAAGGGTACATGAATACGCGCTGCGCGTTCGGTCCTGGATGTCCTGCGTGGATGCACCCCGGCGCCGTGGAAGAAGATGAGACCAAGCAAGAGGAGGTGATGCTCGCTCGGGCCTGGGGAGAACTTTTCCCAGACCAGCCGGTTCCATCGGTCCTCTCTCAACCATGCTGCGCACAATTCGCCTTGTCCCGGGAACGCATTCGTACGATCCCCCGCGCGCGGTTCATCTTCTACCGCGACTGGCTGCTGCAGACGGATCTGAGCGATTACATTGCGGGTCGTATCTGGGAATACCTCTGGCAATACGTCTTCACGGGCAAGCCCGTTGTCTGTGTGGAAGAGAGTGTTTGTCTCTGCGATGGCTACGGGTTCTGCTTCGGCGGCCCAGAGAAGTATCAAGAATGGCGCGACATGGATGCCGAACGAAAAGATCTGCAGCAACGACTCGATGATTGGATCTGGTTGACCGAAGACCTCAGGATGGCTCAGGCTGCGGGAGAATTCGACGAAACCATGGACCTGGATTTCCCGGCTCTTGGCCAGCAATCCGATATTGAAAAAGAGGTTATTGCAAAAGACACTCAGGTCGCCGACACTCTTCAGGCTGCCATCGAGCGTGGCAAGAACCCTAAATACCGTGCTCTGGAGGCCGGTCGTCCTTGGAAGCAGGGTGACGGCTTCTAGGCACTGGGAGAACATATCCTACAATCGCTCTCTGTTCACCGCAGGCCGAGTTCTGAGAGCGTTCTGTTGGACTTGCAATCTATCATCGATATTACCAATCTACCACCGTGTGGATGAATGTTTGTGCCATGTTTCGAAAATCTGCTTTTGGTTTGTCTGAACCAAATTGGTCTGACCAGATTAGACGATTTCAGATAAATGATTGGGTAACTCGGTAGTCTCCTTGAGTGTGGACTGCAATTCTGATTTTCTGTACATTTATACCTGCTGGTTTTTGAGGGCTTTGAAGCGAAGTTGATTCATATTATAGACCATTTTTTTTGAAGTGACTATCTTTCCGGAATGAATTTCTGGATATCTACACAATCTAGTCTTAGATGGTTACTATTACCCTATTAAGAAAAATCCTAGGCTCGACAGCGTAATCACAGGTGGATCTAGTTCTCAAGATCACGTGATTGAACTTCAAGGTTTGCACTGTCTGTCCTTCCTTCAAACCACGCAAACCACGCAAACATCATCATCAATCGTCCCGTCGCGTTGCTGCTTATCATTGGAAGCTTAACGGCTTTCGTTAATAGCTTCGATATCTTATAATCCTCGGCGCTTCTCTTTCCCCTCGCGGGGCGCGTTGCTGTGAGGTTTCCTTGGGAAATTCTCTCTTCCAGCTCGCGACTCGGACGCGCTCGTGATCATCGACGGCCATAGCCCAGACATCACGGAGCTCTTGGTTTACTGCCATACTTCGTCGTTCAGACCACACCATACTGTTCCACGGCCTCTGATTCACACGAGCAATCCTGTGGATCTGCCGTGCAACTGAGGCGCTTCATCGACGCGATTTTCCCTCTGTCAAATCGCATTACGCTGGAAGTGTAACCGTCACATCGCAACTCACGCCCCACTAATAACTATGTCGTCCTCGAATACGAACAACCACCACCCTCCCTCCTCCTCCGCGGACATCTCCTCCCAATCAAACTCCAACGTCCAGCTTGACCCGAACAGCGGCTACACTCCGAGCGACAACCAGCTTGCTGGTTTGGTGGAAGCAGCGACCGCAGCTGCTGGCCAAGATGTCTCTCCTCAATGGGCCGCGGCTGTCGCGACTGCTGCCGGAGTAGCAGGTCATCACCAATTAGACGGATACAGTGCAGACATGCACCTTGGCGACGATGGGTTCGGCGATACGAACTTCGGCACGGGGATAGCAAATAGACACCTGCGCGTACAGAATGATCACTCCCAGGGATCTGGACTCTCTCGGACCGTGTCGAAGAAACGGAAAAGAAATGATGATAACCTCGACCCGGCGCTGGCTGCAGCTGGTCTCTCTGGAGCACAACACCAGCTTTCCCAACAATCTCAGCAAGGCCAGCATGCCTATGCCGGCGACAACATCGATATTCGTCCCGTCCCGCCACAGTCGCTTTCCGAGGCGCGCGCAGTTGGAGTTCATTCCGCTGCGGCGTTGTTCCGCCAACCATCAAGCAACAAGAAATACACACGTCCTCCGATGTCGAAGCTCTTCTCTTCGCTTGAACTTTCACCCGAGAACTTCTTGCATCTTCAAGCTGCGGCTAAAGGATTTATGCTGGATGATGATTACCCCGAGCGGCGTGACTGCGTGGGGCAGCGCGGAAAAGGTGACACAGAAATGGTGAAATTGCGGCTTTGGAATTGCGTTCGACAATTTCTTGACGACGAGGGAAATGGCGAGCGTTTCTTCGGAGAGAACGTCGTGAACGAGGGCATGGGTCCCAGGACTTACATTTGGCCCCGCGACCAGCAAAAGATCATTTCTCTGGTCATCCCTCTTTTGCGGCGAATGGTCACCAACGAACGGCAACGCCAATATGCGATTGAAACACGGAAGGGAGGAGGCACAGAAGAGCGCCGCCGCCGCAAAACCAATGAAAGCTTCCAGGACTTGAATGGCCCTCGGTATTCTCCAGAGCAGCAACTCCAGCAGATGCACAGCCAAAGCCAGTCAATGCCTCCGCCCCCTCCCCCGGCCCAAGGACAGGACTCCCAGGCGTCGATGGAATCTGGTCAGATTATGGATGTTGGGTTGATTGACCTACTCTTGGAGGGATACACGGTGGACTGGAACGACATGGCCAAGTCGTACGATATGTACAACCAGGATTACGAACTGGATAATCTCTGGTCTCTTTCTGGGCTGCAGCAGCCCGACTGGCGTGGACTGGTTGCGGCTGTAGATAGCCATTATCACGTTGTTCACAACGGCGATTATGATTGCCCGACTGGCTGCGAGAATGAGAACGTTAACCGTATCGTTCATGCCGACGCTACGGCAAATTTACCATGGCGGATTGGAGGAACCCGCAATCCGCCTGCGCGTGACGAATTGTAAGTTTCCATAGTCGCCATCCTTCACGATCAGACCATTTGCTAACGTCCAAACAGTGCTAGCAGTATCACCCGCGACGTCTCGCGGATCATCCGGGAAAACATTGCTGCCAGACACGGGGCTCATCCGGGTCCTCAAGGACAAGCGGGGGCTGATCAACATTCCCATCACCAGCAGCTTTTCGTCCCTATGCATGACTCAAAACCCCAGATGTCTTCGAACATAACCTCCTCCTCGGCTAGCCCTCACACTCAGATATACTTGCACATCAATGTGCTTCAACATGGCAAGCGCGTCCTCCCTCGACTCGACCTCCAAGCAGGCCAATGTCCCAACGTCGACACCATCAAGGAATCAGTTCTCCGTCGATATCACGGCCAGATTCCCGGCCTTCCTGTTCTCCAAGGGTCAGATAGTATCGATCAGCAAATTCGAGATTCCGCTGCTGCATCCAGTTGGAAGGTCAAGGCGTTGGTGCCGGATGGCCTCATCACAATTCAGAGTGAGAAGGACTGGGCGTTCGCACTCCTGTCTGCAGATACTGTGGACTGGATGGATGGTGATTTGAAGATCCTGGTTGAACTTGAAGGTGGTAATACCCAGTAGACCAAAGTCTACTACTTTTGTGTTTCGTCTTTCCGTTTCTGACGTTCTATCTTGCTATGGCAAGGAATCTGTGTATTACCAACGGCTTGTGTACTTTTATTATTGATGTGATAACCCCTGAGCGAGTGACTTGAATTTGTTCAGTATGATGTTTGACGTTTGCATCTTATCCTTTCCACCGTCACGTAGTTGCCTTTCGTGTTGTTGACCCTCGAGTGAAGGAACTTCTCCGTGTTCTCTCCTCCATCATATCCTTCCTCTACACCTTTCCGGTTTACCCTTTTTACAACAAACAATATCCATTTCCTATCTACATCTCCATAAATCTCTCAAACTCACTCTGACGCAATGGACCGTCATGCTCCACCCGAGTCTGAATCCGAGCTCCAGCCTGAGAGTGAATCCACTACTCTATCCAACTCAACCAACGACCTAGACCTCCCAGCAGACCTGCTCGCCGAAATTGACACCGTCCTCCAAAACACCCCAGCCCCACCAATCAACCCCATCGATACACCCCCAGGAAGACGAGCCGATCTCCTCCGGTATACTCAATGGACCGTGAGAGTTCCCCCATGGCGAGAACTCATGCTCCTCACACCCCTCCGCGAACCCGTCAACAACCGCATCATCAACATCCAAGACTCGCGCACCCTGAAGACTTTCCTCGATCAGCGAATCCGCAAGCGCAACGCCATGCTCGCTCAGGCGGTTGGCGTCAAGGCTAATCCGCCATGTACGCAGTGCGCGGGGGGCCAGGGACAGTTCGTGGGATGTATTCACATCCCCGTCTTTTTTGATGGGGCTTGTGCGAATTGTGTCTGGGAAAAGTCGCCCAGTCAGAGGGGGCAGTGTAGCTTTCGTGAGTTGTGCTGACTACGTTGTCGTTTTTCTAGGGTGGAGGTTTGTGTTGGTAGGGGTACTGGTACTGACGTGTGTTTTAGTTGTGGAGAAGCAGCGTCGGAAAGATGCTGCGGAGTATGAAAAGAATGTGCAACATGGTGTTGGTCAGACTTTCACTAGCGTGTGGAAGCTTCCTAAGAAGTGATTTCTTCGAGGGATTGCTGATTAGCGGCTGCATGTGCCTTATGCCTTTACGATGACGAGATCCTGATTGACGCTTGATCTGGGGCGATGATGACTCGGGAGTTCCACAGGATATTATTAGCATTGTAGCCAACTGGATTCATCAATACAATTCACCTATCTCATCAAAGTTATTCCATGGTCCACTGTAACCTTGTACCATGTATCACCTTCCTAGCGTCTGCGTCTTGTGTCGATGTCCCCAGTCAGATCAAGCCAGCAATAGGTACGACATTGCCTTAATCAAGACTTTGCCGAGTGAATACTCGAGGGCAACTCCTGGGAGTGGTTCTTATTGAGACACTGAGAAGATGAAGCTCTCAGTGACCCTCAGCGGAAGAAGCGGATTATTTTAGCCATTCCTTTGGTATTCATGATTGCCCAAATGTCAGTATGACTACAACCGATGTTTCTCATTGCTATAATGACCCTGGTAGGAAAAGAAACCTCGAGCATCCACAGATCACTTGAACCGAGTACTGTCCCTCTGGAGATTCCTTCTACACAAAGATAGCTCTGTATATACTTGCATGATCACCTATAGGCCCCGGGAAAACGGAGAATTTCCCAGTGTTGCGAGGCAGTCGGCTAGCAGCGAGGCAGGAAGAAGCCGACTCGATCATATTCGAAGCAAGACGGTTTGTTAACCGGAAGTCCTACGGTGCTCGTACGCAGAAATTAAACCTGCTCGACGGAAGTAAAGAGATACAGATCAACTCAGCTTCCATGGTTGTCACAATTTGTAGACCAAGATGAGTCGAGAGGATTATTGAGAAGTTCACAAGATGCATGTGTTCTGTCCATGAGGAGCTTCCACTGACGTGAAACACTGCCACTGTCCGACGAGAAGAGAATTTACAAGAGGGTGGGAAGTTCTGTACCTATCTGTTATCTGTCAACAAAAATTGGGTTTGCATAAAACTCCTATATCGCTACCTGCCCTATGTAAATGAAATCCCATGTAGAGTATAAAGTAAAGGCAAAAAGGTCCGTGTCTCATAATACAGGGTAGTGATAACGATGAGCAGGCCTTCGAAATAGATATGCATATCACGAATGTGTCTTCAATGGCACAAAACGGTATCATCGGTGGACCTAAACAAAAAAAAAAAAAAAAAAAAACAAGAACTCCGTTCCATACGCCGTATGACATCCCAAACCAGCTGGAAAGCAGACAACGGGGTTACGTGTACTTAATCACATGATCGTGCTTTGCAACGATCTCATTTATTGTGTATGAACAAGGTCCGGAATGAGTCCCAGTGATCCGAGTCCGCATAGCTATCCCGCAGAGAATTGATTAGCTGAAATGGTCGGGAAGGAAACAGGGCCAGAACTGGCGGAATGGAGACGGGACAATTAGGGTGACGCACATGTAGACCATGCTACTCCGCAGACTGGACGCCAGTGTTTCAGGGTACCATCGGAAAAGGTACATGACGAATGCCCAGCTCAGACTGGCAAAAGCAGGCCAGGCATTGTTGGTGATTTGGGCGCGAGCTTCGGGGGTGATGAGGGAGGAGAGTGGGTGCATGTTGGGTTCGACGGAGAGTTTCGCGAGGGAGAGCATAACGCGGGCGAAAACATAAATGACAATCTAATGGAGGTGTTAGCTGTTGGGGATATCCAAGACCCGAGGTACATTTGGCCTCCGTGTGGGGATATCGGCATACCTGCTGGCTAATGCTTCCCCGCTGCCGGCCGAAGACCGCGTATCCACCCAACAAACCCGCAAAGAAGCTGTCATAACGGCCTTCCTTCGCAGATCCCTTGGGGGAAATGTTCCGTAGAACAATCATGGACGCCTTGTATATGATAGCAAATGTGGCAAGGTTTCGAGCATGCTGACGAGTGGCTTTAAACACGAGCTTGACCTTCTCTCGGAATCTATAAATTTGGAAGAAATCAGTCTTCGGAGAGCTCCGGAGGTGAAGAGGAAACAAGGAACTTCACGTACGTTCCAGATCGGAACAGGAAGATCATGCTACAAGAGATCACAATAGTCAGCATCCAAGCTATCAAGGCATCACTTTCGATCAGCTTCAGAAATGCCCGAGTCTTGACATACACCAGCGCATGCGGAAACCGCACTTTCGACCCGTAGACGACACCATTGCGCGCGCCCTTCAACAGCGACAAAAATGGAGCAAGGTCGGGGTTCAAGACCAGTGAGTCCAGGCGGGACTGTAGGAGATGGTATCATGTCAGTCACTTGCAGCTTTTTGCATGTGCTTGCCTGGGGGAATTGCTCACCATGAGCGCATCCATAACGGCGCGCAGGACCTCGGTTGGAGGTCGGACTCGGATGAAGGGGACTACTGAGAAAGTGCACCACAGCGACGAGTCAGTAGGTCGAAGAAGTTCATGGAGGTGAAAGAGTAGAAGTAAAGAAAGATAAGAATATGGGGGAGGGGAGGGCGGCACTTTGACTCGGATCCGCAATTGCGAAAGGGCCTCGGCATGTGAGACGATGCCGAGACGGCCGACGTCATGGTCACGTGGTCTGCAGATGCCATGATCATACGGAGTAATTGATTCCGAGGAAGACGGTGTCTAATAATGGTGGCTAGAGTGTCATGTTTGGACGAAAGTAGCATCGAATCGACTATTCTCTTGATCAATTCCGAGGAAAAGATTTGTCTCATATCATCCTGACAGTCACTTTCAAATCTTCAAATTCAAGTTTCGTCAATTCGTTGGGTTTGCTTTTTTTAACTTTTGAAGGCGCAAGGATTATACGCAGACACAAAGGAAAGAGCCTAAATAGGATGTATAGCTGTATCTACGTGGACTATCTTGGTTCGAAATCATTTGTCAAGAAGCATCGCTTCACTATAGTACTTTTCCATGGCGGTACAGGAAACCTGCAGATACACAGGCATCAAGAAGCACAAACCCCAGCCGGACCAAACGCCTTGAGATAGTGTAAATACGCAACAATGCAAGTGAATCAGTTCTAGTCCGTACGAGCCCGCTTGTGGCCCTCGTCCTCCAAAATCTCGTCCACATCCATCATCTCCAAGTCCTCCTCCTCGTCGTCCGAGTCGATACCCGCCCGACGCTTGAGACCCTTCATCTTGCGAGTCTGAAGACCGCCAAGATCCTGCTTGCCCAAGTGAACACGACCAATCTTGTCACCCATGGTATCCAGGGTAATGTTCTTCTTGGTCCGCATCTCCTCATTGGGACGCTTGCCCTGCTTCATGGCCTCCTTCATGGCCTCGGGGGTAGCGGGGCGGTGGCGGCCAATCTTGAAGTCGAACTTGGGTCCGACTCCTTCCAGCTCAACGCGGGGCAACTTGTGGCCGCTGCGCTTGGTGACAACCTTGTACCACCGCAGGTGCACGATGGGAGAAAGGTTGTCGCGGGGCTCCTCGGCACCAACCATCAAAACGTACTGAAGACCCTCAACGTCGATCTGGTTGGTTTCCTCACCCTTGAACATGTCGAGGAAGAAACTCTTAAGCATAACGTGCGCCGAGGATGTCGGGTCCTCGAAGGGGCTGCCAGAGAAAATCATCATTGGCCGCATGCCGAGTCCAACGGGCATAGTGAGCTCGTTGAAAGGAGGGATCGCCGTCTTGTCGGCGGGAGGAAGAAGCATCAATTCGCAAATGTCGAGAGTTTGTGAGTTGAAAATTCGTGCGAGAGTGACACAGTTGGGGCGCTTCTTGTTGCTGCTGCCGAAGATTACAAGACCGCACTCGTTCTTGTTTGCCAAGAACTCCATGCTCTCGAGGTTCTCGAAGGGGTGGATGTTCTCATTTTTCTTGTGGAACAGGACGGAATTGGGCTTTGTGAGGGAGTGGAAGGTCTTCAAGACGGTGTCGAGGGCCTGGGGGCATTTCGTGCCGTGCAACAGTAGAGTCTTCTTCGGGCCTTCGATGAGTTGGGGCTCCCGCGCCTTAAGGATGCGCGCGGTGCGCGGGTTCTTTGCCTTTCTAAAAATCCCGAGTCAGTCAAATAGTACCAGTCTGTGTAGTTTCAGGTACGTACACTTCGCGCAACATGGTGGCAGTTTGTTCTTATGTCTGAGGATGATCGGAGTAAAAAAGCGCAGAAAAGTTTTGGGGGAAGGTCTTGGCGCTGTTATCGATAAGGACCCACCAGTGTGGCCTGAGCTTTGGATATTGGCGCCTGACTTTTCAGTCATCAAAATACATAGTGCATTTCTACCTTTCTTTTTTTTCGAGAGCCAGGGGAATTATTCTATGAGGCTGGCCCTCATCGAGTTAAAATTATGGGTACTGATGGTGATAGGTTTCGTCCTGTGCACTATCGTTTATGCGACCCTTTCGAAGCACATGTCCAAACATCTCAAGCAAATCTTCGGGGCCATCGAGAAGAGATATACAATTCGCTTGATACTTTATACTGTCGGCACTTCAAGGTACCTCTGGTTTATCTCTTAAGCATAGATAATAATGCTAAGTTTAGACTCTTTTCTACTAAACAAAAGTCACGGAGAGACCCCAGTATCAAAAGCAGATGCTATTATGAATTCAATCAGTCACATCTGCAAACAATTCACTAGGCATATCCATCTTGTGAACCTTTTGAACCTCCCAAGCTGAAAGGAAGCAGAATCAAAGGCAGTTTTATCAGCATCCAATCACTCCAGAGATCATCAGTTCACTTCTATCAATGCAGACCTGAAACCCTCCAAAGCTTCCTCCAAAGCTCCTAGGCGGTTTTGTAGTAGCATCACCAGCCATCGTTAAGAAATTGGCTGTCTCGTAGAATGGAAGGCTGTGACCAAGCTTTTCATTGAACTGATCCATTTTTGCGGAGAGCTCGAAACTTCGGCCGCATAGTCGCTAGCTTCCTCTAGTGTTTGGTCGCCTAGGAATGTTGATAATCGTGTCCAGGATCTCTATCCAAGTCCTTGCTGTTATTTTGATCGTTCTAAGCCAGCTGGCAAGTTGAAGAAGAACAGGTCTGATCAAGTCCCCCAAAAATAATTCTGGAAACGATTGTATAGAGGTCGGTGTGATAAGCAGCACGTTCTGTAAAGATTTGCCAGCTCGCGAGAGGTACGCTTCGCTTGAAACTCCACCCGACACAATCGTCCGCTCCCATTTTGGAGTCTTAGATCACGACTAGACGAGTCTTTCAGATCAAATGGGGACAGGGTTTAGCCGTGGCGGTTGGAAAGAGATTCCATGATGGAAGTATATTATCGTAAGCTCACAATATTTGAGTCATTCAACTGAAATCCGAATTCATTTGCAATGAATGACAAAACACGCTTTGGCTAAATCTAATGCACCCGATGCCCGGTCGCCGCCTTGTTGATTCGAACTAAAGCCTCGAAGTCCGGGTAATATCCGCGTAATTCACATCTCTCTCAGGCCAGTATCCAACTTGAATCATATGATCAACCAGTGTACCTTTACCACCCCAGGTATGTCTTCCAAAGGCTGCCATCATATCCATTCCATTCAACAAAGAACCCGAAGTCCAAATTTTACCATCCTGAGCCCATCTCTTCTTGATCCATTCGGTTCCAGAAGCCGTTTGCCGCATCATGGGGAGCATGGGAATGGGTGCAGTGACAGTCTTGCCCTCTAATATTCCTGCAGCGAGTACAGGCAGGAATCCTGCACACACGCAAATGAGTGCGGCACACTCAGTGTAGACTTTTCGGAGAAATTGCTTTTCTGTTTCGCTGACTTGGTAGCCTGCTGTATAAGCTCCAAGGACTACAATATCGAGTGGTGGACAATCTGCAAAGGAGTTCTTTATCACCAAGTCGTGAGTCTCAAAGGAATGTTACGAAGTGGAACGATATAGAACGTGCCAAATTCAATTGTTGAGGTTTGAAATGAAGACAAGGCTTACTGTGGGCACCACTTGCAAGTTTCCCGTCAGACGAGCAGGAGTCTTCCCATCCTCAGTGACCCAATGGTGTTCAAAGTCCAGAGCTTGTGATATCAAGTCACCAGAGACAAGATTCGGAGGCGCCTGCCTGAGGAAACCGCGACTGATGCAGGAAAAGAACCCGAAAGGAGCAATATCAAGATGCTCCGTGACGCTGTGCATAAGCTATAAGCAGATGAGCCTAGACAAGCAGATAAAGAATAGGCCCACCTATTCATGAAAACAACACCAACCCGGATAGGACGTCCAGGGTCGCGGAGGTTGATTGAAGAGGACATCTTGTTGGAGATGATGCGAGTCGAGGATGGTCAGTCAATGTCTATCACAACTTAGAAAGAAGTTGATTTATTTTTGCTCCGAAGGCAAATTTGGCGCTGTGATTAAGTATGCATTTGTTACACGCGGGCAATTGTGAGATCTCAAGGCTGTAGTCTCATATGCCAGAACCAATCAAGATGCCAAATGTTTAACTCGCTCTGCAGATAACATTATCCATCGTCCTACGTTGCCCTCAGTCATACACAAACAATATATGGACGAGCTTTGCGCCACCTGACACTAAATTTAGAAGCATTACATCACGACAGAAGAAGGTTAGTTAAACAAGGAACAGAGAGGTCTTTTCATTCAAATATTTTTTATCTACAGATCAGACAGCCGTAGCATCTGCATTTTAATCCAAACGCAGCTTCTCGAACTCCTTGATCTGCTCCTCCAAGCGAGCAGCCTCGCTCTCGGCATCACGGAGACGCTTCTCCTCGGCCTCGCGGACCTCAAGCTTGACCTTCTCCTTCCAGTTAGGAGCGCTCATGACACCCTGGGACCGGCGCACAGTCTCACGGGCGCGCTCAAGGCTGGCCTTCGCCTTCTCTTCCTGCTCGAGGGCAACCTCCTTGGACACGCGCAGGTAGACGGCGGCTTCGGCACCAACAGCGGCAACAACGCAGCCAGAGGGGGGAGTCTTGTTGTCCGGGCCCAGGTGAGACAGATCACCCAGAGTCTTGCCACCCAGAGAATGGATGGTGGTGAGCTGCTCGGAGACGGTCTTCTCGCTGGTAGCGTCGTAGGTCTGGATGATGATGTCACCCTTGGTCTTGACATCGTACTGGGCCAGAATGGAGCGGATGGCCTTAGAGGAGTTCAAGATGAGCTCATAGGCCTTCTCAGCAGCCGGGTCATCGAACTCAGCACGGTACTCGGGGAACCTGGCCCTCATGATGGAAAAGGTCTTGTCCTCGGGGCGACGCGGCAGACGCTGCCACAGGTGCTCAGTGACGAAAGGCATAATGGGGTGGATGAGGCATAGGGCACCCTCGAGAGCGGTGTAGAGGGTCTGCTTGGCAGACTCCTGGGTCTCGGGGGAAGCATCCTCGGCAAGCAAGTACTTGGAGTTCTCGATGAACACATCGCACAGCTGGGAGTACCAGTACTGGTAAGAAACGTTGGCGGTAACGGAGAACTCACGAGCCTCCAAAGCCTCGTTGATCTCCTTAGCAGCGGCGTTGAACTTGTGCAGAATCCAGCGCTCCGACAGGGACTCGTTGCCAGTCTTGGAAACGGTGGCCAGGGGCTTGAAGTCATCGCCAAGCTTGCCAAGTACGAACTTGGTAGCCTGGTAGATCTTGTTACAGAAACGGCGGTAACCGTGAATGACCTGGACATCGAAAGCGATATCACCACCTGTGTAATAGGTGTTAGTAATTGAGAATGAGTTATACTAAAGATGTATACGTACCACCAGTGGTGTAAGAGACGAGCGCGAAGCGAAGAGCATCAGCACCGCACTCAGGAATACCCTTAGGGAAGGCCTTCTTCTGGTACTTGGTAGCAGTGGCGATCTCCTTGTCGGCAATGTTACCGACCAGCAGCTTGTCGTGCAGAGTCTGCAGCTGAATGCCCTCCATAACATCCAGGGGATCAATAACGTTGCCAAGAGACTTGGACATCTTGCGACCCTCGGAGTCACGGATGAGCGAGTGGCAGTACACCTCCCTGAAGGGAATCTGTCCGGTCATCTTGATGCCGAGCATGATCATACGGGCGACCCAGAAGAACAGGATATCCCAACCAGTCTCCAGCACGGAGGTGGGGTAGAGATTCTCGAAGTCATGAGTCTTACGGGGCCAGCCCAGAGTCGAGAAGGGCCACAGGCCGGACGAGAACCAGGTGTCGAGGACGTCGGGGTCACGGTCCAGGGTGAACTTCTTGCCAGGGAACTTAGCCTCCGCCTTCTTGCGGGCATCCTCCTCAGTGCGGCCAGTGACCCAGAAGTTGCCATCTGCGTCATCGTTCTCCTCGCCCTCGATTTTGACGAAGTAGGCGGGAGCCTGGTGACCCCACCAGAGCTGACGGGACAGACACCAGTCGTTCAGGTTACGCATCCAGCGGAAGTAGTTCTTCTCTGCGGACTCGGGACGGATGATGATATCGCCCTTCTCAACGGCCTCGATAGCGGGGCCAGCTAGAGACTCCATCTTCATCCACCATTGAGGCTTCAAGATAGGCTCGATAACGTCGTTAGACTTGGAGCAGCGAGGCACCTTCATGGGGTTGTGCTCCCACTTCACGTACAAGCCCTTCTCCTTGAGGAGATCGATGACCTTGTAACGGGCATCGAAACGCTTCATACCGGCGAAGGGACCACCGTTCTTGTTGAAGGTTCCATCGTCGTTCAGGACGGAGATGAACTCCAGGTTGTGCTGCTTACCACGGTTGAAATCGTTGAAGTCGTGGGCGGGGGTGATCTTCACGGCACCAGTACCGAACTCGGGCTCAACACCCTCATCGGCGACGATAGGGAGCAGGCGATCAACGAAGGGGTGGCGGGCGTTCTTGCCGATCAGGTGCTTGTAGCGAGGGTCGTTGGGGTGGACGGCAATACCACTGTCACCAACCATGGTCTCGGGACGAGTGGTAGCAATCTCAATGCGCTCAGTAGTACCGTCGATCTCATAGCAGAAGTGGGTGAGGACACCGAACTCGACCTTGCGGTCATAACCGGGAACATCCAGGAGGGTGCGGCCTTCGATTTCCTTGTTCTCGACCTCGAGGTTAGACAGGGAAGTGTTCAAAGCAACACACCAGTTGACCAGACGGTTGGCACGGTAGATAATGCCCTCTTCGTGCAGACGAACGAAGGTCTCGGTAACTGCAGCGGACAGGTTGGGGTCCATGGTGAAAGCCTCACGCGACCAGTCGAAGGAACCACCGACTCTGCGGAGAGCATTCTTGATGTTTTTGTGGTACTCGTCCTTCCAGTCCCAGATAAGCTTGGTCATGGCCTCACGTCCGAGATCGTGACGGGTCTTCTTCTCCTTCTTCCACAGCATCTTCTCGACAACACTCTGGGTAGAGATACCGGCGTGGTCCATACCGGGAAGCCACAGAGTGGTCTTGCCCTTCATTCGCTGCCAACGGATCATAGTGTCTTGTAGGGCGTTGGTCAGGGCGTGACCCATGTGAAGGGAACCGGTAACGTTGGGAGGAGGGATAGGAATGACGAAGGAGCCCTCGGGCTTGACCTTGCCATCGGGACCCCATTCGGGCTTGAAGAGATCGCGCTCCTCCCACCACTCAAGGCGGCCAGCCTCGATAACCTTGGGGTCGTAGGCGTCGGCGGTCTTCTCTTTCTCAACCTTCTGCACCTTCTTCTCGGCCTTGGGTGCAGCGGGCTTAGCAGACTTGGCCTTGGCCTGCTTCTCTGCGAACTTCTTTGCCTTCTCGGCCTTCTTGCGCTCGCGCTCCACTGCATATAGTCGCAATTACATCAGCATTTGTCCACATCCAAGAAAAAGTCCAAGTTTCCGAAGCAATTCAGATCTGGGGATTCCGCGGGTTCCACATACACTCCTTCTCGGACTTCACCTTCGGTGTAGTAGAGCCATCGTTCGCAGCAGAAGCCTCGGCGATCTGAGCGCGCGTCTGCTCGTCAACTGGAGGGGGGTTCTCGGTCAAAGGGGCAGTGTTCTCCCCAACTACATTGTAGGTCATGGTGAGCTTGCGGACTCGAGCATGAGTCATGGATCATTGGAGGGAAGGACTGACTGGGGTTGTGGGAGGCAGAGTTTTGAGCCATCCTGGAGAATGATCGATATGTCGGAGGGAATCTCCAAGGCGCCGATCGCGCCACGAGTCGCCTGATAAGTATCTTGAGGGGATGGAGATGCGACAAGGAGGGGTGGTTGTGGGAAATGCGGGCAGATTAAATTTCCAACGACGAATGAGCGAGCGGGGCTCAAGTGAGGATCGGTGGGGACCGCGCGACGCTGGGGTTGGCAGATGGCAGCGTGGCTTTCTATAAATGCATGCACACCATTGATCTTGGTTGACAAGTCTATAGTTGTTCTTTTTGCCCTTCTCTTCTATGTTTTGTTTCGGTCTCAAGTCGCTGCTACAAGCTATCGAGATTGGACTCACGTGACAGCGCCAGTGCCAACGGGCGATCTGATCAGCAGACGATAAGGCGATAGTCGGTGCGGAACTAAAAGCGACATCTACACGACGGCCGGGCTTACATATGGCGAACCTTATGAATGAAACCCAAAATGGGGGAATTGGTAATGTCTTATGTCTTCGCGAAACCGCTGGTAGCATGGTCGCCAATCATGAGTTCCTCCCCAGTACCATCACTCCATCGAATGTGCATGTTATGCCAGAAGCAGCGGCGAGTAACAACTAAGGGAAGCATAACGGCAAATAGAACCACATGAAAAAAAGGAAAGGAGAAAAGGAAATCCATAACACCAGACCCAAGGATGAGGGAAGAGGGGAAGAAGAAGAGAAATTGGCGAGGCCTGAAGAAACCAACGCTGTACAATGAAAGGAGCATAGAGAAAGGATCTTCTTGCCGCTCTAAGAGGACAATTGATTTGATTGCGCTCACTAACACGCCTGTAGAACCGAGGCGATACAGGGCTGGCCAGCCCAAGAAGATTAGATGTCATGTCTTGTCATCAACGTCGTCTCCGTTCGAAAATCGGTCATTCATCGCAGCCCCTCTCCCGCCGAATGGTTAAAGTCCAGAGAAAACACTGGGAAGAGATCTCATTGAAAAATTATCCGTCTTGTCTTTCTGGCCTTGTGCCGCTGCAAACGGCATATCTCCGACTCAGACACAAAGGGGGCTTGTGATACCGGGTGATATTCTGTAGATAGGTTGTTAGGGGTCAGGAGGGGTGGTAGAAGTGCTGATAGGAAATGTAAGGAAGCTAGAAAAAGAGCCAAGGCCGTGCATCACTGCTGGCGAGAATCAGGACTGGGCAGCTGCGTTGTTCAGAGAATCGGCGCGGACCGGGTCAAAGTAGGCGTGAGCCATAGCCTCTTGAGCAGTCAAGCGTTCCTATACATTTGTCAGTATATCAATCGCAGGGGCTTGGAAACAATTGAGGACATACGGCATGGTCATAACGAAGCAGCTTGTCGAGGAAGTCAATGGCTTCATCGCTAACAAAGCGTTGGTTCTCGGCCGTGACAAATGAGTGCCACGGCTTACGAGGGAACCGGGAGAGAATATCGTCGTACTGAGGGTCCAGCTCAATGTCGTACTTGTCCAGGTATTCGAAGAGCTCCTCGGTGCCCAGGACCTTGGCAATCTTCACCAGTTGGTCCGAGTTGCTGTTGCCGTGGAAGAAAGGCTCCTTGCGGAAAATCATGGAAGCAAACATGGCACCCAGTGACCACATGTCGAGGGAGTAATCGTACTCCTGGAAGTCGACGAGCAGCTCGGGGCCCTTGAAGTAACGAGATGCGACTCGGACGTTATACTCAGTGCCCTTGTGGTAGAACTCGGCAAGACCCCAATCGATCAGTCGCAGCTAGAGTATGTTAGAAGAAATACCATTTGACAAGAGAGCATCATACATACCTTGCGCTTCTCATGATCGATCATGACATTGTGGGGCTTCACATCTCGATGCATGATACCCTTGCTGTGACAGAAGTCCAGCGCCTTCAGAAGCTCGTAGATGTAGAAGCGGACATCGTAGTCCGTGAAGCGGGGGTACAAGGTACGGAAATCGGTGTTGTTGACAGCCTCGAAAACCAAGCTGGGAGTCTTGCTCTGGTTATCCCGAACAACGTCCAGTAGAGCTACAACGTTGGGACCGCCAGCAAGGTTCTGGAGAATCTTGATCTCTCGCTTAATCTTCTTCTTCTTCACGGGCTTGAGGACCTTGATAACGCATTTCTGGTAATTCACGACATTGATACCCTCGAAAACCTCAGAGTACTTTCCTCGACCTGAAAAGGGAAAGCGTCAGCAAACGGTCAGTTCGGAGCTTGTCTCCACACCCCATAAAGAATGGCAGGTGATAACGCCAGCCTCCCGGGTCGGATGACCTCCAATCAAAACTCTACATACCGATCTTGCGAACGATTTCGTAATTCTCCAGCACGCCCCAAGAAATGTTCACACTGTCGTAGTCCCAGTAGGACCGGGGCATGTGCTCGTTGACATCGGCGTAGACGCGCGCCATGGTGATTGCAGACGGCTTCCGAATCCGCCCACAATAGAAATCAGGTGCGGCGGGGTTACGCGGGGCGCAGCAAAGTGACGGGATAGGGAGGGGTCGAGGGGATAGGACACAGGAAGAATACAACAGCAGCAGCAGGCCCAGCAACTTGCCAGCTCGAACTCAGCCGTGCTATCGATCGTCCTGATGCAATGGAAGTTTGGAGGGGTGATAATATGATGCGAGCGAGATCTGTTCCGCCTTGTCACGGGATTTGCGTGGAGAGCAATCCCGAAACGGCTAGACTGAGTGTTGTGCGGATGATAGTTATTCCGAAGGATTTTCTAGTTGCCTCTTTCGGACAGCTGGTGACCGCGGTGTTTCTCAAGTTCTGAATTTCTCCAACGGACGCAGGAACAGCCACAGCGCCCCCTGGTCCCTTTTTAAAAAGGCACCATGTTTTATGATTTGAATGTCCCATACAGTCCGGATGACCCAGAGGGAATCCACACCTTAAACTTCCTTGCTGAACGTAAGTCATTCTGCGCTGACCTTGGCACCCGATTCGAACATTGTAAAGCTTGCGGTGCACATGAGGTACTGACCTGACCTTAGTTGGTTACACCACTGTCGCTTTGTCTCAAACAATCACGGGCAAGCTTCCTCCGAATCTCAGCCCGCCACCTCTTCCATCAAATGCCCCAAAGTCGCTCCAGCTACTTACCCGGCTCAACCTTACACTCTCCGACCCCGCGCAAAATCAGCGGCTCAATAGCTTATCACAAGCCTATGACATTGTTGCTCTGCGCCCGACAAATGAGAAAACCCTTCTCAATGCCTGCACTAATTTGGAGTGTGACGTGATATCACTCGATTTTTCTGTGCGACTTCCATTCCACTTCAAATTCAAAATGCTGTCGGCTGCGATATCACGTGGTATTCGTCTAGAGATCTGTTACGGCCCGGGAATCACAGGGAGCGGGTTGGATGCCCGTCGCAATCTTATAGGGAATGCAATGTCGTTGATCAGAGCTACACGGGGTGGAAGAGGGATTATCGTATCAAGTGAGGCTAGACGTGCGCTGAGCTTGCGAGCTCCTTGGGACGTGATCAACCTGACCTGCGTGTGGGGGTTATCACAGGAGCGCGGCAAGGAAGCGATCTGTGAAGAAGCTAGGAAGGTCACAGCGTTGGCCAAGCTCAAGCGCACGAGCTGGCGCGGCATTGTCGACATTGTCCATGGCGGAGAGAAGGCTAAGACCGAGAAGCCGACAGCGAAACAGAAGGGCCAAGCTCAAGCAGCCACCTCTACACAATCGGAAAATGCCACCGACACCTTGAAAAGAAAGGCTTCTCTTGGCTCGGAGGCCGCTGTGGAGCCCGAGAAGCCCATGTCGAAGCGAGAGATGAAGCGGCGAGCCAAAAAAGCACGCCTTGAACCACAGGGAGAAGACGCGAGCTGAATTGTTACGGATCATTAGACCTCATCATTCTTCAGGCACCCCCTCTATCGTGAAGATATGGGAACCGATGGGCTTACTCTTGACCTGGCGTCGAAGGTGACTCGTCCTGGTCGCTTCTTATCATCTCCAAGTGTTGCCATACTCTCCACTGCTCGATGATCCTAGCCCAATCTGGTGGGCTTACACGCGGGATGATGGCAATCTTTTGCCACAAAATGCTTGCTGCTGCCAGGCGTGATCCTGGATTTGGTGCAAATATCAGCTGCCCTTGGTACACTGCCAGTCGTCCGTGTCTCATCACCAACACTCGCGAGAATATCTCTGCTCCACTCGATGGGCCATGAGATCCGCGAGGGGTTATTTGCGCATAATCTACCACAGCATCTCCGCGCCCTAGCAGGCTTTCACCGCAGACCCCAGTTCTTCGTCAAAGTGGAAAAAGGCCTGCTGGCTTTAGCATTGCATATTTAGCATCAATACCCAAGTCTCAAACCTTGTACGAGATTTATCATTTCTTCTAATGTTTTGTACCCATCTCGCTCTCTGTTAAGCTAGGTACCTATCCTCTGCTCTCCATTCGCCCTGTATCACCGCTAGCTCCCTACTGCCAACCTTCCCTTCAAACCCGGGAGCTACGATATCGTGACTTTTATGCATAACTGCATAAATGCGCGGGACTTCCAACCGGGCAGCTCGGGCAGGGTCCTAATTGTGGCCGAGTCCTTGGGGCTACAGCCCGCCCGACTGTCCGAGTACGCAGACCTACTACGGGCACCTCAACTATGGGTATAGAGAAGTATGTTCAAAAAAGCGTCAAAGGATGCGCCAGACGGAGTATGAAAAGATACATGGGCCGCAATTTAAGATTATATTTATTACTGGTATAAAGTATCGATAGTAGTCAAAGGAAATTCAGCTTGAAACAGAATAGAAAGATGATAACTTCATTTTTGTGTTATCCCTCTGAGCTTGTGCCAGGCCAGAGGGGTGAGAAAGTAAGGGGAAAAGAGGCTGTTATCCCTTGGGACATTACTGTAGCAAACCCAAGTACCAAAGCAAACCCGAGGTTTAAGGCTTCCTCGAAATACCTCGTGCTATCCTCGCCCTATTTTATGAATAGACGAGAGCCAAATCGACCTGAAGGCCGGAGAATAGCCCTGGATGGCGTTCTCGAGATCAAGGCTAATGGCTTTGTTTTCCAGACCCTTCTGATCATCCTCAACATCATACACTTGCGCAATGATCGACTTACAAAGATGGCGCCGGATTTGCTGCTCAAGATCGCTATCATTACTGCGTATTACTACCGAGTACCGCCACTGCAACCAGGCCGTGGAGTTATTTGAGAAGATGTGGTTTTATCCGAAGCGCTGTCCATGGAACGAAGTAGAACCAGTTCCCGGGGTATATGCTGCTTTGCCTTGTCTTCAGCAGTGGGTTGCAGGTAAAAGGCTCTATTTCCTGTGCTTGACAAGACTCCAAGGACCCATTTGATAGGAAGGATCTACCCCTCCCAAGCTTCGTAAAAGGTATGCCGCAACTGACCTGAATGTCATTATTTTAATCTTGCATCCGTGATATTTAGACACTATCTATGCAAGCCGAGACTCATTGAGTGATATTCTCTCCCAGATTGGTAGACAAGTCATCCAAAGCTTGAGACCACCAACGGAGTCTCCATACACCTGTGAATGCCTACGACTAGGGTTTTAGGCCAAGGGCAAAGGGCCAAACTAAATTGCCCGGTAAAGGATGATTGTTCTATTCCAATGTCGCTAAGTCAGCAGATATGGCAGCGGAATCATAATGCAAGACAAACATGCCCCGAGAAACACCAGTGGAAGTGTTGAGCTTCGAGAAGCAGCTCCTTGAATCGGATCTCAAGGCTCAGATTTAAGATGCCTGGCAGGGGGTATATGATGCCGGTTAACAGTGGTGAGGTCTTCAGAACGTAGGCTTCTAACCTTCGCAACATGGATCCCTTCCTCGAGAGATCGCTTTTATCGTGAATGACTTTAGTTTCCAGACAGGGAACAGCTATTATATTGAGACTGTATAAATTCTGCCTAACTGAGCTCAGCATTTCCATTCCAATATGCCCAGCTAGGGGCCTGTTTTTTGATGTATAAGCAGATCCTAGCTAAGTAATTGACAGGCCCCCAATCTGATATCAAACCCTTGCGAGTTTTATCAAGAGATAGGTCCCATCTACAATCTATGTTTCCACTGAGAACGAGTTTCAGGACATTTGAGCATTAATTAATTGAATGAAGTAGCTCAGTCTTTGGACTAGGCTCTTGGTTGCATTACATAGAGAATTACCAATCCTTGACATGACATGTAGTGTTTTCGAGAATGTGCTGGCTGTGTATGCGTGAGAAGCTTTCTGTATCATGCCATCACAAGGCAGAAAGAGAACAGGGTCATCTTGGATGACTCTGTAATTAAGCAAACAGTTCCCCACCGCTTCAGGGATCGAGCTCCCAAGTGAGATTATTGACGCGACTTCACCAGCAAACAAATGCATCGACTCTGATTGCACTGGTCTTTCCTCACCTCCCAGCCCATCCAGCTGTCCCATCCAGACCCACGCATTCACGGAACACCGATCGTTTGCCCCATCAAGATCTGCTTGGCTCGGACGCCGTCTATTGACCAGCCCTCAAATTTGTCTCCTCACTCGAGGTGCTCTCGCTTGGTTTCCCGGATCACCCACTTGATCATGCAGGACTCGATGGATCTCGTTATTGAAGCTGTGAGGGGTCTACCTACGAAGGTAATTGACCCCGACGGCGACGCTACTCTGATTCTGTCCAGCAGGCAGTATCGCAGGCTTTTCCTCTGCTCCTCACAACGCCTTATTTCCACCTGTGGTCACTTCCGCAAGAAGCTTGCCGAAGGTGGACAGCCTCATACGGAGCTCATGCGGGACAAAAAGGTTTATCTGACCATTAGTGACTTCGACCCCAAAGCTGTCGAAATCATCCTCAGCCTCATCCATGGCCGAATCGACAACATCCCGCGAATGCCAGATTTCCCCTTGCTATTGGACCTCGCTCGATTTTGTAGATATCTTCAATGCCTACCCGCCTTGAAGCCTTTTGCAAACTCCTGGATGAATAGACAAAAGAACTCGATCCTTGCAACTTCGGCCCTCACTGCCGATTCACACTCATTGATGTTCATCTCTTTGACCTTCCGGCACCAAGAAGTCTTCCGACACATCACAGCCATCTTCCAGCAAAACTTGGCCGATCGAATGGACCTATTCAGAACTCAGCCGCTCGTTCCCAAGGAAATTATCAGTAAGTGCCAAAAGACCGCTTTGCATTTCATGGAATCGATGGTTTACCTGACATGCTACTCTAGAACGCATCAATGCAGCCAGAGAAGCCTACCTCAACAAATTGTCAAGACTGCTCTACGCCCATCATAAACGACTGTCAAGGGGTCCCCCCATTTGTACCTCCAAATGCGATAAATCCTATTCGAACATGATGATTGAGATCTCGGCGAGCGGCTTGTTACCGTTTTTTCAGCAACCAAATCCACGATACACAGGGTATGTACCAAAGTCCGTCCGTCTGAAGCTACTGCAGATTAGCAGCGACAATTTTCTCCATACCGATCGCGTCTGCCCTCATGGTAAAGGGCCCCTCTGCCCAAACTATCACAACCCTTTGGGCGTGGATGTGGAGAACCATCTCTGGCAATTTGCGGCTCTTCTTCCCGGTGCCGACTTGCCGGTCCAAGAGTGATGGAATCCGGGGACTTTTAAAGGCAGAACGAACTACTGTCAAGGGCAATGACAAGAAAACCATGAGACCAATAAGGCAACTAGCAGGCTAGCATAGTTGCTGCATTTCTATTCCAAATGAAGCCGGGCACTTGCGATGATGTTTTGTGTCCTTGTTAGAGTCTTGAATTAAGCTTTAGTTTCGTAACGGTTGAAAAGGTATAGAAGTCTGGAATATACTCCACGCTAGGCATAAATAAGGAATTTGCAATCAATCACTAACACATGTTTTTAGCTTTTTCATTCCATCCAGCCATCCCCTTTGCAGCTCACTTTATTCCAAGACTCCCTGCATACATGATTAGAAGAACGCCTCTTCGGATTCCGCCTTTCTTCAACAAATTCACCCTTTCCGCCAGTAGTCCTCGCCTTGCTGCTCTGTCGAGCGCCAATTACGCCTCGGCCATGGCTTCCATTTGCGACCACCTCTACGGCTTCCAGCCTTAAGCACAGTGGAGTCTTTATCGACAACTCCTTCGAAGAGAGACCCGACGGTGCCAACCTTCCTCAATAGGGCGATTATCTTGAGAGGCTACTTGACCAGGATCGAGTGCCGCGACCATAATTCTCCCTTTCATTGCCCTACGTTCTCAGAGATATAAGATTCACTCTCGAAACTCTACTAGAAGCCTTTCCGGCCAATGGTCACTTGGGAGACATTGGAACATTATTGGAAAAGATCTCCGCCAACTGGCCAGAATTAGACATACGATCGTGACTAACAGCCTGGAGGGATTGTTCCAAACCCAAATCCACATACAACCTGTCTGCCTACCTGTGCCCGTGGGTCAAGCTCTCCACCGTGGCGGCCTTGTATCGTTGTCACTGTGTTGGGTTGATCCACAAACGCTGAAAGGGTAGCGAACTCAGCATTTGGGTTTCTAGAAATAGATATTTAGTGGTCGAGGTCAACGTGATTACGGGAATTGTGGCAACACGAGAGAGACTCATAAACCAAAACGAGATATGGGTATTTGCAATGTTATGTACAATATTGAGAAATGCAAAGTGAACGACAACTGCAGAATAACTTATATAGTAGGGACCTAAGCACTCCGTGAAAGAGGTGGGTCGTCTGCGCAAGTCTCACGGATCTCATGGGCAGCATTTAGAGAGCGTGTTCCTTGTCTCAACTGCCCTTGAATACGGGACGCAAGCTCAAGAGTCTCCTTCGGCAGCCCAGCTAAATGAGCAACCTTGAGTGCATGCGACTCCCGGTTCACTCCCTTCCGCAAGCGATGCACAAAGGAGAACCCACCGCCAGGGCTTTCTTTGACATCGGTACAATATCGCTCCAAACATTCGAATGACTTTGTCATGTCCGCCAGCGCGTGGAAATGTGTGGCGAACAGCACGCGGCCGCGGTTACGATAGTGCAAATGGTGAAGGCATGCAAAGCTAACCGCAGTGCCGTCCTCCGGAGTCGTACCTCGACCGACCTCGTCCATAATCACAAAGGACCGCGGGCTAGCCTGTTTCAAGATCGCTGCAGTTTCCAGCATCTCGACCATGAACGTCGATTGGTCTCGGAATAGGTCGTCCGCGGCACCGATACGACTGAAGATCTGATCTACGAGCCCGATCTCCGCATATGCAGCGGGCACGTAGGAGCCGACTTGTGCGAGGATCGTGATCAGTGCATTCTGCCGGAGGAAGGTGCTTTTACCGGCCATGTTGGGACCTGTAATGAGCCAAATACGCTCGCGCTCGCCGAGGAAGCAGTCGTTGCTAACAAAAGTCCGCCCCTGTTCTTCCAGTCCAAGTTTCACGGTTGGGTGCCGTCCACCGGCGATCTTGTGCGTTGTGCTTTCGTTGAGAATTGGGCGAACCATTTGCTGTTCTTGGGCTAAGGTGGCGAATGAGCAGGCTACATCGAGCTCATCCATCACGGCGGCATTGCGCCGGATCTTGACCAGGTTGAGGATGACTTCACGGCGCAGTCGCTCAAAGATGGCCTGTTCTTCTTGTCGAATTCGCAGTTTCACGTTGTCCATGCGGTTCCCAAGCTCGGTCCAGGCCGGAAGGTAAAAGGAGCGAGTGGATTTCGTAGACGAGACGTTACGCGTGACGCCCAGTTCTTCGAGGGACTGCTGGGAAATCTTGGCACCTTTGACATGGCAAATATGACCCAATCCAGGGGTCCACTTGAGAGTGATATTGGTGGAGCTTACAGAGTCTCGCAGGCGCTGGGTGAGCGTACCCTTCTCGTCGAAGAATGCATCTAGTTGCTCGTGGAGAGACTTAAGTGTCTTGCTGGCATCACGGCGCATAATCCATGTCTCTGCTGGTCCAAATTCCGTATCTAAAGCCGCGGTCCGCTCGCTGGATTTGGTGCGAACTTTCTTAGGCAGTGACTCCAACTCACTGGGAGTGCCTTCGTTCAGAGCAACTTCTTGGGCGAGGCGGGCTGCTTCAGCGGCTGTACTATCCTCGATACGCTGCTGCTGAAGGAGACCTTCCTCGTCAATGGCAGCCAGTATTCGCTCTGCGAGCGCAATGGGGCCATCGAGGTGGAGCCTCGAGATCATGGATGTTAGACTTGGTTTCGCATCCGTCCCACGCAGTTGTCTTGCATGGTCTGTGAGAACTTGTCTAACTTCCTTGGAGGCTTCGATGGCCCGGGAGAGGCAAATCAAGTCGTCGGCGTCTCCCTTGCCCAGGGCAAATTTTTGCACCAGCCGTTGGGCATCGTAGCTGCGTTTGAGCAGCTGGATCACGCTATCACGGAGATCAACATTGCCAATGAACACCGAAACAAGGTCCAGTCGGTCGTTAATGATTTGTATGGATGTAGACGGAGAGGCTGCAAACTCAAATTAGCGAAAGGAACGAATTTACTTGGGCCTTGCGGTGCATACTCAGTCGATCCCGCAAGAGACGAGCACCACTCTTAGTGTTGGTTCTGCGGACAGCATGAAGCAGACTTCCTTTACCAAACCCATCCCTCGCAGTCTCTAGAATCTCAAGGCCCCTCAAACTGTTCCGGTCAATGCTCATAGATTCGTTCAAATGCCGCCGGCGCGGAGGTAGTAGTTTGAGATCCGTCCTTTGAAGCTGTACTCGGGCGTACTCAAGGAGGCTGTACCCAGCTGCTATTTCCTCGGTGCTAAATGAGGCGCGGGCGTCTTCTGGGATGGGAGCTTCGAGCATGGAATCCCATTCGGACATCGGGACAATACTTTCCGGGAATCGAAAGAATGTGACCAACCGATGCTCATGCCCAACTAGCAGTTGCAATTCCTGACCAATGAGATCTTGAATATTCTGATCAACGAGTATCTCCCGAGCCCCGATTCTGGCGATAGCCGATGGCAGCATCTGCAGTGTCGTGAGCTGAGTATAGAAGTCGCCCGTAGACAAGTCCATCCAAGATAAGCCAACGGGTTGTGGTACACGGGATAATATGTGCTGCGACGATTGTGCATCCACCTTCTGCTTTGACTGCGCTGCTAATGCAGTGACATCCAAGTATATTGCCAGTAAGAAGTTGTTCTCGGAAGGATCGATGAACTTCTCATCAATCAATGTCCCTGGTGTGATAATTCTTGCGACCTTCCGGTCCCACATCAGACCTCCAGATTTCATCTTTTCCTCTGCCTCAATAGCAAACTCCTCGCTAATAGCCACATATTTGTTTAGGTCTTGAACGAGGATCTTGAGGAAGCGGTCGAGTTGGAAGAAAGGGAACCCGGCCATAGGAACCGGTCCGGCGCTAGTTTTCTTGGATGCAAGCTTCAAGCTGAGCAGTGGCGCCAGTTCTTCAGCTTGTTCAAAGTAAAGCTGACAAATATTGTATTAGAAAGATCCTGCATGCTGTACACTAAATCTCCATTTCATACCTCGTAGAAGCCTCCAACTCTTGTCAGGATAACGCAGTTCTTGAACTTCTGCATGTTGTTGCGATGCCCTTGTACCACAGTAGGATACCGAGGAGAATCATCCACACTATCATCATATGGTTCCAATTTGAGAACGCCTTGTGGAAGGTCCTTCAATTTGACCGTTGCCTTCGTCTTCGCGCACCTATGCTGTTCGACTGGTGGGAGAGCCGCAGGTACGCGAGGCCGCAACGAGCGGCGTCGCGCATGGTGGCAGAGCGTTCGATGAATAGGGCATTGAAAAGATGCAATAAATGGGACTCGAGCAAACGATGACTGCAAGCAAGGCGTCAAATGAGCAAACCCCCGAGCATTAACACGCATCGTTGGAACGTCGACACCCTTCTACGTCAACGGAGAGAGAAGCGGCAGAACCACAAAAGCTCCCCTCCTTCCGCCTTCGCCACCGAATTCTTCCCGAGCTCAACTCTCCCTGCAAATCTCCAAATCCTCTCACCAACCCTGGCCTCCATTTCTCCCTCAAATCAAGTTACTTCGCTTGCGGTAGGAGGATGAGTCAGGTTTGTGAGACCTTTTGAATCTCATTCATTCGCTGATATACCCCGACGTGCGGTGCGATCGATATCTGAGTGCGGCGCAACGAGGCCGATCAGAGTCGCGACTCCCTCATTTTTTCCTTTCTACCACTCATTTGATCGGTTGCTTGGGAAAGCTATTCCTCCCTCACATTCAAGATGGCGGACCAAAATATCTCGCAATATAAGTACTCGGCGATGTCCAACCTGGTTCTCCAGGCGGATCGTCGATTCATCAGTCGCGTCAATGACGAGCCCACTGGTGACCCCGAGTCTCTCGCCGGCCGGATTGGCATTCGCGAAATGGGTGCGCGAGTCGCGCGCGAAGATGTGCCGAAATCGAAGAAGAAGACCGCCGCAGAACTCGAGCGCGGTGCAATCCACGAAGGCGAGGACGTACTTCTGCGGGAACAGAGGAAACGCCAGCGCGGCCAGCCAGCGCAACAACGAGGCCAGGGTATTCTTTCAGCAGCCGACGCCCTGGTTGAGGGTCTCAAGTATCGCCCCCGAACACCTGCCACGCGAGCAACATACGACCTCATTCTGAC